TGTTGGCTTGATTCGGACGGTGGCTCTCCAAGCCCCCACAGGGAAGACTTTATACACTGGGAATAAATTACATCTTGACAGTTCAGTGCACTGTAGAGCATGCAAGAACTCAGGGGTGTCAAATCGTCCAAATCTCTCTCTCTTTTCCTCTGGATTTCAAACAAGAACTGTTAAAAGTGTTAAAGCCAGGAGGAGTTTAACATCACACTATTTCATCAAGAGACATTACTTTTACAGTCTTTCCCTTCTCCGGGGTTAGAACAGGAGGTTTGAGACAGTGGGAGAGGATGAGCGAGCAAAAAGGGGCAGGGGGGCGGAGGGGGAAGCAGACGAAGGACATGTGAGCTGGTGCCAACTGTGCTAAAGGCCGATGGGGAATGCCAAGCAAAGTTGGAAGGGCAGATGGAGGGCGGGGCATGGGAGGGGCTGCGGAGAGGCATAGGTGATGTAGAAGAAAGGATTGCTGGCCTTGAATGAAAGAAGCCTCCATCAAAATTTTTACACTGTTACATGATTTTATAGAGAACAACATAATGTAACAGTGAACAAAAGTAAGAGTTTTATTGTCTTGATTCTGTGAACCTGGAGTCCCCATTAAAGCTCCTTGTCAGCATTTTGGCAACAGGTGAGGACCACATCACAATGCAACCAATCCACTGGACTCCAACTCTTGACAAAGCCTTTTCATATGCTAAATTTAAACATCAATAACAATCCGCCTTTAGCTGGATTCCACTCCCGAGTGGCGTTCGATGGAGCTCGGCAGCAGCGATTCTGGGCCGGCGGAGGCTGCACACTAATCTCCTGGGAACACATTCCTCTGCTTGCTTTATTGTGACTCATATTCTGTCCCTGTGGGTTTCAGTGGATGTCTCTCCGATGTGATTTCAGTCCCTGACAGGTTATGTGGCGTTCTAATAAAACAGTTGTTCACGTGTCACATTCAGAACAGGAAATTCCTGAAAAAGCCCTGCAACCTGCTGCGTACCTACCTCAAAGCTAAGCTCTACAGGTTTGCCTTTGAACGGATTTGCAAGACTGGAGGGCAGCCTTGATTGAAGGTTAGGCCTTTTAGAGCTCAACTCATTTCGGGGAACAACTTATGACATTTAGTCTACAATAGGATACTGTGCTGGGATCTGGGGTATAAATTACTTAAGAAGGGTTGACATTAACTTACTATTAACAATTTGGTTCAAGAGTTCAGCAGTCAAAGATGACAGTAAGACTTTTATCTATTATATATTAAGATTGTTGAACACTTTTGATACAGTGATGTTAACATGACACTAAAACAAGGCCCCTTTGGTGTGTATATATGCTAGAGCAGTGGTTCCTAACCAGCCCTACTAGCTGAGCCACCTCTATGACACCACCCAATATGTTCATTCACTTTCAATTTGTTCTTAAACATCCATTTTTTCTCAGTAGGTTCAGTAAAATTTGGTATTCATTATTTTACCACTTGGAGTGTCAGAAGACAGATGCTTCACCCATTTATTTATTATTTTAAGCAATCTATTATTTAGTAATATTTTCTGCTTGCTTGCTTACTAGCTAGTTTTCTAATGTTCCACATCACTACATGTGGTGTACTGTGGTCTTACAGCTAACTGAGGTCATTGGGAGGCATGTCTTGTATAGTCCCTCTGTATGTAGCTGCCTCAGACCAATTTGTAATCCTATTTGTGGGTTTATTTTTCTTCCTAAACAAAAATATGTGCATATATAATATAGATCTCTCTCTCTCTCTATCTGCCCATGCAACATGAGTGACATACCTTCTACTGTCCAAACACCACAAGCCAGTAGAACAGCAGTGACATACCACTTAGAATAGGTATATATCACAGTATACCATGAGTAAATGTGTATCGCAGCAGAGTAAAATAGTTTATTCACACATGCAAGTGTTCAAAGACTGCTTTTGGACATGTCTGTGGATTATTCGGCTAAAGACTAAGCTCTCTATACTGTAGAAACTGTCTCACATGGGTCTATGTCTAGTGGATCTTGAGCAGATATTGATTAACTAGAAGAGTGCACTCTCAGCGCAGATTACCGCCAGTCCTTTATTACAAAACCGCTGAATAATAGTGTTTTAAGGAGTTAGCCATCTCGCTTCCTTCTCATCTCTGCTATGCGGTACCGATCGGGGACTTGCAAGAAAATGGCAGCGTCAAGTGTATGAGCTAGGGCTGGGTATCGAGTTCAATACGTTTTAGGCACCGACCGAATTGCCTCAATACAATCGAGTATCAAAAATGTCTTGTCTTTCGGTACCAATTTCTTAACGTCAATGAGCCAATAAGCATGCAGCATGCTTGATGTGCCCAAATCTAAAAGTGATTGTAATTGGCTATGGTGATGTAAACACTACGCGGGTTACGCACAAAGACTTGGGTCGTGGATGTAAAAGACGTGGAAAAAAATCTAAAGTGTGCCTACATTGCACCAGGCTTGATGCAATAGCGCGTGATGCAATATTTGCAACGTAAGATAATTGCTGCCAAGAGCGGCGACACGACAAACCTGGTGAAGCCCTTGACTGTGCATGGAATAAAGTTGCTCCGTCTGGACTGCAACAAGACAGAGCCGGTGCAGTCATCGTCCCAGCGCTCTACTGCCACCGAGCTTGCTTCAACATGCCAACCACTGTGACTAGTTTAACGACATTTCTGAGTAGCTTGGTGGTAGCGTCGCTGGTTTTTTAATCAAATCAAAGCTCTTTTATTGACCGAGTAGCGCAGTAGTTTCCACACACGCTACATTTTCCAAGCATTTCTGAAGGATCAGTAAGTGACGCCACCGCAATATAGGCCTATGTTACATTGAAAATATGTCTAGCTTTTTGACAGGAACAAGGAACAATTATTGTTTTTTGAACGATACCCAGCCCTAGTACGAGCTGAAGGGATTGTTTATCAAACGGACCTCACCGTTCAGAAAAACGTCGCTGGATTGCCATAACAACAGCCAGCATCTCGCTTGCGTGGCAGCTAAGAGAGCTAACGTTACTGACCACCACTGTGGCAAGTCAGGTAATTACAAAACAGCGCATCATGTTTAAAAAAGGGCATAGCCGTTCACGTTAATAATAATAATAATAATTTAAAAAAAACATTGTATATGGGCAAGTAAAAACTGACCTTGGGCAAGCAGATTTCTAACCGACTTGCCTGACTCGGCTTTGAACCCTATTCAGTCATTTTGCGTGTTACCACAAAGTCATTTCACGCCATTTTGTCTCTGCTGACTTATATTGTGCAGAGGCGGCATGTGATTTTGGGCGCAAATGTCAAATAGATAGAAAAATGTCAGGTGACATAACAGCGACAATGACCGCATAGCGACGAGGTCCTGTGTGAAACCAAAAGTCAACGTTGACTTATTTTAAAGTACACAACATTAAACCTACGTAATAAAATGATGTAACTTACCTCCAGGCTGGTTAAGAGGAGTTACATGATCTAGTATTATGTGGTCTAACAACATTCTTCTCTATTAGGAATGAGACCTGTACATATTTCACTTCAAACTAAACTGTCAGCACTGTCAGATCAACTGTCAAGCTGTTGTCAGTTTCAACAGCAGTATGGAGCTGGAGGGTTTAAATAATTCCCAGTGGCTATCCAATAGTAGTTTTGCTTGAAATGCTCGTCCCTACAAGAGGGTTACTATTCTTTTGCTCCATCAAGCCAGAGGAGCAGAAAGGAGTGGGCCTTCCTCAGGGCTGGTATGCTCTGCCCTGTGGAGTGATGGTCTATAAACCTGACCTCATTTGAGTCTGTCTCCATGGCAGACGTCGCCATGGCCATCATTTAATTACTCTGCACAATAAAACTCCACATCAAGGGCCTCTGTTTAACTAGGATGCGGGGAATGAGAGAAGCCACGTTAAGCGGTGTCTGCTCCTGCTGTGAGGCTGGCCGCCTGCTCAAGCGTCGCTTGGCGGGCACAGTGCCCCCCGGGTCCAGCTGCGAGGCGGCTGCCAAGCATCTCATGACTAGAGTGTATCCGAGAGAGCCAGGCATGCCACCTGGGCACTATCCGTTACAGTGGGACGCTGTTTACACAGGGGGCCGGAGAGAAACAAGGGAGGGTAAAACAGAGTGTCTGGGTGCATCTGTGTACGCTTGTGTGTGTATAATTAAGTGTGTGAGACTGAAAGCAGGATTTGGAAAGAGACAAGTGGTAATTTTTTTGCCTCTTTGTAAAAAGAAGACCTTTACTTCAGACTGTCTTCATCTAAAGGAGCCCACTGCTTCTTGCCCTTCAAATGTTTGGCACAGGACGCCTTCATCTAGATGCTTGTGCTAGGAGCTCTTCTCCCTCACAGAGTGATCCAGAAGCACAAACAGTCTTACTAACTTACTATTACTGGTAAAAAAAAAAGGAGAAAAAAAGAACAAAACAATCAGAAACAGATGCAATTGTTAGTCTAAGGTCTTTCTCTCCGTGGTGGCCTCCTCTTCATGCTCCTTCTCACTAGTTAATTGCAGCGCTGCCACATGGGTGCCATGACGCCGGCCTGCGGGCTGTTATTACCTCTGCCCTGTCATTAGCTCCTGCACTGCACTGAGTTAAAGCCCGGAAAGAGCTGCAGCTCGCACGAGACACAATGAGGATCGTGGCTGTCACATTCCCTACAATCACAGGTAACATCGCCGGCAATAAGTAACCTGGCTCTTCCTACTGTCCCTCTCTCATTTCGGGGAGCCCTGCCAAAAAGTCTGGACCCCACTGATATTATATTATTAACACTTCACACCAAATCATGTTTGAGGCATTAGCAAAGCTTACCCAAGTGTGATTTAATACAGTGCCGCAAGAAATTGCTAGAATACCCACTTCAACTCAAAATCTGTTTATTTAACCTCTTATTTTTTGCCTGTGGGGGATCCACACGTTCAGTTTAACAGGCAGAAGTCGAGGGCAGTGTAATAAGACATTAGGACGGATGATGGAAAAAGAAAGCTTTGGCAGACATACACACTTACCACCACTGAGCAGCTTCATGACCAGCCACAGTTCATCCTTTACCACGAACGAGGTGTAGTAAGACACGATGTTGGGGTGGTGGCACTGGCTCATGGCCTGAATCTCTTTCTGTTAGGAGGAAAGAAAATAAGAGAGAATCCAATTCGCGAGGATTGTAGAATGCATTTAGATGATCTAATGACAGACCTGTAGGAGCTGGTGTGATCTGTTTTATATGTATTGTTATTAATGACTATTCATTAGTCACACTCCTGAAGCAGCACACTAGTAACCTTTTTTAGAGCTGTTAACAGTTGTGGTGGTGGTGAGATGAACGATGAAACATTAAACAAATGAAGCAAATATTTTGACTCAGCTATGAGAAAAGCCTAGAGGAAATAAAGTGAACGCAGTCACAATAAATGCCCATTCCTTTGATGCTGCAGCTATTCTTGAAATTTAGTGCAATACTTAAGCTCTTAATGGCATCAGTCGTCAGAAGAGAAACAGGCTAGGTCAATATAAGAAGCGAAAATCTGCCGGAACTCTGCCCTTTATACAGCTGTAAAGTCCTCTGTGTGTATGTGTGTGTTTGTTTGGAAAGCGGGGGTGCTGAGGTAATGCTGGCACAGGAATCTAATCCATCACTTCAGCACCAGCCCTAAAGTCATTTGAGGACAGACGAGCTTCCTAAGAAAAAGAAAATCCAGCTGACTTCAGAGATGAGACCACTGCCTCGTAGAGTTTCTGCACTTGAATACCTGACAAACGACTGAACCTGTTACTGTAGCTCCACGTTAATGCACAGCACCTCTTTACTTGTCGTGATAATTACCAATATAACTGCCAAAGACCTATCTAACATGAGATGATAGCAACCTTTAATAGGAACATGTTTTATAGCAAAAATTATCTGACATCAAACCAACATCTAGTGAGCGATGACAAATTCAGCAATATGTGTCAAGTACAGGGGAGGTCCAGGGTGTGTTCCCATATTGCATCTTATTTTGTATTTTTCCACTGTTGAGGGCGCTAGGGAAGCATTGTCCCCCGTTTCCCAGTATTAGCACTATTGGATGCACAGAGGTGAAATCAATATTCTCACCTAATTATGGTGAGAAGGTCGATACCACCACAAACGACCGTATTTCCCCAAATCTCAGTGTTATTTAAAATAGCTAATGAGTCTTCAGCCATGGCGGGTACACCCGTCAGCTGAGAACCCTTAACACTGATCTGAGAACATTTGTTAAAAGGCATCAATCAATAGATGCTTGAGGGTCAAAAAGTAAGCAATCAAAGCCTGATGTTCCATCAGCATAAATGCTTAGCTTACACAATGTGCATTAGCAGCAGTATGCCTCAGCTGCAGAGTCCTCACTACTGAGCCCGGGGCCTTCAGTGAGTTCCACTGCCAAGAGAGGCTAGGGCAGGCAGGTGACATCGTAATTTCATAAGAAATCACTCAACAAAAGTGAGTTTAAGAAAAATGAACTGAGTCACAATAATAATAATAATAATAATAATAATACGGTTGGATTCAGGCATGAAACCAGGTACAGACATGTTTAAATGCAACACAGCAAGTGTCAGTCAGCTTGAGAAAGTTTCAGAGCACAATTCCCATTCAGACTGACCAGACCAACAGGTGAGCCCACACCCTCCCTCTTCTAAACTAAAGCCGTTTTTGATTATCAAACAGTCTAATAACTTCCAGTCTGTCGGGCCAGACGGCGAGCTCTGTGGGTCGTCTCCCCTATCATTCTTTCTCTTTATACTACAGGCTGAGAGAGAACAATAATGATATAGCCTGTTGGCTGCTAACTGGCTTCAATGGAGCCTACCCCCCCCACCCCCTCTGTTCTCAGCACAGTGGAAGAGGCAGGTCACTACAGCTTTGTGGGTAACCCCAGAAAAGAAAAACAATGGGATAACAGGGAGGATACCGTGCTCTGGCAGTTGGCGGGGTTTCCCATCTTTTCCTGCAGACAACGTGTGAATCAGAGAGACTCTTTGTTGTGGGGGATTAGGTCACTGTAAACCTATGCAGCAGCAAAGACAGTGGTTCTCATCGCTCTAAACCAGTCTTTCGGTGTAACCTTCAACATGTAACGTTTGACATTTGAGATATGCTTTGTGAAAAATATTCTTGCAACATATCTCAGTGCTGCTGACAGGTAGTATTCCTGCATGATGACAGAGGCTAGCGCAGTACAGCCCCCAGGTCAGAACCATTTATGTAAAGGTATCATGCAGGAACTTCATGCAACTTCTGCATGTAATCCGGCTCATTTGCCTATACATTTCATACTGGCCACTGATGCGGGCACGTAGAACACGTGTAAAATACTTTCTCAGCTCAATAATCTGCCATGGTGGCAGGTGACCTGAACGTTTTACCTGCCACAGCAAACTATGCTAATATAATAACCCTGGCCAACAAGTCCGTGAGACCATTAAGAACACTTCAATCAAGTACACATACCAGTGCTTTTTGTTCTTTTCTTAGAGCTGAGCACATTTATACATCCAACTATAAATATAATCAAAGTGCCAATTACAGGTTTCCAGCACTGGGTTGCACCAACTATGTGTAAGTTCAAACTTAGCCTAGTAATTTCTAACTTAAGTCGGAGTTTACGTGCTACTAACATTTTAAGGGTTGCACCAGCTGAAATACGTCCAACGTAGACCTAAGTTACAACTTAAATCTTACACCTAGTCCTTAATAGGTGTAAAGTCCTCCATAAAATAGTCAAGTGGTTGTCATGGCGCATTGTTTTGAAGGGGGGGGGGGGGACTGATGCCTTCAAACCATCAAACATTTGGTGTTTCTACTTAATAAATGGCTTTACATAAAATTAATTGAATTATCAAAACTGTATTTGATTACATTGTCAAATGATCATTTCAACCAAATATCCAACTATGAACAGAAATAATTCTGCTAAACAGTCTTTCTTTTTCAGCCTTTTGTGTTTGTTTGTGGGTGTTGCAATGACTTCATTCTGAAACACAGGCATTAAGAGCAGTTTGATTCAAACCATCTGACCTGCAAACCACAAGTGACACACCTCTCTGCAACCACCAGGGTCTGGAATTTTTTCCTCACCTTTCACTGCAGTAGATTAGTGAACATTTCTACCGGCCACTCAGTTTTTTTGCCTGCCACTTCTGAAATCCATGTAAAACACTTTAGAAGACAGACATGTGGAATATATAATGTAACCTTACTCCCTGACTATATGCTGTTAAAGAATAGCTTTAGAAAAGTAATCTGCTCTGGTAGCAGGTGACCTGAACATTTACCCTGTATGGTAATTTCATTCCCTGGCCACCACACACAAAGCCACCTGCAACACAAATAGTCTCACTATCCCATGATTAAATTTTGGATTTAATATACAAGACACTGATGACATCAGATGAAGCACTTATGGTGACCTGTGTAGGACATCATCGTCAGGCGACATTAAATAATGACCATCTGTGTTACATTCATAAGCTGCATACCATTAGCATAGTACATCTCTCCCGCTGCTTTTGCATGCATTAGCTGTAAACCATCTATCAGAGGGGATTAAATGAACAATTAAACATCCAATAGAAGAAGAAAAAACTATGATTTTTGGTTTGCTATTTAAATGTGCCATTATTTCATTACAATTTAATTAAACAGCAAATTAGCATATGAATGTGAAACTGACAAAAAATATCTTTATGTCACACTTAAGACATTATTTTCCCTTACAATGTTAATGTTCATGCCATTATATATATGCCTGTTTAACCTTACATGCCAAAAGGTTGAGCTCAGGGTTTTGTGGAGGACCAGCAGGCAGACAAAAAAAAATCTGATCAATACCAACATCAGGCCACCCCTCCATCCTCTCGTTCCACCCATCTAATAAAACGGTCTCTCTCCCCCTAATGGAAATCACATTGCGAGAGAGTCAGTAACCTTTGTCTCATATTTCTCCAACACGTCAACTCAAATTCCTGTTCTTACAAAAAGTAGTAAAACATTCATTGTGACATGAGTGAGGTCACTTTGGTTTATTTAATAAACAGAAATGAAAATGACCTCTCCTATTATGTGATGCATCTATAATGCCAAAGCTAAAACACTAAACCCCTTGAGGCAGTTGAGTCTACATTTTATACACAGATTCTCCAGGAAATAGACCAGTTCACGCCTATTGTATTTTTCTATATCAGGCCTGATCGGTGCAGTATTTGGCGTGCCTGAGGACCTTGAAACTGAGCAAAAATAAATAAATAAATGAGCTATTGTCACAAACTGAATACAGTGCTGTGGTCACAAACTGGTGCCACAGAATCGCACTGATGGCAGACACACAGAGAAGCCACTATAGAAGCAATGTTACGTCACTATCAGTTACTCAGAGCCTAACACACATTCACTAATGACCCAATCTCACTGCAGCACGCACAAAAACACACACACACAAACGAGAAACGATTGAGAAAGAGAGACACTGACAATTGATGGGGAAACTAAAAGGAGATCTTAATGCTGAGAATGTAAATATACCTCTGAATCACTTCCTTTAGCTCGATTCAGACTTCCTATGACTGAAAGAACTACTTTCATCTCAGTGCTCTCAATATCGTTCTCAGGTTACTGTCACCACACCAAGTTTTTTTCAGGTATTTTAAAATCAGAAATTGTACTACTACATAGCAACAAAAGCAAGCAAAATCTTTCCTCATCAGTTTCAGTAAATAATTAAAGCTAATAGTTGTAACAATTGTGTAATTATCCAAGAGGGTATTCAAACACTCAAATTGTAAACAAACCTCCTCCTCATCTGATCTAGCTTTAGTCACTCAAAAGCGGCTGTCCGTCAAACTGCTCCGCGAGGAATAACTACAACAAACCACTTAATTCTGAGACTCAGAGACACGACAGATTACTGCTTTTCTGACGTTAAAGAATTTCACAGGTACGATTAAAAGACCTGCAGGCTTCTTTAAAACTCGTGGCAACACCTCTTAAAGCTGCAATCTGGGTTCAATTTAATGCTTCCTTGCCGTTTAACCGGGCACCCAGCAAAGCTGTGGTATGGGGGGGGGGCACAGGCAGGAAATCCGACCTCTCTGTATTCCATGTGACCGCCTGCTCCGAGAATCCGGGAGCAACATTCCCCTGATTCATCCTCCAGAAATTGGGGGGTGGTGGTGGTGACGGTCCTCCTCAGTTTAGTAGAGAAACCTGCCAGTAATCTCTACCCACGATGCACACTTACACACTATTTATTTCCTACAGGTTACTTTCACAGATATTTGGCTGAGCACGAGGAGAGAGGACTGGAAATATCCATCAATCACTCCGCTGGTCTGAGGTAACAACAGCTCATTTCCCAATGTCAGAACAAAACCTGGCATCATTCGGTATATTTTGCCCTAGTATGCGCCCATGCGATGTAGTGAGACATCTTTCCCGATTTATAGCTATAATAAGCCTGGTTTGAACTGAGCAGATCTAATGCCTACTGTAAACAGGCACTGTACATAGAAAACTCCACACCATCTCTAAATCCAGAGCACAAGCCACAGACGAGCATCTCATCCTACTCTATGTGCAAGGGGGGGCTCAACATAATCCTTCCACCTCTTGAGCTCAATCGTAAACCACATGTCAGACAGTAAATGATGTGCCGAGCTACAGTACAAGATTGCATTGAGGGTATAAAGACACAACACAGCCGTCAGGACGATGTCCCACGGTGGTCTAATAGTTTCCTGGCACTAAGTGGAGTCCGCCTTCAGAGAACAACCAGAATAGTGTTTGAAGTGACAGGGATGATTGGAGGAGGGTTTGGAGAAAACGAGTAATGAAAAGCAGAGGTGGAACGAACTCCATCCACACGCGCAGGCCACAGTGACAAAGTACTCTCGTGCTGTAAGGGTGTAGCTCCCTTCGATCCGCACTTAAAAAGTAACAAGGTTACAAAAAGGTCCAACTGAAATCACCCTGAGCCGTCCCTTTCTGTAGCAAAACAGAATGTCAACATGTTTTTTTAAAATGTACTATTATTTAAAATGGGGTGTAGAAGAGTGAGGACCAGACCGTAGTGACATTTGCAGATTAATCGGGCCGATAACTGCCATTTTGAGAAAATCGGTCGATACCTGCACTCACAGGGCCAATGTATCATCCTAAATGACAGCAGATCTAATCTAACACTATTACTGACTAGCGTTAAATATCTATTGATATACTGTAGAGAATAATGCCGTTGAATGACATAACTTCAGACAAACTGTACCCTGCTCTCCATTAAACACTATTCTCGTTCTGAAATCTGCAGCATAACTCAATGTATTTTTCTATTTCATTAACTTATCTAAAACAACAAGTTACTGGCTAAGATTACCAAGTGCAGTATATCAGATTGTACTCTGGAATTATATATAATTTTTCTTTGTTTTGATACAAATTTATATATCGGCCATTAGACACCCTGCTCTCTAAATATCGGCATTAGCCATTGAAAAACCCATGTCCTCGCTCGTTCAACAAGTTACGGTTCAGGACAAGACACGTGTTCATGTTTATGAGTTAGATAAATAGGAGACTTTAGCTGTAAAGCTAGCAAGGTCTCCACCTACAGTATGTAGACAGATACCTAATGGTATTCCGTCAAATGAATGCAAAACTAGGGGGGGGCAGAATTATGAAACCAAAAAATATAATATATAATATAAAATGTTAATGTAAATAGGGCTGAGCAAAATGGCAAAAAATGTTATCACAATATCGATAATTATCACGATAAATGTCAAATCATTTTTTCTATCAAGTTTAAAGGCAGATTTTTGCTCCACAGTTAAACTTTTTTGTTCTATTGCCCCGCCCTAAATGTGTGAGTGAGTGTTTTCTGTATGTCTTACCAGGAGTTCATCCATACTAGTCTGGCACTTCTCTAGGTTGATGCGTTTGATGGCCACCTTCTCCTTGCGTGGTATACAGTAGGCTGCTTGAACCACTGCTGTGGCCCCGCTCCCTAAAACAGACAGGAAAACAACATATTGTCACCTTGACTATGATTCAAAAAATGGTCATCTCAGGCAATAAGGCACTGTCAGCGCTGGTGCAGAAGCCAACTTTGACACCTACAGCGCATTCAGGTTATAGTCACAGCCTCGGGCTGCCTAGGTTTCTTTTAATTGTCTGCACCTTCCCTAACCCCCGTCTACATCCAAACATAATGGCTAATGTAGCATAATAAACCTAAGTTTTACCGTTACCTCAATATCCTCCTGAGTTCAAGAAGGTTAAGTACAGTTCTGCTTTGACAGCTCATCAGATTTCTCTTTGGTAACCGCCTGTTCATCAATTATGAATCAGCTCTTTCCAAATCCTGCCCGGTGGAGCGGGCCTGATTGGGGCCGGTGACTCTGCTAAACGAGGCTCATCCCCAGGAGGCTTCAGTAAGAGATTCATGCCAGAGAGAACCAAAATTTGGTCTTTATGCTATTTAAATTTTTTTACTGGACCTTTGATCACTGACAATTATTCTTTACAGTGCCAAATACCTTAATCCCCAACATGACAGCAGCTCCAAAACTAGGAGGATCCAAGGGTTTATTTGTCACATACATAAGCATTATATGTAGTAAAATGCAAGGTGGTCTCATTTTTCACACTAGTCTTTTAGCACAACCTTACGAGCGGTTATGCTAAAAGACTAGTGTGAAAAATGAGTATTAGAAAAAAGAACAATAACAGCCTACAGTATATACTATGTGCAGTCTTATACTATGCATCAGCACTGATCACTAAGACCTGGACCCTTTAAATCAGCCTCATTTTCCATGCTTTCAAGACTTTGCAGATCACTGCATGAATCCTATTGGATCACAGCAACAGTGGCATGTCTACGCTAGTCACCACAGCTGCTATTTTGATGGTCTAGCAAACAACATCACAGATTACAATCTGATTAACGCTTGAACCCTAATCTTTAGTTTTGAATAACGTGTGACAGTCGGAGTAAAAGCGCATAAAATCCTCCCCAGGAGAGGTACGCCTGTTGTTCCTGTGAGGTCATTTCACAGCACCCCCACCCCACACTCCCCCAAAGCTCTTATTTGACGCCATGCACAGACACTGCTGTTTCCACAAGATCTCTGGAGTATACATGACGCTGAGCAATGCTGGGAGCACATTCTCCTCTGGCAACAGGCTTTGGGTGAGTGAAAGAGTGAGAGGTAAGTCAGTCTGCCCTCCAGTAAGCTTTTCCTAACCTTCCTCATCTTAGCTATGCCCGAATATTAACAAAGTGCTCATTGTTTGGAGTTTTTCATTGAGCCAATGGTGTTCGGAGGTTTTAGAAAAGCCTATAGTAAAGAAGAAGAAAAAAAGACTCTTCTCTTCTAATTAAAAACTAAAGCTGTCCCTGAAGACGTGACTGCGTTTTATTTAACTGGTTTCATTCAAGATAATTATGACTTCAGGCTATATGGGCGAAGCAGAGAATAAAACACCATAAACCTATTTAATATAGCAGCGACTGGAATTAACCACCAACTCTTACTCTCTAAAATAATCCCATAAAAATTTCCTTGTAATTTCCTATACCTGATAGACAGTAATGGTCCTGTTCATCACCATGATTATATTGTAAGTCTATAGCTGTAGTGGGTGCCATCTATTGACTGGGAACCTCCGATAACGTGTGGTTAGCCTTGCTCAACTCTCTGCAGATCCCTGCATCATTGCTCAAAATAAAGGGGGCTGAACAGTGGTAAATATATCATCCAGCTCCCTCCCACCACCACCACCACCAGCAATACCTAACAAACCTCTGGAGGTGTGCCAGTGACGGGGAGCTCAGCCCTGGCCGGAACACAGGGAGCCAGTTGACCTGTACCCAACAGCGTGTATATTCCTACACACAAACAAACAGCCAGTCGTCAGGGGTGGCTGGCCAACCTGGAGAGCATGTGTGTTTGTGTGTGTGGAGAGGATGAAAAACAGGGTGATTGTTGGGTTTGCAGCAGGCAAGGTCAAGGGGCACCAAGGCTCTACAAGCCATTTAGACTGAAGACGCCCAATTGACCAGCCAGTTGGGAGTTAATACAAACCTGATGCTCTTTGATATTTGCAGCGTCCAAGCTTAGCACAAGCTTATTCCCCACAGAGTAGTGAATACTTCACGGGGCTTTTGAGATTCTAACCAAAGCTGTAACTTTAGTAATTACACTATGGTGCACACAGGGGGACTACAACCCGTTCCTGTCATCATATTCACCAAAGTGCCCATAATCGTCAGCCTGTAGCAGTTTTAAACAAAGAATGTACACCTTATTATGAGCCATTAAATACAGACACAAGTCACAAAAAGGGCCCTGCAATGGACTGGCGACCTGTCCAGGGTGTCCCCGCCTTTCACCTGATGTCAGCTGGGATTGGCTCCCTCTCACATAAAACATCACCACCATCCTCTCCATCCGAGTCAGAGGAAGCACACTACAGAGCCGCCCTCACAAAAGGCGAGCAGTGCAGTAGTGCCAGGGCTTTGAAAGAGCAAGGCCAACATCTATTATGCTAAACTGCCTGGCACAGATGTAAAGGCTGCATATCAAGCAGGAACCCCCCCACCCCTTTTGAAAATTAATTAATAAACGAGCAGACTTCTGACTTCGTACTTCCTCTGACAAATATTTTCTATCTCCAGAGACACAGGAACAAGATTTAGCTTGTTTTGAAGGTGGACAGCTAAATCGAATCTATATATTAAGTTACCGCATTAGGCGAAATCAAATGAAGATGATCCAGCTGCCAGCAGAAAATGTGGCGTGTTGGCGTGGTTGAGGGACACAAAGTTAAGTACACTTTTTAGTTTGTTGATTTCCATTTGTTTTCATGTTTATCCCTGCATGCTGCATAAACAGCATAGAGAAAAACATCACAAAACGAACAGAAGTATGTTTCGCTGTTAGTTTCATTCTGTAATTTGTGTTAAAATGTGACTTTCCACGCATTTAGTTTTAACATACTCTACGTGCAACAATGTGTTACAGATCTAGATGTAGAGGTGTACTATAATGAAAAATGAAAAAGGTTAATGAAAAAAAAGTTGCAGACACACTTGATCGCTCCTGTGCGGGGGGATAGCATTGACAAAACAAGCATGATCTTTGAAAAAAAATAGCAGCCAATGTTTTCTGTAAGCATGTTTCCTCAAAACAAGTCATGGGAAGCCTTATGAGCATTATACTATAACCTTGCAACATGTGAGTGGGACATGCAAGACTAGAGTGTTTTCTTCACAACAAACTGTTAAAGCCTAAACACTCAACAGGGAGTGGGTTTGCCGTTAACCCGTAAGCTGACATGTTTGCTCTTTAGGGAGCTGACATCTGAGTATGAAATGTTTGCATTCCTCCTGTTCTGGTGCATCTCTATGACTAAATAAGCAAGACAGCAAAACACAAAAGAATAGTAAACCGAATTATAAGCTTACTTTGGACACAGACAAAGCTACAGCTTTACACTTAATTAAAATTATTAAAGTGGCTCAAAGACCAGTAAAATACCAAGAGGCAATTTAAATCTCAAGGTTTTATTCAAAAAAAACTCATGATGCAGACTCCAAATAAAAACATTTTTTTAATTTGGCATATGAAAACGTCAAAAAATTTGACCCAAAGGGCTAGGTAACATCGAGAAAATTCACTGTCCCAATTCTTTTTTTTTTTTTTTTTTTTTTTTTTTAAATCGCAAAAAGAAAAGAACATAGTGCCCAGTACAATAATATCTTATCAGATTAGGTTGGCCTTGAATTAGTTTCTTAATAGAGTAGGTCACAAGCAGTGTGGTAGTCTTTCCTGCCCTCATCAGGCCTGTTTGGCGCTACATACCTGTCCCGAGATTCCACACATGGTAAGATAAGTTTCCTAGCACACAATCACGCCGATGTTTTTTTTTAAAATATCTGAGGGACAGGACAAGGAAAAGTGAGGAAACATGTGGGAGCAGAAAGTTTCCAGACCAGATTCGCCAACACGAATGATCCAAAGTCCAGTATGATCCAGTGCTCAGTGGGGTGAAAACAGTGGGTGTTAACCATGTAATAACAAGTCCTCTTTCCCTGGGGAAGTTACCAAAACAATAGCTCTGCTGGGCATGCTGGGTATGCAAGGGCCATCCTCACAACACCAGCCTTCAAGCTGAGCAGAGGAGCTGTAGGAAACATGATAGCTGGTCATTCTTCTGGCAAATATTTTCTGTTCTCAGCTTCAAAATGGTACCGATTTTCTACTTCTCCTTGTTGTATGCGTTAATAAACTCAATATCTTTAAGGTTTTTCACTTTAGGCTTTTGTGATGGCACATATTTCACTATTTCCTGACAACAAAAAATAGGCAGGTTACTTCATAATGAAAATAATAATCACGATATGTTTTCCTATACTTGTATACATGCATCTTATGTTATGTGGATTTCATGCTGGGAAAACAAGAACATCTCACAGTTTACCACGAGTCTGTGTGCATGTACAACCACAATGTACGTGATACTAAATGCCTGTGAGGAAAATTACCAGTTTCTTAATAAAAACCACTCTTCTGATTTAATCAGTGATTCCATAAGCAGTTAAAACATCAGTTCCCCTGCAAGTAGGCTAGTGATAGAGAGACACCCAACTCCTGCTACAATCTTTCATATACAAACAGTAGCCTGTGATGATTTGGTAACTTGCAGTACTCAATACTGCATTTCTCTTTATTCACACCCCACCCCCCTCCAAAACAGCACCACAGCCCACCCCTAATTGATTGTGCAATTTTCGAGAATATACCATCCAAACATGAACTCACACTACTGACTTTAAAACTCAAGCTTTTTCCTTTTGGTAATTTAAGTCACCAAATCCTCCCTATTGAGGCTTCTATTTCATGGATGTTTCCAGAGCAAGTCAAACTCTCTACTGTGAGTTAGGTATGGGCAATATGTCTAGGAATATCCTGAGGGCAAATGTCAAGATGGTAACCTCAGGAAAACGGTGTCGGGAAGTGACTCCAATTCAGTCTTATCAGAAGTCTACATAATAAGACTGGCAAGAGCTCTTCAGTGTTCATTCATGGTAAAAGCCTATTCCCAAAATATGTCCTCATTGTCAACTAAACAAGAAACCAATCACTGATTTAGTAGGAGGCCTGACAGAGAAAGTTGCAGCAACTCAGACAGGTAGTCAAGCAAAGACTGTCTGAGAGGACAGAGTGAGAGAAAAGGGACAGGACTGCAGGACTGTTGGGAAGGTTAAATATGAACAGTGGCAGATGCCAAAGAGGAGGATATGTCTTGTTTAACTTCACGAGAAGCCTGGAAACACAGAGGGCTCTGCTAATTTAGACACATGGTAGACCAACGCCTTTAGATTTAAGAGGACAACTGATAATCAGCTTTCAGTCTTTTATGAAACGGGGGGGGGGGGGGGGGGGGCTGCACAAGCTAAAGTTGTTAATCATGATCCCTTGCCCTAAACCCAAGTAGGCATACTGCAGTCCAACCTTGAAACGGCCTTACCTGTATCAAACCTATGCTGCCAATTTGTGCCACACATCGCTTAGGAAAATGCCACAGAACTGGTTTCTACACAGGAGAGGCTTTATCTGTGTGTGCATGCTAAACTGCAGGGTGTTATCTTGTGGGGTGCCCTGGATCAAAATTTCCAAGAAAATAAGGGCGGAAATGTAGAAATGGGTTGAAGTTAAATCCAAGTCTTTTTTTTTTTTTTTTTAAATACACAAAAAGTTTAATTTAGAGGCCTTCAGAATGGAGCCTCTATAAACACACAGATTCCCTGTAGAGGAAGCACGCACCACTTAGGTAAAGTAAACCACTGGTTCAAACTAACTAATTTGAGAGGACAATACTTTGCTTATATGTTACACAATCCTTCATGTTCTCCATCCTTCTCCATTAAAAAAAGTCTGCCAAAAGATAGGACAGGGTCAGCTATTTGAGGGGTGGGACATTCACAAGTAAAAGCTGTTGTTCCCTCGGGCCGCCAACCTGTAAGCCATCCTCGGGACTCACCGCGGCCCGACAACGCACAGGAAAGGTGCAATGTGCCTCCTGTCACACTGGGGGGGGTTTGATAAGAGAAATGTGGACATACATACAAAGCAATTATTGAGTTATTAGCCTAACAATTACCATGCTTGTGGGTTCAATCCAGGACGGTATAAACAAAGTATTATTGATGATGTTACCCAGGAAATTATCAATTTTCCTATTTCTGTAAAAGATGTGGTTAGAAGGCTCATAATGTTGATTAACCCTCCAAACCCTCCAAAAAGCTCTACATAACTAGATTAATTCAGGCAACAAACTGCCCAGAACAATACCCTCCTCCAAGAAGGACCATTGAGTAAAATCTCTGGACTCATGAGTCTTTAAGGAAAAAGTTGTGCTTGAGTACCCTGTGTATTTTAATTGGAAATGGGCGTGAACAGACACAAGTTAAACATGGTCTGTGGTCTCTACAGTCACGTTACACGTCTCATACTTTGCTTTAGCATAAACAATGCAGTGCCTCCCCCCAAATAAAAAGGTAACTTTGAGAATATTTGTAATGTCACTCCTACTCTGCAGGTTGGGTTCTGTCTAAAATACCAACACTGCCTAATTTAAATAACATAGTTATTATTGTTGTAATTTCATAGATACAACGCCCTCTTTTTAGAATACATAAAAGCTAGTAAAAGAAAGTAAAGCTAGCTGTTCACGCGAATAACTGACTGCTCAATGAAAGCGGTTGTTTTCCAGCAACTAGTCAGAGCCTGACTAGACAGTAACGTTATAACGCTCGTTTACGACTTCGGCATAGCCCCGGTGGACGGGGTAACCGCTCTCTAGATACATTCCACTGACTGCAAGTCACAACACCGCCCGGCTAGGATTGCCATGTTGAGAAACGCGATCAACTCTACCTTGCTCAACAGAAAGAAGATGCCTTCTTGTCGCTTTAACACTTAAAAGCTACTGGGGTGTCTGTTAGCTGTGATTAGCCCCCTGTTTATTAAGCTAACGGCAGGCTTTCTCAGACTGTCGGTTAACACAGACGTTAAGCTAACAAGCAACGGATCACATACCAATCACCTCGTGTAGCTCATAATCATCTTTGTTGATGGACCAGGGTTGGGAGCTCAGGTCCTCCGACATGGTTGAGGGGTCTGCTGAGGCCGTACTATGTGTAGAAAAGGTGTTGAATCCAACGAATGTGCGTAAAAAGAATTCAAAGTAATCCAAACAGGACCAACGAGGACGACACTTCCCCTTCTTTGCGAATCCTGCAGCACTCCTGTCATTCCCAAAGTTTGACACTAGCCTAGCAGCCCCGCCTACCGCATTCCTACTGAGCAAATGTGGACAATCCCGGCGGACATATTGAGTGTGGGACGATAGAGAGCTGTGCTCCGGAATCCTTCTGAAAGAGGATATTACTACAGGCACCGTTTGGCGCCTAATTAGACTGAGATACAGCTGAAGAGACCGTGTCAAACATAAAGCGGCAGAACCCCGACTCCTTGAAAAGTTAACCACACAAACCCTTCAGTAATATTTGTTAAGACTTTTATGCATAATTATGTCCCTGAATTTTACTTTATAGGGAAGCCACTACAGAGAGTGTTTAAATATTATGCAAAAGATGCCCAAAACCGAATCGGGGCTCGGGGTTCCGCCACACTTTTAATGGCGGACTGCTGTAATATTTGTGTGCATTTTGCCCTGAGTTATGCCTGGCAGTTATTTGTTCTTCTCATACAGCATACAACCCCATCGTTTTTACTTATATTTGCACATATCACTCCTCGGGTTTCCCTACCAATAACTATTTCATTACAAGAGCACGTTGGGGTATAAAACAGGCTGGGAAGTACTACCTGATAAGCTGAACTCAGGGCATAAAAAACCCAATTTGTACAAAATACAAAAGTGTATGAAAGGAAAGGAGGCGTGTTGCCCCAGGAACAGCCTATCCTCTGATTGGACAGTACCACGTACGCTTCTCTGTGATTGGGTGCTCATGTATTAAGTAGAACATGTACTGAGACTGAGGTTCATTTTATATCATGAAGGAATTGCACAATCCCGACTCCCAGTGGAGGACTACAGAACATACTATGTTTTCATGTATTGAGTGTCTCAAAGTTCTTGTCAAATGCCTTGGTTAGTAATTATTCGCCATGAAACAGGAAGCTGTTTTTTGAGAGCTAAACCCAACCGGAAGTCAGCCACTTTGAATGGAATAAGTAACATCAACCACAAATCCTTTTCCACAATTCACCTGTGTAATAAGTGCAGTGTTAACTTCAGAGCCCTGTCAGCAGGCCTGCCATGTAGAGACCCCAGCTGTCACTCCACCTGAGGCGCGCAAGGGGGCGAGGGCCTGTTCAATGCTACTTGCAGCTTTAATGTATATATGCTTTGTACATACTTTATTACATTTATTGTGAGGAAATCATGCTCCAACAATTTATTCAAGGTGGAATTTATTAAATTTTTATAAAAGTATTCTTAGAAGGACCATATCAAAATTACAAAATCATACAAATTCAAATGTCAGACATTATGGTGACAGAGAAAGTGAGAGCGAAAGGCAGGTGTCAGCAGTCACTAAAACTGAACATGTGGAAGTATCACAATCACAATATCTCTTCCTCTTTAGCTTCAATCTCATCTAGAAGCTGACTCATAGAGGAAGTGGCCAGTGCAAAAACAAAACAGAGCAAACAGGGCAATTTGTACATGCTGCTCCATATACAAATAAATCTTTCTCACCAGTAACTCATAAATACAAAATAGTTGCAGCACAACCTGTTATTCTTGAAATTTTAATAATTACAATGGCTGCGTGCACTGAGAACTTTGCGGATATTTGGTATTATAATGATAATATTCAGAAATCACTATGTCATTCTCATAGTAAACACAAATAGTAGTATTTTAAATTATACTGTATATACACAGTAAACAAGAAGTGGGTTCCGAAGCTAGCAGGACGTAGATCACAAGCAATAGCACACTTGAGCCTGTAATGTTTGGCCATTGTCCAACATCCCTGTTGCATCTTTAAACACGATTAACTGCCAGCTCCATGATTATGGCAGTGCAAGAGCTTTGGCCAGCCGTACCCAGAACCAGGCCTGTGTGCAAGGCCGGGTGTAGTCACATATGGTGAGGAAGCGTAGGATGCTGGGGAACGGCTTTGTCATTGACTTGTACACCACTGGAATAAGCCGTTTGTTTCGAGCTCCTGAAACAGCAAGAATGAATAAAAAGGTAAGTTGCATGCATGTACAAGCATTTATCAGAAAAGGGAAGATAGAGCTATTTAACTTAACAAAATTGTACATTACCGGGACAGAGGCTGAGAGCAAACTTGGTCTGGAAGTCACAGGCGTCGCTGTCAAGGTATTCATCAGAAATCACCACCACCATCCGCTTACACCTGCACAGATGGTCACATGTTATAGTTGTTACAAAATGTGAGAGTCAGAGATAAGGGAGATTTTAAGAAGGGGATGCTATGGGTTGTCTCACAGAGAACGTGTTGCTCTTTGGTGGCTTTCTGTATCTAAATTTAAAATATTTAGCTTTCTGCCATGACTGAAACTTTCATGTATTTTGTATCTGTGAACTTTGCATTTCTATTTTTTGTCTAACTAATTTTATTTGTTTTGCATTGATAGTTAGAGACAGCAAAAGAGACACAGGAAATTGGGGCGGTTGGCATTATCAGGACTCAGCCTTTGCAGGCCTACGTGGTGTGTACAGTTTACCAGGTGAGCTACTGGGACGGCCCCAACCTGATTATTTATAGAGCCACAGATAGTGGAATAGATTTTGCAGACTGTTAACAAGCAGCAGATCTGGTGCACATCTGTGCTTGAATACATTATTGATGGCTGTGCAGGAGTCTGTGTTTGGGAGTTTAAAGAATGGACCTCGCCCCATGTGCCAGTGTGTTTCTTCTTCTGGTTAAACTGTTAAACTAACCAGAAGTAGACAAAGTAGAGCTGAGCATGGTAAGCATGTGTCGATATCCCACCTTTTTTCAATGAGTTCACTAGTGATGGTCCATACACAAGAGCCCGGGAGGACATCTCTGTCGAACACGCACAGCTTCAGCCTGTACTCTGTCTGTTCCAGCTCCTTGATCATCTCATGGACAAACTCAAAGTCACTCTGGCAGTAGCAGATGAAGGCATCAAACAGCTCAGGAGCCCCTAGATTCAATTCAGATAATTCAATTCACTAACACAAATTTATTTATCCTTATAACGCCATGTACTAAGCAACAGCTTGCAACACACACACACACACACACACACACACACACACACACACACACTAATCTTAGTAAAAATGGTATTCCACAGAACTGAGCTACATTCAACATAAGCATAACGTGTGGCAACCACAAAGCGGTGCGGGGAAGTGGAACGGTGCACTAGTGCAGACATGTGTGATTAGAGCTTTACATGATTTGTCGGATTAGGAGACAAGTTGGGGCCTTTCCTGTGTGATGCCTTACCACAGAAAATAATGCAGCGACCACTATCTCAAGTTTGACTTGAGCAAATACACCAGCTTTTATAGCTGCATTACAAAGTCAGAGTTATAGCAGAGATGCTAAGACGTTTATGGGATGTATCTGGAGAGATTAGGGCAGGTGGCATGGGAATTTTTAAAGAAAGGCAAAAGCTATTGATTGCTGGTAACCTAGAAAAGAAATTCTAATTAATTAAAGGTTTCTTTTTTTACATAGTTTCATCCAACATGTATTAGTGCATACTTATAATCTCTTCTCTTGGTGTTGATCAGGTAACAGTTGTGCACTCACACGCTAACAAGCTAAACAGAATATAAGCACAACAACTTAATTAAACATAACATGCATTTTATCACGTTTATTCTAATATAACGGCTGTAACTGTAACTCTGATTTGTTACAAATGTTTCATCTTCTTATTACCGATGGTGGAAGTACTCAAATCCTTAAGTTAAAGTGTTAACACAAAATTATCTTTTTTTAAAGTTTTATTGGAAAAATGTAACTAAAATATTAGTACTCACTATGCTAAATGGCTGTTGATGTTGCCACTCACACTCTTAACAAGTCAAGCAGAACATTTGCACAACAACTTGTACCTATTAATTAATCATAACATGCATTTTATCTTGTTTATTTTAATATAATGGTTGTACATGTAGTTTGACAATCTTCTTATTACAAATGTTGGAAGAAGATCCTTTAATTAAGTTAAAGTGGTAACACAACATTATCTAAATGTACTTACTTAATGAAGTTTTATTGGAAAGATGCACTTAAAATATCAATCGTGATGTTGTTACATTACATGACAGGATTATTATTCATGATTTATTAACACGTAAGCAGCATTTTATTGTTGTAGTTGGTTTGGCTGGAGCTACTTCATATACTGTTGGGTGTTCCATCATATTTTAGTAAAAAAAATTCTGATCATTTTGTTTTGTGTGTAAAATGTTAATTTGCAAAGTCACTAGTGACTACAGCCATCAGACGGATTTTGTGGAGAAGACAAAGTTGCATAAAATGGAAATACCCAAGTAAAGTCCAGTTTAGTCATGTAGTGGCAGCTCTACTATGGCTGAGGAAGCAATGATTAGCTTCATTGTGCTGAATCGTGTCCAATAGTGATTAATGCTTTTGGACTGCAGGGTTTTATTTGTGATATGTATATAGACACAAATCAATGTGTGTTTAACCAGTGGCACTGCCTTCTATTTGTATAAAGTATTTAAATAATAAAGCAAATGTAAAGAGTACACAAATACTGACCTTCGGGATCGTCCTCCAGGGTGATGCCGAACCTCTCTGGGGTGCGGGGGACACAGCTGTCAACCTCATGAACCTGAACAGGGGGTTCAGCCTTCTTCTTCAGACTTTCACAATACTTCCTGACATCCTCATCTGGTACAAAACAAGGTGTATATGTGCAAACCACACACACACGCATCAGTTTGCATACAGTCATTTGAGGGGACAGGTTTAGAAAGTGGACTGAATTTTATGAAATGTACTTTGAGAACTAATTTGTAGAAACGCGAATAGTTGCTGAACTGAAACGTCAACTTTCCTAGTTGTTTTGGGGGGCATTTATCAACTTCATTGGACAGTTTGAGTGTCCTTGGGAATGTTTTTAAACACATTCTGACTCATGTTTTGTAACAAGGGAATTCAGGCATGAATCACACAATTTGACTTGTTTACGTTTCCTATAGACCTCCTATAGGATTGTCGTAAATCACTGTGTGATGCCAATTGTTTTATCTTTTAATTTTATTTCGACATTTGTATGCTTTTATATTGATTATTGTAAACTTTTTTTTTTTTTTTTGGCTCATACATGTACTGAAAAGTGATAGAGAAATAAAGCTATTATTATTATTTCCTGCAATAATAAGAGGCTAACAGCGACATATGGTTTAAAAGGTAGAAAATAAACAGAACTTCCAAACACTAACGCACCTATTAAGGGACGAAGATCCTCCACAATGTCTTTTCTCTCCACCTCCTCCAGGATGGAGAGCAGCCTCCCCACCGTGGCGTCTGTGGACCGGGCCTGCCAGTCCTCCAGGAGCTTCACAGTGGGGCTGCGAGCTGCTTCATAGTTCTTTATCTCCAGGTAAGTGAAGCCCATGGCCTCTGCGACGGCCATCCAGTCCGCGGCCACTGTGTTCTTGGGGTTGAGATACAGCCCCAACTTTTTCCGCACGCTCACATTCAGCGCAATCAGAGGAATCTTCGCCACGTCCAATTCCGGATCGGCACACGCCATGTCCGAAAGTTTCCCGAGACCCCCGCGAGACGACGGGCTTTAGTTAAAAATACAAACGGGGAAACATTGTTTCGACGACGTGACTTGCAGTAGTGACTTGTTTTCAGGCGTCCACAGCTTACCTGTCAAGAGAACACGGAAGTGAAGTCAACTGGATGACTGCGTCACGGGAGGGGAGGGGGGGGGCGTGGCCTTCTGTGCACCTACAGTGCAGACACCACTGGCCAAAAAAGTGCACTTTCAATAGATAATACTTGTTAGTTCACTGGCATTGTCGCGTCGGTGACGGAAATGAAACAGATCGCTTTTATTGATTAGTAAAATGGCTTGCAGCAGTGGGCACCACAGGAAAATCCGAGTAACTGAAATGGGCGCTGAAGTGTTTCTGTTCCCCTTTCTTGTCTACATTCATAACTGCCCCCCCCCCCCCCCCCCCCCCCACCAAGGAAGCGCTGGTCTACCGCCCTCCTTTGATATCACTTATTTAATATAAAACTGGAATCAAGAGATTCAGAATTCAGAATGAAAAGAATGTAATAAACTCACATTCAAAAAACTCTTGCATTTACCTATTTTATTTTGAAACTGCCACAAACAGGCAAACTGACAATGAATTAAAAGCAATAACATCTGCACATGAACATCAACAGATAAATCATTTTACTGGTCTACTGCATCAAAACTAAAAACCACAATGTGGCTTTCACTGTTGCTGTTGCAGGAAACAGGAAACTTATAAAATGAGTCCGGGAAAGGTACGAGGCCTGTTTTTCCAGAGAACTGGTGGCATGTGTTGTGTACATATACATTAGTCAAGTTCACATGTAACTAGAACTGTGCATTTCCTCATCAGACAACTTCCCTAGATCACCGCGTTGTCTGTGTGCAATACAGATTTTACAGAAACAGTCCAAGTTTGTGGTGATCACTGAAGTTTCCATCCCCTGATCATCCACCCACGTGTTTGTGTTTGCTTTGAGGCAGATCACAGGTTTTTGCTTTTGGAGAAATAGAAATCTATGCCTCTGTCCCGATGTTGTTTGGGAGTGTGAGATGGACCTTTCTTTCCTCTTGGTGAAGGCCCCATGCCACTCTGAAATAAAAGGAAAACAAACATTACTGTAGTGGTTTAAAAGACGAGGGCTAGGGAACATTGCCTGTTTAAGTTAATGCCTGTTTTATTTCACTTTTTTATTTTACACATGCCAATAAGTATTATTTTTGCCAGTGGTGGAAGAGATGCCCAGAGTCAGGAGACATGAAGGAAACATCACTGCAAATCCATCACACCCTGGACCCAACTTGTTCCAGCTTCTCCCCTCTGGCAGAACGCTGTATGCCACAATGAACAGACACAGGAACAGTTTCTTTCCACAGGCCATCACTCTGATGAACAGTTAATTTCTGACACACTGTGTCAGGAACAACCCAGTAACACTGACTCTAACATCCACCTGTTTACTACTTATTATTTAATCATCATTCTGTAACTCAGTGCTGTTTATACTGTATATATTATATATAGCCTACTGTATCATATCCACCTCACATACATAACATGAGCACAAAACTACTTATTTACTCCAGCTTCCTTTGCGCTATTGTCTTGATCTGTCTACAATTTTGTTGTTTTGGTTCATGGTGTGTATCCAATCAAGGTTAAAGTCAATAGCAACTGGATTTTGCTGAAGATAGGATAACTATGACCTGGATGACTGAGAACCTTCACAGACATATGTGTGTGTACTGTATACTGTCTAATTCTTGCCGTGTGTTCTTTGTTTACGCTTGTCATGAGTAAGCACCTTGTGAGCAAGGTATAATCTGTAATACCTCGTATGTAGACACATACCTGCCAAATAAAGCTGATTCTGAAGTATTCAGCACTGGGTTGCAAAAGATCTCTCCAAGGTTATGGTGTAAAGTTGACACTAGAGACTTAGTAACTACTAGTTCGTTACTAAGTCAGCTACTAAAATTGGTTGCACTACAATAACTTGGGGCATTGCATGACTAGTTTGGACGTAAAGGCAAATGGCCAAAGAAATAATTACACCATCACGTTTACTATGCGTTTTAGCTGGCATGAAGCACTTGTCTAGGGAAAAAAATGCTCTTTTACCAGCAGTGAGGAAATTCTGTGACATTTTATTATCTACAGCCACCCTGGGGCATGTGTAACTATTTAGTAGTTAATGAGTTATGTTGTAATTTTTCTCCGTGGTGCAACTGCTTTTATTTCACTTATGTATAAATCACAACTTCATAATTTACGTTATAACTAGGCTAAGTTTAAACTTACACACACCAAAGTCCTGCATGTAAAATCCTACTTAAGTTTAAGTAAAGAAGTAGTGCCTACTAAATTTACTTAAAGTACCAAAAGTAACAATTTAACAGAAAAAGTACCCATGTGAGTGAAATCAAGTGTTATATCAAGTGTCTGTGTTAGCTGGACAAAGTGAAGCTAATTTTAAATACTTTCTATGCAGGTAGTTTTTGTCCAGCAGTTCCCCTAAGTTGGGAACTTTTGTGAAATACTTTATAATTTGTTCATCCAGCAATTTGCAATGTTTAGAGGAGAAATCTCTCTTTTGGAAGAACTGCTAACAACTCATAGCCCTCTAATGTAGAAGTGTAAAAAGTGCAGTATACAGTATCCTTCTGAATTGTGATGTAGTTTGTAGTATTAAGCAGCTTTAAATAGAAATATTTAAAAGGTATTTGAGGTATTTGTATAATTAACTTAAGTATAGTAATTGAGTATAGGTACTTACATTGCGCCACTTTTGTTTACAGCCATAAAAGGATTGAAAAATCTATTACAGCAGCAGCCCACATGGGCATACTATGCACTTCTCTTTTCTTCCCACCCACCGGTTTCTTGTTAGCGTGTCTGCTCCATTCAGGCGCTATGATGATGGGGGTGGGGTAGGTCTCACCAAGGGACACTTGAGCATGTGACAGTGCTGCAGTGCTGAGTGTCCAGGGCGTGTGCACGTCAGCTCCCCTGATGCCGTGCAGCTCAGGAACCCACTGCCGCACATAGTCACCCTAAAACAGTAATCTGAGTCATTCAGTGACTGAATCACAGCTCTCTTCACATTTGTACATGTTTCATCACCACCATTGTGACAGTGATACTTTCACAAACACTTGCACTCAGGAATTCTGTGTAGAAACATACATTATTGTCGTAATCAAGGCCTTGCTTGATCATGTTGAACTTCCTGTTTTCTCTGGGGTCATTTCCTACACCAGCACTGTAAAGCCAGTTGCCGTAGTTGCTGCAGACATCATAGTCAATCTTTGGAGGAAAATTAAAAATGATGAGGACAAGACACTTGTGAGTGAGTTTCATCACCCATACATAAAACTAAAAAAAGGACTGAATGGCTGAGCTAAGTACTTCTATTCCACAACATCTCAATAATTAAATAATTTATCACATTACTAATTAGGTCCTAAAAAATACCATTTGTCTTTTCAAAAAGCTCCAAACTGGTTGAAACTCTGGCCCTCACTATTTACCAGAAGATATTCAAACCACTCAGCTCCCATCCTCCAGTCCAGGCCCAGGTCTTTTGTGAGGAAGCTAGCAACATTTTGTCGCCCCCTGTTGGACATGAAGCCTGTCATTGCCAATTCTCTCATGTTGGCATCCACGAAGGGCACTCCGGTTCGCCCTTCTGTAATTACAAATACATAAAATACAAAACATATTTTGGGCTGCTAATACATATACTGTACATACACTGCTAATGCACCTCTTAAAGACACTACTTGATTTTTAATAAAGAATATTTTGTGTAATTGAGCAATGGTGCAAACCTTTCCACGCATTAAAAAGCTCCATGTCCTTTTTCCATGGAACAGACTTGTCTTGAAGACCTGAGATAAAATTACCATGAGCTTTAAATTAATGTATAGTGAATAAAAAAATTAGTTAAAAACTTGAGCTTATTTTACCTTTGACCTGAAACAGTCTGTTTCCATATTTGACACCTACAAACCTGAAGTAATCCCTCCACAAAAGTTCAAAAATGACCCTGAAAGACAGCAGTGACGATTGTCAGAAAGTAAAAACTAATTTCAGAGCACATATTATATTTCCATTAAAAACTGGTAATTTTTCCCAATGTACATATACATTTTGACACATTATTGCTTTATTTCATCAAATACAGAGAGTTTGTACATACCATATCAGTATGGCACTACTATACAATATCTATTGTATTGTATCTCACACATCTAAGTCATTTTTAACTCCATACTCACCAGTACGTGCTCTGATTGGCTGTCCGCTCCCTCTCATACTGCTTGATCTGATGATAAATATACCGTGGTGAAATGCAACCCATCGCCAGCCTGCAGAATACCAGTGGAGCACAGTTAGATATATTTTTAGGAAATACTTACATGGAAGAAGAGGAAATTATGCAATAACACTCACCAAGATGCAAATTTAGTGGAATAATCCACACCAATCAAGCCATTACGAGTCTCCTTGTAAGTTGCAACTGCATCCTACAAAACAGACATATAACATATTTATAACATACAACAACATAGTAGATAACACATCCTCATATGTGTTGTTTTTTTTGCATTTTAGAAACAGCAGCTAGTGCCTACTTGTACTCAGTTGTACTCACAGTGTCCCAGAAATAGTGTTTGAGTCTGGCCAGAGCCTGACTTTCACCACCACTGTAGGGGAAGGCTGAGCGAGGATCAGTCACAGGCTCTATTAGAATAAAACAAGAGAAGATTTCATACATGTTTAACACTCCCTGTTGCACATTGAGACACACAGAACCATAAAAGCTTAATCATATACATGGAAATCAAGGCAGTCTGCTCACTTGCTTAGTTTAATGAAGAAATCTTTGCTCAGCAGTCTGCCTATTGAATTCTGAAAGTAGCAGCAGTGGTTTGCTCAACAGAGGCACTGCGCAAAATGCACATTTGCCAATAACAGGTAAAGACATTTACACAAAAGTCAATTTAATAAGCACATAAAATAAATGTACAGGAAATGGTTTTGGTTATACAGATATAGCCATAGTGTTTCTGCAAAGACACAAGGGGGAAGGTGCAAGATTTACTGTATGAATTAAATCATTTGGATTGATCAGATAAACATTAGGATTATTTACCTGTCTGTTGCAGGTCCTCTACTGTAGGAATGGCTCCTTCCTCCAGCCCTTGGGGGAGAGGTTTGAGCTGCTCGGGGTCTGGGAACACAGGCCTCACTCTGCTCTGTGTCTCCACTGCCTTCCTGAACTGAGTGTACACATCAGGCAGCCTAACAAACCAGGAGGAAATGTTACAAGATATTCTAAGCACTTAATACTTCTTAATCTACATCTCTGATGAATATTGCTTTAGTCAAAAACAGGATGTTAAGCATAAATTGAATGCTTTGTCCCAGGCAAGCCATATCCTCTCTCACCTAGATATGTGGTGAAAAGGAAGATCATCTCTGTGGTACAGTGTAGCCCCCCAGCAGGTGTGAACTTTGATCTTCATCAGTGCACAGACATCCTTCACTCGTTTCTCCACGTTTAGTTCTTCCGAGCATACCTTGAATGTGAATGCATCATGGACAAACCAGGTCAAAATAACCAGACAATGTAATGCAGCGGTGACAATTACAATAAGAGAAAGACGGTCTACTACCTCTTCGTGGAAAGCCACTGCGCTGACAGAGCCCAGTTGCTTGATGAGGTCGGCAACTACCTCCTCTGGCTTACCATGTCTCACCACGAGGTTGCTGTCTCACACACACACACACACACACACACACACAAAGTCTGAGTTAACACCATGCCGGGCAAGCTGCATCCTGGTTAGAGAGCGAGTGACTTCCCCCCTGCTGACCAGAAAAAAAATTATGGGAACAGTGTGTGGCAGCTAGACATAACCCCCTATGAGCCCAGGTGTGTCCTGATCCTGTTACATCTGTATCTATTAATTCCTAGAAAGCCGAGGACAAGGCCCGCACAGAGTGTTTGTGCAACAATAACATAATACTTAACTTAAACTTTATTTGTCCCCGTAGGGCAATTGGTTCTGCAGCAAGACATAGACACAGGACAGACACAGATACAAGACCAAAATACATAAAATACTAAAATGTTACAGACAATGGTTGTACAACAAAGAATCGAGAAGAACTGATATAAAAGCTCATGACCACTTTTAAACCTTGTAAATAGACGATGGTTCTTCAGTGCTCTAACAAAGACAGAGCCAAGCTGTGGAGAAGGTCAGCAATGTAAATAAAGCAGTAGAAGACAGATATATTAGAGTCACATACAGGAAAACAGAAAACAAACAACAGTTTAGTTACCTGCCCTTGATGAGCAGCGTGCTTCTGAGGTCCCTGATGCTCTGTAGTAAGAAGCGCAGGCGGAAAGGCCCAGTCTTTGGTAGGTTGTAGTTGTATGTTCCCACATAATGTCTGGGGTCGAAGCAGTACAGTGGGACGACGTACTCCGCATTTCTTTGAGCCCAGTGGAAAAGCTGCATGTGAAGAGTACCAAATATGTGTCATACATCATCTCGTAGGAAAAATTATCATGGCATGAATGTAGTGGCAGCAAACACTTAAATATGGAAAGTGAATAATTTGATTAGACATGCAAAAGACTGTTGTAAGAACAGTGCTGTGGCTGGTTGTGGCATACAACTAAACCATGCCAGACACATCATCTTAATTTAAATGCATGTTTTATGGACACTGAAAGTAAACAAATGCTCCATTTAGAGACTCCGTCTTTTATTTTGAAAAATGCAACCAGAAGTGGTGCATGTCACCATTCTCTGGATGACAGAAGGCTTGTTGTCTGACAAAGCTAGAAATAAGATCACAAGGCAGGACAGGAATAATATTATTACTTATAACGTGTGCCGTTTTATTACGAATTCATAAAGTCGGATTATTTACTTTTTGAAAAAATAGGCTTTTATTTTCAATAACTTACACCGGAAGTGATGTTGTTGCGAGCTTCATGCTACTGGCAAACACTTCGTAATATGCACAAAATGTCCTCGTAACGACGTTAACAAAGCAAATCCCACACGTTTACTTGCAAGTTATATAGTTCGAAAGTTAAATAACGTCGGATTTAATATCTATGGAGAAGTAACAGATGGATATTCTTACCTCATTGTCGTGAAGACGCAAGTCGTTTCTTAATAAACATATGATTGTACGGGAGGTAGACATACTTATTGCTTTAAATATAACGTTAGCTGCAATAGTTGTATCAGAAACACCAACAGTGCTTCGTGTCAAAGATCAGCGTCTACCGGTCTTCAGTGTCGGCTGTTCGTGCCGAGGGAGTCCGTCACGTTTTCAGACACGACGTTACGAAACGAGAGGTTTTGTAAGGTGGTTGCTGCTCTGCCTCAAGCGATAAAGCTTATAGAATCAGTTTTCACTTACACAATCAATTACTTGCTTTACCTACATAACCCATTTATATTTATGCACATACATACACACACACTAGCCACGTTACCCCCCCGGTGGGGCATTTGAAACACCACTACGACCACAATAATAAACATAAAGTACAACAATCATCATCACCTTTCTGACAGTGTCAACAAAACTGAAAATGTATAAGTTTTGTAACCGAAAGTTACCAATTGTTACAAAGGAGTTGTTTTGCACTAGGTTGTACAGGTGTACCTAATAAAGTGGCCTGTGAGTGTCTATATAAAATCCAATCCATTAATGAACTAATTTTGTTATGATTGTCCATATGAAACAAGAAAGAAAACGCAATACGTTATATTATGACTTAACATAAACAAATTCAAAATAATAATTCTACACTTTGAAGAAAAAAACTAAAAAAAAACTATTTTACTAAACTAAAAAAGGAACATATTCTAGTTTTAAAGCATATTTCAGATAATTCAGTGCAAAAATAGGTACCTCACAGAAGAAGATAAAAGTGAATAAACCTGCAACAAGGGCAAAAGTGATCACAAAACAACACAATAAAATCACACAGGGAAACTGTCTTAGACCTTGGATTTATTAAGTAATGTAGTAATTAAGTAAGTTAAGTAATTATAAAGAAAATACAAAAGATCAATGACTTGATACATTTCATGTTTTAAGGATTTGTCATTAAGACAAAACAAAATGTTCCAATTAAAAGCCTCGCAGCATTTTCATACTGCCTATCAGCTCTCAAAGAGACAATCATACATACTCCTGTCCTGTCACAGTTCAGTCTAATGCAGTGGTTCTTAACCTGGGGGTCGTGACCCCCCTGGGGGTCGGGACCTGGTCCCAGGGGGGTCGCACGAATGCTGCTATAGACACAAAAATAAAAAATAAAAACTAACTAGATGGACTTGTGAATGGAATCACTTTGGGTGGACACTAAAAATATTTTGCACTGTTTAATCCAGCAGGTGGCGGTGATGCCAACCACTATAAAACGACAAAGACAAACCCAAGCGCTTTGCAGGTTCGAAAATGTGAGGCGCATAGCAATGGCTTTTTTGGTTGAATTAAGAAAAGAGAAAAACGCTTTTAATGTTGCTAGGCAACCACCGAATCAGCTGTCCTTACAGTCTAATCAAAGATGATAGTGCTGGCGATCTGTAATCTTTGGTTTGCCGCTAAGTCATAACGGTCATATTAGCAGAAACTTGATCACAACTCACAGGTCTGTGTTGCTAAATATTTTCAACTTCAAAAAGGGGTCTCACTGCCAGAAAAGTTAAGAATCCCTGGTCTAATGTATAACATAGCTGTTTCATCATTTGTATATAATGCAAAGTGCAAAGGTGCAGAACAGTATGTATTTACATTATAATCTTATTTTTTTCCATATAAAAGAACTTCAGCAAATCCTGTGGGTGCTCTCTATTGAAGAGCTGCTCACCTTATTAAGAAGCTTTCTGCTTTGGCAGTGAACATTTGTGTTTACAAGCAGATTCAGATAAAGCACTGAACATTTGTCATGTGCTTCCCAGTTCATCTGCTACCCGCAACCCTGCCTATATGTTCTTGAATTTATTCTCTCTTCTGCTTGGGTTATTGTTGCGTGGATTTGTTTTTTGGACTCTACGTTTACCTGTGGATTTTCTGTTCCTATTTGGTTATCCAGTTTCATGGACAGTTTATGTTTTGGATAATTTGGACTACAACTTCAAATTGTACTGAATAAATTAAATAAAACTTTCTCATCCAGCAATATTCCGTTGTCTGCTTCTGGGTACTACACCTTGTTTTTCCTGCCTGAGGACACGGCCTATCATGACACAAGTTTTTTTCTCGAGGCTACTACAATATTGACCTCTATGTTACAGCTCCCTACACACTATGACAAAGGAATATTTTTAAATAGTAGAAGGAAGGTGGGTTTTATCACATTACAACAGGTTTTAAGGTAATATGTTCGTAACTCCCTTCTGCTACGTAGCAGACAATATCCAGTAACACAAAATCAATCATAAAATGGTAAGTAGAATTCAATGGAGCAGTGCTGTGGATGAATTTGATTTTAAAAGTCCCATAGCTTGGGGGAAAAGCCACTCTGCAGTCTAATGGTGCGATCTAACTCTGACAATACTGTCAAAATACAATAAGTATTTGACAAAACTGAGCCACAGGAAAGTAGAATACAAGTGAATTTTCTGCACAGCACCAAAGCCTGAGCCCACTGCTAAACATCACAATTTTCAGCAGTCCTGACGTGTCTGCAAATTTTCATGAGGTTTCAGGCATCCTGTCCCTCAAATGCGTCTTAGGTGCAGAATAACCTTAATAATCCTGGCAAAAACAATAGGTTCCTTGCACAAAAGCTAAATACTTATCTGTAAGTAAATAAAAGCCCACATCAATAATAAACATCTACTATAATCTATCAATCTAATAATAAGACATGCATGGCTAATGGGTATTAATTTAAAATCTGAAATAAAGTTTAGATGACAACGCCAACCATTACAAGATCACATTTTATTTGACAATATATACAAAACGTTAGATATGGTGGTAATTGATGTAAATCCTACTTGATTAAAGACCATTACATCTAAATCCAACACCTATATATAATTGATTAATGAACAAATAAATTGACATTAAACCATTTTCCAGAACTTTGTATTAATAACAACGGTAAAACAATTGGAATACATAAAATGTTCATTCCTGGCTTGAGATGGCTTATTTCGTTTCCTAACACCTTAACTTGAACTTTGACAGGGGTGTCTGGGGTTGTGGTAGGTTAATTACAAAGACCACAAATCCAAATTGCCGTAACTTTTTCTCTCAATGACTGAAGCTAACGTTACCAAAGCTAACGTCAAGAAACTTACATGAGAAGATGATGTGATGAAAGGAGAGAGTCGTTTGATTAAACACATCAGGTGAGATATATTTCTGTGTGGAAAATAGCTAAGATACCAAGCTAGTAGCAACCAAACAATAAACCTTCGCTAGCATTACTGTGTTAACATGTTGGTGACGTATATTGTGCAAGACAAAAGATGAAGTTTACTGAACGAATTTCACACAAAACTAACGGCCTTTCTCAATCTGTGTTCTTGTATTCTTGTGAAACATCATTTTTTGTGGCCCCAATCATAGACTTTAGGTCCCAATACACAAGTTTGCATTTTAGCAAGAACGGTTAAAAATCCCGGAAAAGTTCTTGACACGCCCATTTTACCGAGGATGTGTCGGTTAACTTGTGTAAACTTGACGGCAGAGATATCCCAGCATTCATTTCGGCATTCAAGTGAGGGGCTGAAAGAAGCTGAGAGGCCAACAACAGAACGTTTTGTACTATTTTCGTACATTATTTCATCACTAAATCCACTTCTGAGAAGGTTTGAGGCGACAATTCAGCTGTGTAGATGTCGAATATTGGCAGTTTTACTAAAATTCCCGCGCCAACACAGCAGAGTCCTGCATCAACGGCAGAGTAAAGACCCACAGCTGTATGATAGTTTTAACGTTCGTACTGCTGTTATTCTGTCATTACATTCTGAGTAATTTTGTAAGATTTTAACTCAGATCAAGAGACATCTTGATGATGTACAGAAAAATGGTGATGTACAAAAAAATCTGGTCTTGTGAAACTTCGGGACAAATTATCAGAAATAGTATGAAAGGGGACTGTCTTTGCTTTATTATTATTATTAATATTATTATATTAGACATTACATTGCTAGTGCACAGTAGAGTTGGGGTCACAGTATTTGCTTTTTATTAGCTTTTATCTTATATAATTATTTTATGTGCAAATATATCTTGGTAAGTTCAAACCAACAATAAACCTGATTCTGAGCTTTTTGTTTTGGGGATAAAGCCTGGCTGTTTTAATAATTAGAGCAATGCAGGGGCCTCTGTGCTGGTGGTATTGCGCAATGCCAGCAAGAACGCACCGTCTGAAACCGTCAGCAGCGTTTTGTGTGCTCATGACATTCTTCAAGTTTATTCTTCCAAGAACGACTAGCAAGAACGTTCTCCCCAAGAACACAAGTCTATTCTTTGCATTCTTGGTTTTGAGAAACACTCTGTGTTACTTTACTGTTTTACAATAAACTGCAACTTTCTTGACAGACAAAAATATCTTTTAAATTGACAAACATCATGTCTAATTCAGGGCAGAATTCAAACGGGATAAAAAAACAAAAAAGTTGGCTCTTACCGTTGACTACCATACATATATTTTTCAAAATAAGGTTCCATGGGGTGGAAGCGCCTGTGACCCGACCCCGGATAAGCGAATGAAGATGGATGGTTGGATGGACTGGGAGGAAGCGAAAGCGAGGGACTTAGGCACTTTTATTAGTCCCCACAGTGCTTCCTCAATAAGAATGTGGTTGTCGTCTAGCAGAAGGCTTAGGCTGTGTGGTGTCCGAACAATAATGCTGCGATGATGTGTTGAGAAGAAATCCGCTTGACACTGTTCTTGATCATAAAAGTTTATTACATCAAGGAATTCAGCATCAATTACAAGCTCTGTAGCAGCTTGGAGAGTGACCCAGCCCGATGACCACTCTGTCTCTCTGTACATCAAACACAGCTTATATAGGACATGTTTAGGTATCTGCCAAATACCATATAAGGGTACAGTACTACTCTGAGGTAACAAAACAAGGGGTCAGAGGTCAAATTCTATAGAAGGGTTCAGTCCCTACATAACCACCAATCATTACTCTCCCCTAAGAGGTCACTGACCCTCTGTCCAGCTGCTACAGTGCTATTTTAAACTGTAATGGTCAAATTCACATATGTTATACACCACAGCTGCATGGAGTCCCCTTCACGTCCATCACCCCACAGGCACCAACTACCTCCTGGGAAAGAGCGCTGACCTCCTGTCGAGAGAAAGCAAACATCAGGTACTATGTTGTTAGATATTCTCTCTCACTAATTACATCATTGTTTAATTTAGATTGGTTAAAAATATAACCTTTTTGACCATTGATTCTATTTGTTTGTTTTTAATTGTCACACCAAATCGATTGGGGAAACCTGCTCTATCTCTTGAGCCACAGCCGACCCTACCTTACATCCTTGGGTTGTAAAATGAATAAATCTTCTCTGTTCCCTGTAAATTAACTTTATGTCAAATAGCCAAATGTATATCCTACCTGCTGCATCGTCATGTTACGCAAAGGGATGACCTCTTTCTCTTTCTGGCATATTTTTATTGCAGAAAGCTGAACAAGGTGGATTGGTGTGTTTTTTATAATGATACTCCAGAGCCCCCTTCACTGTCAATCATCCCTCAATGTCGTTGTAGGTTCCTAGTAGAGCCTCTGCCGCCTGGCGTAGCTTCGCCGATACAGGCAGAGGAGCTCTAAAGAACATGATGTCTTTCTTTTGACAGTCAATGCATTTGGTGGAGACTGCCCCCTCATGGCAGGGCCCCTCCTTATCTCGGCAAAAGTCACTCTTGTCACCGATTTCCCATCAGAAAAGGCAGCAACAATTTTATGCTTTGTCATGGCTGGCCTTGCTCCACCACTAAATCACTCCTAGGCCACCACCCTGAGCTGTTCAGCAATAGCTACCACACATATGGCTGGGGTTTTGCGTATGGACTGTTGCGCTTTGACCACTGGGCACTTTTTTAAAGCAATTCTTAAATAAAGTGAACACAGATAAAGTTATACAGATAAGCTAATATTTAACATTTATTTTCAAGATGTATTTATTCATATTAGTAATGTGATTTGTAATTTCATCTGTGCACATTTTCCTGCTGGTAAAATAGAGGGAGAGATCCCTTTAAAACTTTTTTAATCCCTGTAAACCTTCCCATCAAACAAGACTCAAAAAATCTTTTTGTCTTATTTGTATGGGTAAAGTTAAAAATGTGAGCATTTCAGTGATTTAGTCTGAATTAGTACTTTCTGCTTTCGTCCAGAATTTTTGAAGACAACTTTTGATGGCCGCGAATATTTACAACCTCCATATTCCTCCATATACGTTCATTAATGTGAATCAAGCAGGAAGCTTCTGGTCTGAGAAGCGAAGCGAATGCGCAAGTCCCTTAAACCTGCATTCTATCGAACAGCCAGCAGGGGGAGACTCCTCTAGTTGCAAAAAGAGGTCTGCCTCCATTAAAAACTAATGGTATGAGTGTATGGTCTCAATTGCTAGTTTCATGTCTTCTTTAAAACAGCATGATGTTCATTTTTTAAATTATGGTCCTATTAAGAGGAAAATAGACCACAAAGCAGAGTATGCTTCAGGGTGGGACTATCTGTGATTGACAAACCATTACCATGGGTGTAGCTTTCTACAAAACAACACAATAAAAGCACACAGGGATATAGTCTTAGACCTTGGATTTATTAAGTTAAATGTACAAAAGATCAATGACTTGATACATTTCATGTTTCAAGGCTTTTTCATTAAGACAAAACAAACTGTCCCAATCGAAAGCCTCCCAGCCTTTTCATACTGCCTACCAGCTCTCAAAGAGACAAATACTTCTGTCTAAATCACAGTACAGTCTACTGTATAACGTAGCTATTTCGTCAAATAGATTTGTATATAATGTAAGGAATTTTCATACAAAAGTGCAGAACAATATGTATTTACAGTATAATCTTTTTTTTTTTTTCCATATAAAAGAACTTCAGCAAATCCTGTGTGTGCTCTCTACTGAACAGCTGCTCACCTTATTAAGAAGCTTTCTGCTTTGGCAGTGAACATTTGTGTTTACAAGCAGATTCAGATAAGGCACTGAACAGGGGGAAAAAAGGTTTGATCGTTCTTTGAGTGCCACTGTGTTACAAGTAGCCATTACACCTCCAACATCAGTCTCCCCAGTTAAAGGATCATCTCATCTCCACTTATACAGCCTTTTGCTCGTTCTGTCCAACTTGACCCTTTTTTTGGCGACTTGAAATATGCTTTATCTCACATGACATGATGTGCTGTCAAGTAGTCATTACTTGACCTATTCATAGTCTGGAAAGCAAAGTAAAGGCATGGGGTGACTGGATTCATATTGAAGTTACAAAAACAAAAATGTAAATGAGACGCTTACTTCAACCTAATTTCATAATGCTTTTCATACTAACACAATGTGACGTCAATGCATCTGATTTGGTCTGTGCAGTGTACTGTGCACGAAGCTGCCATAACATAGAAAAGGCTGTAAGGGCTCTGAGGTGACAAAACAATCCAACATGACTAATACTGCGCATCAACTTTAGCCTAAAGTTGTTGAAAATTTCTGACTCTGCAACTTTTCTTTGGGCACTTTTTTTCTCTGGACACAAGGCTCACTGCATGGGAAGCTGGAATGGATGTCACAGACTCCTACAGTAGTGTTGGTATTGCTTAATAGACATTGCACACTGAATGCAAAAGTTTGGTTCTTTTTTTCTTCTTCTTTACATCGGCACACACTACACAATTCTCCTTATGAAATTAGATAAAAAATGCTTCAAATAGAAAAATATCTCCTCAGTTGATTATCCTGCATGTTGGAAATATTTCAATGCATTATATCAAAAGTGCAATGTTGACAATCCTTCTGAATGGGGCTGTGAGTGCTATGAAAGTAGGGTACTGCCACCCTCAGATGTAAAGAAAAAACAGAACAAAAACATTCTTACTTACAAATTCTTACTGTAAGGCGTTCACAAAAATACATTGACATTTTTTAGGTGACGACAGGACACCCGTTTGCTAAGATGACTTTATGTGTGTTATTGTCTGTCATATAAAAAATATTTTACCACCTTAAGTCTCACAGCTAACTCAGGCGGATAAGTACTTACAGTACTATCAGATGTGATCAGTGTCACTAGTCACTCACAATTACATGGTGTCTAGCCAAATCGAGACGCTGTTCTGCGGCAGTAAATGAGTATAAAGACCCAGAAAGCTTCAGAAACCACTGCTCTCTAACTTGGGTCACGTCGTCTGCTCTTGTTAAAGGACAGCAGTCTGTAGCTCGTGAGACTGCTAAGTGCTTTCTTGTCAGTCCCCTCCTGGGGCAACACACTGCGATGCCGCGGAGGACTCTGGAGGTCTGGAGGACAGCAGTCAACCTGGCCTCTTGGGGAAAAATCCAGATTGCGCTAGTTGGTGAGAGATGCAGGGGTCCTGACAAGGCCGACACTGGTGATAGATGACAGGGCAGGACGTTGGAGTGATGCTGAGCCCTGGAGCCTGGTGACAGGGGGCCCTGGGGACGGGGCGGGCGCCGGAGAGGAGGGGAGGTGCCAGGGCCGCAGAGGCCTCACAGGCAGGGGAGGGGAAGGGGGTCTTCAGGCCTCAGAAGCTGCCCTGGACGAACGGGTGGCTGAGCAGACCGTCTGCAGTGGGCCGCCACTTCTCCTCCACAAACACCTGCCGCAGGAAGTCCCTGCAAGCGTCGGACACGCCCTCGGGAAGCATGGGCTTTGTAGGCTGGGTGGCAATCTTAAAAATGGCTGCCATGGCCTCGTACTCCGCCCATGGAGGTTTCTGGGTCAACATTTCCACAACAGTGCAGGCAACACTCCTGAGGAAAAACAACATCCAGGAGAGGTAGTTGATTGTCAGAACTTTATCATATCGGCATCAAATATTATTTTACATGTAGTTGTTATGTCTATATGTATTCATGTTTATATTACACTATACTTATAACAACAGTAACACCTTACAATGTCAATGCTACACCACCACCAACAATGTAAGAGTTGACCCTTTAACACTTAACTACATTAAAAGAAATTACATTTTTTGATTTGTGTACCTTTGATATTAATTTGGACATAAAGGTTTCAAGGATTTATTTCATTGCTCAACTGCCAGTGCCTCGAAGGCAGAGAGACACCAATGTCATGCATTGTACCTAGATTATTAATACAACAGAAAATGACCACGTAAAAGAAATGCCGATTTGGCCCCTCAAATCACATCATATATTTATCTGTCTGTCTATCTATTGAGAGAGAGAGTGAGAGAGACAAAGTTAAACACTGCTTCATGTTCTTTGACACAGTCCTATCTCATGAATATAAGCTTCTAGTGAAAACTACGTTTGTCTCAGGAGATTGGAAAAACTCAATGTACTTGAGCATGAAAGTAATGTTATGCACCGTTTCTTCCTAGTGGAGAGTTACTTTGTTTCTCCCTCTCTCTCCCCTTCCCGGTGTGTGTGGGAGTGAGTGTCTGTCCAATTAGAGGAGGGGAGTCAGGTGTGCAGGAGTCGGTCCACCAGCTGCCAATCATCTTCAATCCACTCTGCTTTAAATACCTGGCTCCTGCTTTGTGTATTTTGATAGCATTCCTTAATTCCTGTATCTTACAGTCTTCTTGCCTGGACCTGACCCCTACCCCTGCTCCGCTCCTATTGAGCCTGGATTCAGAACTTCTACTCCTGGATCTCTGGACTCCCTGCTGGATCAAAATTCACTTCCAGGATCTCTGGACTCTTATCTACTCCCACTGCCGCCCCCACTTCCCTGCCTGGATCCGCTCACTCTGCTGTTCTTGGCTCAAGCCCGGACTTTCCCTAGACCCATAGACTCTGCGCATAATTACTTTTAAGCATTGTACCAATAAATTCAACTTGAACTGAAGTTCTAATTCTGTGTGTTGAGTCCTGCATTTGGGTTCTCACAAACAGTAAGCCTTAACAAGTAATTTGGTCAATTTTAGGTAAATTAAATACTCTTCGTGAGTTTAGACAATTCTCCTGTCTTAGGCTAAAGGAAATCCCAAAAAACTAACTGAATTTAATCTTAAAATGTATCACAAAGCTTAAAACAAGGCCCCTACATATAGCTATCATTGGACAGCAACAAAATATATTACTGGAGGCCTATTGCTTTTAATTGTATTATACTGTATTTAACAGGTGTTCATGCTGACTTATTCTCCCCAGTATTTCTATTACAAGTTAATACTTCTGCTTTGTAATCCAAATTTAAAATGGCTCCATATATCTATGTCTTAGTGGCTGGTACGTATTCGACTGTAACTGGTTGCATTTCCCAGTAACATGTTATACTTGTTGAATTGAACTTTCACCAGCTTTGGCTCACATTAAGTAGATCCCGGGAACAAGCAAAAAAGGTAACTTTGCTGCTTAAATGATTTGTACCTGCATCATTTAAACCACAGAGCAATCTTTTTGAAATGAGTCTTATCTTCATCGTCATATTCAATTCACTTTAGTTCTTTATATTGTACTAGCAGTCTTAGTGCTAGTGCCCCAGGTGCAGAACAGTGGGTGGTTAAGGGTTAAATACTTTAGATACAAACAATTCTTACAAACATTTTACCTTTTTTATAAGCTTCACAAATTAGGCTTTTACTGCATTGCATTTCACATTACAGACATATACATATATAATATTTTGTAATCCAATTTAAGATAATTCCATTAAATGTAATTAACTGTTAATGGTCTTATACTAAATACGGTACACTTAACATGACATATTGTAAATACCACCAACACAACTGTTTTAACAATTTATAGCTTTACCACCCATGTACTGAGGTCACTTTATAGCTTTTTTTTTTTTTTTACTGCCACAGTGTATTTTGTGCTGGTGATATATTTCTGAGCTGCAACCGTATTAATTTACCCTTTGGGCCTCATCACAGTTCCATATGATCTTTTTCTTACCATACATCAGCTTTGCGGCCGTAGCCCTCCCCATTGATGACTTCCGGGCTCATCCAGTAGGGGGTGCCAGTGACGGACTTGATTCCTGTACCAGACATGCAGATGGTCTGGATACGTTTGCTGGCTCCAAAGTCTCCCAGCTTCACATTCCCTGATGAATCTCTCAGGATGTTAGCACCTGGTGGAACAAAACAAAATGAGCTCATAGTTATTCAAAAGTCTCCCAAGGACTGTCAACATCCTTTGAGGGATACGTTGACAGTTTGAAGTTCAATTAATGTAGTCGGCCGTTACAAAGTGCCTGTGCCAGCGCAACCTAAAGGGAAAGGCAAACTTTTACTCTGGCTTGACAGGTGTGATGATGGAACTCTGACAGACTCATTTCTAAAATATCAAAGTACACCTTTTAGCAATCTCTATATAAATACCACACTGACTCAACGCCATACACACTTAAGACTTTTCGCACATTACACAAATCAAAAAATGAAATACTGAATCAGCCATCTGCTCCACGTGGATCAACCCCCAACACCTTCTCTCGACCTTCTTTACTGAATTTCCAACACGTAGCTGTGTCTATCCCATTTCCTTCAGGCGCTCCACTTGTTTGATCAGTGACTAATATGCACCACTCGCCACTCACTCTCCACACCCACTGCAGGATGGAGGGCTGCACAGAAGAGATTGAGAGACTAAAGCTGTGACCTTTACTCTCTTTACGTCTCACATCTTTAACCCGTCTCCACTGGTGCGTTTGTTGTGAGGATGTGAGGCTCTCCAATAAATCATGTTAGCCCCGTTTAAGGCTTCATTTGGCTCCCATTAAATTCACAGAAACTTTATAGTCTAACGTCCCGGCTGCGATGCCATGCTCTATCCAAAAACCGCATGTGCTGACAACTCTTTTGCTGCATACAGAAGAGCTCTTGTGTGGTGAGATGAGCACACACACCGTATATTACACAAGAAGAGCATTTCTAAGTGGAAAATCCCACCCACATATACTCTCATGGAGCCTGCCCATGTCCTGTGAGACCTACTATCTTTTTTTCCCCACCAGACGGTATATTTCCCTCTTCTCGGCCACGGCTGAACGAGGCAGCTACTCCCAAAGCTGTGGGTAGCCAAACTAAAGCCTTTCCATCCGGTGTTGAACATTTTTAGGCTGGCTGATTTCACCGGCATGGAGCCTAACATATCTCAAAGGGGAGTTCAAAATAGCACCTTTTTCATTCCAGGCTCCTACTGTAGACAGTGAATAACCAAATGAGGAAATGTCAACCGAAATAAAATGAATGAATCTGTAGTGTTCTCAGCAACAGCTGCGGCAATATGAACCATAAAGATTTGCTGTTTACACAGACTGTCAGCTAAGTCTGAGTCTCAAGTGTGGGTGTTCACTGGTTATAAATCCAATTAAAATCCTATCCTGACCTTCGCTAGCTCGCCGTTTCAGTTACCTTTGATGTCTCGGTGTACAATCATGTTGCTGTGCAGGTAGGAGACTCCTTGGAGGATCTGCCTGGTGTATCGCCTTGTCACCTTCTCTGTCAGGGCCCCATAGGCTTTTAGCTGGTCCTTTATTGAGCCCTGGAGAGACAGCATTAGAGAATGAGAGAAAAACAAAAAGGCAGTGAGTGAATAAGTGGAGAAATGCATTCAGGATCTTGATATTGACTGTACTGTTAACTAATATTATTGTCACAGCTGTGGTGTATAAGATTATAGAAGATCTGCTTTGGAAAGATGTGTATGATGGATATAAAACAATTGAGTGTCTGAGATGACAATGATTTTATGGAAATTCAGATATTTTGAAAGCAGCCTCTGAGCCAATTTTTAAATACAAAAACCAAGTGTATAAACAAACAATGAACTGAAAGAAATCTGTTATATTTTAAGTCCAAACACCTTCAATGAATTCATTTCCTGTTTTCAGTTCCTCCTGAGGAAATCGCAGAAGGCAAAGATCTTGATCCAGTAACACCTGTGTCGCAGTTTTGGACTTAGGCTTGGAAAACAAAACCTTTCCCTCTTCACTTTCAGCTGTCAATAAGACACCTCAACAGCTCTCTGACTAACACCCCCCCCCCCTCCCCACAGGAGACTTAAGTGTTATCGGTCAGCCACAGCGGTGCCACTCGCACACAAACTTGGCCTTGTCACCTGCCCTCTTTGCCTCTGCCAACAAATCCCAGTGAAACATAAACATTTCCAAGTTCCAGACAATGTGTGACTAAGAAGCTCAACGCCACTCAGGAAAAACAAAATAGCCCTGTAAATATTAAAAGCAGGCGCAGGGACAGGGTCCACAGGCGACAGCAACTCGTTAAGGCGCTCATTCAGTGAGAAAATGATCTCATAAACTGAGCTGTTCTGCTGACATCAACCACTGAGGACACATTTGTTGACAGCTGGTGACATTTCAAAATTGTTTTAGCAGATGTGGTCAGTATGTGTGTTTGATTTGTTCATCTCTACAGACGAAACAACTCAAGACGTCACATTCTCAGACAGTCTCTTGATCAAACTGTAAGGACTATTGCCTTGCTGTTTGCAGTACACGTGACTTATTAAAGTTTAAATATATTCAAATGAAATGCCCCGCAGAATACGCACCCCAGGCATAAACTCCACAAAGATGGTGAGCCTCTTTTGCTCGAGGTCCCGAAGACAGCCATAGTACTGAACAATGCGCTCGTGGCGCAGATTCTTTAGCAGCTGAATCTCACACTCCAGAGCATTCACCTCCTGCAAAAATAAAGTGTTTGAATTAAGAAAAGCATAGAGCAATTCAAACACATAGCATCTTTCATCTTTAATCATAAAATCACTGCCCAAAAATACACGTAGTCCTGACTTATTGTGTTCTCTCTCACCTTGCTGGTATCTTGACAGTCTGGATCAAAGGGCACCTGCTTGGCGGCCAGCTCACGGCCTGTGTCGGCGTCATAACAGAGGTAAACCTCGCCGAATGCCCCGCGCCCCAGGAGCTTTCCTTGTCGCCAGTTGACTGGTGCCCGCGGCGCTGCAGGAACACAACACCAGATGATGAAAACCCACCAGTAATTCATTTTGTTGCTAAGCCCCCAGAGGCAGACAGATCAACTGTGATTTACCGATTTGAGCAAACACTAACACCAAAGCATGCGTCAAAATTCCACCACAAGACCCGACCATAACTCGGCCTGTAACTTCACCAAGACCAGACGTCAAATCCACCGCAGGGTCGTTAAATAATTCCCACCGCAGACCCTCTCCATATGGGGAAACCCCTGATATCTGAGTCAAACCCCGCTCAGCCAACAAAAAGTCGTCAAAACCTGGAGAGAACATCTCAACAACACTCATCTTCACAGGCCCAGACTCTGAGACTTTGTTTTGGAATTAACAGGCTTCTTTGTGGCCGGGTTAGACAGTTTGGTCGTATGTGGGTGAGAAGGGACACCGGAGACTGACATGTCAACCACAGACTGCTGAGATGAACTTTCACTTCATGACAAAGACAACTTCTGGGCAATGCAAACGGTGGACTGGATAAGGACAGATGTGAGCCACGTGACATGGATGATCAGAGGGGAATTCTGCCTGCTGTGATCCATGTACGTTAGTTCTACTCCCTCTTACTACTAAGAATTAAAACATGTTTGACAGCCATAGAGTATTTACTGGAATGAAGATTATCCTTGTTATGTCTCTGTCCATAATGGCATAACACATTTAAACGTCTCGTAACTCCACTGTGTTTAACTTTATGATTCAACAATAAAGTCATTTAAACATTTTCAAGTTTAAGTACTAATACAAAACTGTTTTAATGCCTGACTTCTCTAAATGTTCTATTTTTCACTCTACAAAAAAAAGCCAAAGATTGCAATTGATAATTTTGTCTAGAAACCAGCTTTCATACAGGAACTTTGGATAGATGGATAGTCTTAATTGTTCTAGGAGGGAAATTAGATTTTTTAAAGCCCACGTGTTTTACGTAAAAAACAGAACAGTGGACATATGGTTATATAGTATAAATATTATGAGGTTTACAGCACTAAAGTAAAAAGTACTGAGGTTTAATCCCTTGCCCTACTCTTGACAAGCAGAAGAAAACAAGTCTGAACTTTCTTCAGGAAGAGCCCAGCCCCACCCTCCACCATCATCCTGTGTTACTCCCCAGTCACCACTGTGGACTCCTTCCGCTTCCTGGGCACCATCATCTCCCAGGGCCTCAAGTGGGAGCTGAACATCACCTCCATCATCAAAAAGGCCCAGCAGAGGATGTACTTCCTGCGGCAGCTGAAGAAGTTCAGCCTGCCAAAGACAATGATGGTGCACTTCTACACCGCCATCATTGAGTCCATCCTCACCTCCTCCATCACCATCTGGTACGCTGCTGCCACTGCCAGGGACAAGGGCAGGCTGCAGCGCATCATTCGCTCTGCAGAGAAGGTGATTGGCTGCAGTCTTCCTTCTCTTCTGGACCTGTACTCCTCAAGGACTCTGAGGCGAGCAGGAAAGATTGCAACTGACTCCTCCCACCCCGGCCACAAACTGTTTCAGACTCTCCCCTCTGGCAGGAGGCTGCGGTCCATCAGGACCAAAACTTCTCGCCACAAACAACAACAGTTTCTTCCCGTCTGCAACTAGCCTCATTAACAAGGCCCGGGTCCCCTACTGACACTCCCCCCTTGCAAACGATACAAATGTCTCTGCACATATAAATACCATTTCATCTCGTGTCGGGCACAGACCTGGCGCGTCGCACATATTTGTTGTTGATTGTTGATCTTTGTTGTTGTATATTTTTATGTTGTCAGTTTATATATTTATATGTACACAATATTCTCTTCCGTTGCGTTACTTCTGCACGGCCCAGACCCAGAATAATGATCATGTATATATCTGTAACGTTGTTCTTCCATTCCATATTTATTATATTTCTACATTTATTTATGTTGACTGTATGTTTGTCTACGTGTTGCACCTTTTCACCACAGCAAATTCCTCGTATGTGTAAAACACTACTTGGCAATAAAGCTCCTTCTGATTCTGATTCTGATTCTTCATTCATGTGTGGGTTATCAGTGAGGGTTTATTTGTCTCATTATCCACAGGAACCAGACTGATACAACACCAATCAACAACAAAGGCCCAGGAATTCAATTTATTTAACACTGTTTATATGTCTGGGGAGAAATTACCTTCAGTGCTTCTCTGTCCCGTCATTTAAAAAGTTTTACAATTTTAAGCACACTACTTACACTTGGCTGTGCCGCGCTGGCAGCTTTTGTCAGTGGTGCGGCCCAGCGAGCGCAGGTCGCTGTACTGCAGCGTACTGTCTCCGTTATAACTGCGTGTGCGACTGGAAGGAACCAGCTGAAACAAGTTCTCCTGAGGCATGAAGCTGCGCGGAAGTGTCCTGCGCCCTGAAAACACAAAAAATAGACATATTAATGGCTTTAAACACACAGGCCGCTGCATCTTTTTTTTTTCGTACTGTGAATGATTTTCACACAGGTGTTGTGCGTAAAGGGAGCTCTTGGCCAAGAATTGGGGCCAGCCAGAGCACAGTGCCTCTCGCCACTCTGTCCCACTTCCCCTCAGACAGGAAGTAGGGCGCTGTGTTTTTATACAAGTTCGGGTTCACCGCAGGGAAACGTAAATCACTGCTAGCCAAGGTTAGCCTCTGAGTAAGCAATTACTAGCAGCTGCCTGGAACAGCAAGCCAGCACTTCATGTACCAAATCTCCACAGGGTGCAAAAAACTGCTAAAAACTAATATTTTATCTGGAAATGAAGAGAAGTGATAGAAATGTGAGGAGGAAGCACTGTGAAGAACGAGATTCTCTATCATCCAGCTGAAGTTAAACTGGCAGTGGTGTGTGAATGTGTCCTGTGCTGTCCTGTACACACAGTGACATATCTGTTTAATCTGTGTAATAATGGTGTTGCTGTTATTGCTGTAGCAAAGTTGGTTTCTTACGGTCTCCATAATCCTTGCTGCGATTGGGCAACTGGAACTGGCGAGGGAAAGTCCCTCCTTTCCCATGGCGACCTGAAGAGGGAGCAAAAAGGAAGTTAGAAAGTAAGTGAAGCCTCAACCACCAGCCACACATCACAACTGATTTCTCCTTTTACAGTTACAGCACTCCCCAATTTACAGTTCAGTGTAAGTTCCATGATGGAGATTTAATGTCATTTGTTAGTCAAAAACACAAACATATTCAAGCCCAAATGAGAAGAACAGAGTTTCACATTTCAGCTGATCACATCTGACAGACTGCATTGCTTTTGCTCGTCTCGGCGTGTCAAATCAAAGTGGAGTTAAAAAGCAGCGGAATGGAAGACAGCTTTTCACACGCCGAACAGAGCTGTTGTCGCCTCACTGCAGCAGAGAGAGAAACTGAAAACACCTCATGTGTGCTAGCTTAGCCTTAGCTCTGAACCCAGAGGAGCAGTAACTAAAGGCAGGTGGGGAGTGCTGCTGACGCAGGCGAGCCGCTCACTCACACACACGCACGCACACACACACGCACGCACGCCCACGCACACACACACACGGAGTGCAGTACTTGCAATTGAAAGCAGCTGTCCTGTCAGATGACTGCCTCCCCTCGCGCTGTTTTTGTGGCCGTATCCCATGGAGACGGGAGTTATTTTTTGTGTTTGGCAACGTGGGATGGAGAGGAAAAATCTACTCACAGGGAATGGTAAACAAATACTGTAGCCCTCAGCAGGAAGGGCCAAAGAGCTTTACATCTGGGAGGGGAGAGTGTGTGTATGTGTGCATGCAGGCACGTGCATGCATGCATGCCCAGCTATATGAAGCTCTCATACTCTTAGTCTGTGTACACAATGAGCAGCAGAGCCTTTTTCATTTACTGGAGGCGTTGCAGGAGAATGACCAGATTGGGAGAGCTGCTGAGGTTCCTCTGTTCAGGAGGATTAGTGTGGCGCTATCTGTCATCCTGCTCTATTTGATCTACATTCTGAAGGAAGAGGGACAGACAGGGAGCCGAGGGACAAGGAGTAGGCGAGGGGGGGGTGTTACATCAAGAGGCGCGGGGACAGAGAAGGGAAGTGATCATGAAAAGACAGGAGAGCAGCAATGTCTATTAGGAACTGGAGTTTGGGAAAAAAAGGCAGACGAAGAGGGGAGATGGGACAAAGAGTGACAAAAAGGAAAAGGAGATGGACAAAGAGGACTAGAGTGCGTGGAAGACAAAGCAAGAAGAGCTACGATTCAACTCCTGAGACACAAGAAATTCTACCAAGATATTAAACATCTTCACAAAAACCCATTCTTAATTTGAAGTATTTACTCCCCGTAAAAACCACCATCTCCCTCCTCATTAGGAACCTCAAGAGGGCATTTGCAACGTGGGAAACATTTTAGGTAATCAGGGAGCTACACGAACAAAGCTTTAGTTCTCTTTCTGTGAAACTTGATTGTGTGGACATAATTACCACAGAACCGATAAAAAAAGAACAGACTTTCCAATAATGAACAAGCTTTTTGCCCCTCTCTTTATCTTTCTGTAGTGTCTGAGTTAAAAAGACTCAGTCCTTTAGAAGTGCTGCAGATTTCGACTCTCTTACCTTTGTAGTCATAGTTGAGGTTCAGGTAATTATTGTCACGGTTGCTCTGCGAGAAAGGCGGACTGAAATGACAAGAGAACAGGGGGAAAAAGTTGAAAAGGGGTTTTGCTAGTTCAGTCAGTAAATTCCCCTTATCTTCAAAAAGAGTCTGGCTACAGCCGCTGGCCTGAAACCTCAGGAAAGCCTCAACTGTAGAAGCAGCGCAAAATGACTTTGCATTCAAACCAATGTGCTTTCCGTCACAATTGATTTTAAACAACACTGTGCTGAATTAGAAAAGATAAGCTCCGCTGCATCAACAATAGGAAAGTGAAGTGAAGTTTGTGGTGCTAAATTGTTGAACTTTCTTTCTCATTAAATTTGTCAATGTACATCCATCAAGGCCCCCCCTGACCGCCCGACAGAGAGTGACGTCTCTGTTGACCGCAGGGCGGCGCAGGGCCACGAGACCCTGGATAAGGGGCACGCATGCCCGCTCGCAGGGAAAAGTTCCATGCACATTTCCTGCCATTGTTCTGCAGCCTGGAGCCCTGATAAGCCTCGTGCAGGTAGAGCTGTTTCCGTCCTACGCTCTCGCTCAACCTCACTCTTGCTCACTTTTCTTTTCCCTTTGATTCACACTCAGCACCCCCACCCCCCATCCCCCACCCAAAAACTCTTCACTCTCACTCTTTCAACACTTTTCATTTTCTGGCTCAGCTTTTCCTCTCATCCGGCATGTTCTTGCTCTTACTCTTTTACATCTCCCATTTATTCCCTGTTTCTCTCTCTCTCTCTCTCCCATGATGATAACGGAGGATTTCAGGCGTCCAGATAAGAGTTTTGTCGCCACGGCAACAGCAAAGTGACCTGATTCCTTTTCCACATAGGCAGCACGGGCAGGGTCAGGGAGCTCTGCTGGCCTTTAACATTATTTACAAATGTTAACTTCTGGTTGCTTCTGTGCGTGTTTGCAACATCCAAGATCACATCCAAGTGTGTTAACAGGCACCAACACCGGGACGCAAACCAAGTCTTATGTCTGCAAATAATACTGGTCCGCAATATGAATGTGCACATCATAAACATAAATCCACAGAGGTGTGGTTCATAAATCACACACTCAATGAAGACTCACCTGTCCAGTGCTTGATCTATTGATTGACAGCTGCTCGACAGTGAGTTGTCTGCGCTCCCAAAGGGATCCAGCATCTGACAGGTATAATAACACAGGGGAATCGAGGGTCACAGAAGATGCAATCACGGGGGAGAGAACATAAAGCAGTGCAGATTTGTGTTTATAACTGCAGCTCGATGTATGAATGTGAAGGGACACGAGTACTGCAAGTCTGCGACAGGTCTATTCAAAAGCTGAATATAAAACAGCTACATTAAACTACGCAGCAACTTACATTACAGCTACTACCAGGACTACTATTACTAATAATGTACAGTACTTCATCTCCATGGAGAGTGAAAGAGTAAAAACTAACAAATGTAATACAATCTGAGCATCTCTATATACAGTATGTAATGCACAATCAGCCCTGTGTTAAAGGAACTGACACAACAGCCAAGGAATTCTGTTACTACGAATCACTATCTTCCAAGACCCACCATACTGGGAGCATCCTGTTTTCAAGAAAGATCATTTATCATATATTTTTTAGGACAAATTGCCCAATTTGTTCTGCTATACATACTAATAAATGACAGGAAACAATATTTTAATACAATCTAGGTTGAAAAACAGTAAACTTGTTGCTTAAAACTACCTGACAGTGAAACACTCCAAATGTATTTAAAAATCAACAAATATTTTATGTTTTTGTTTTATTTAGTAAGCAGCCATGACAAGCATAACTCTCTTGAGATTTCCCAGTTAAAAATAATGAACATAGTCCCTACAAAGCAGAGAGGTATTCCCTCAAATGAGCTCGACAGAGGCAAAGAAGTCCAACCTGTGTTGTGTTAAAATCATTAAACACACACCTGAGCACATCAGGTCACTAGCTAACTATCTTTAAGAAGAGCCAAATTAGAAAGTTATGAAGAAGAATTCAGTACTGCGCACTAAGTTGGACTATTTAAGTCATAGCATGTTCCTACAGCCACCCAGTGTGAGTAGAAACAAGTTTCTGTTTAGTATATAAAGTAAGAACACTGAAACATTTAAAACCACGACTCCGGGTGTTTATCCAGAACCGGGTATAACAATTTAATTGTCTTGATTCCATCCTTTTCCTTCTGGGCAGGGTCTTACATTCTGGTCGTGGGTCTCGGGGATGAACTCCCCTTCACTATGGATGCTGGTGTAGGAGCCCTGGCGTGCAATCTGCTGCTGCTCCTCGGGGACGCTGCCAGGAGGCGGGGACGTCCGACCTGTGTGCAGGGAACCTGGGACAGTGGGAGTTTGATATGTTGGAGTGAGGGAAAGAACAGGGAGCAAGCAGCAAGTAAGAGAGGAGAATGAAGGAGGAATGAAGTGCAAAGAAGGAGGAGAAGTGTAAAATCAGAGAACAAAAGAAGAAATTGAGTGGTGAGGGCAAGAAGGAATGGGTGCAGCACAAGGGGAAGATGATGAAGAGATGAAAACGAGGGGGCAGGGGGGAGAAAACGGCGTCACAGTGTTATTCATGGGTACAAGTTCAACAGTGCCAGGACTATGAGAAATTGTTTACTAAACCACACCGCTGCCACCTCTAACCTCAATTACTGTGACAAACGCTCCCCCGGCTGAGCTGCAGCAGAGACTGAGCGCTTGTCCTTGACACAGTAAGAAGACCTACTGAAAGTTGCTGGCTGAGCTGACAGGGATACTGAAAAAGTGCACTGAGGCGAATAGGTGCCAAGATGAGTAGGAACAGTCAAAATATCAGGGTAAACAGTCTAGCTTTTGACTGAATTCTAAAATTACAACTCCTATTTCTTCCCAGTTCAGTTTCTTCCTGCCCTTTTCCCTCTCTCCAGGCTCTCCTCTCCCTCTGCTGCAATACGTCATTGAGGTACCCGGGCTCACATCACATCCTCACTCAACCATCCACTGTGAATGCTCTCCTGTCACCTCTCATCTGCCACCACTCCCTCCACTGCTATTCCTCAGCCGCTCTGACTTGTGGCTGCCGGGGGAATTGAGAGAGCGCAGGTAATTCTATACAATTTATATGACTGGGGACGATGACAGCGCTGATGTTATTGGGGCTACGTGAGAGACATTGGCGCTGACAGCGATCATAAAGCGTTTTTCAGCTGCCATGCAAAAATGCAAATGCGACACTGGAGCGAGCGCTGGCCGTTTCTGCGTGTGCCTGAGGTGTCTGAGATATGACTGAAACGCTGACCTTTCTAAATAGAAAAAGATTCAGACACGGGAGACGGGGGGAGAGCTCAGTATTTCACAGAGCACATAAACCTTCACGCTGTGTTATCAAACAAGCCAGGAGGGACAACAGAACTGGAGCGTACCGTGTTATCTAGCTGTGGTGTGTGACATGACAAGAAAAGGACCTTAAAGAAATAGCTTGACATTTCTGGCTTATTTGCTTTCTTGTCAAGAGTTAGATGTGAACATTGATACCACTCATATCTGTTAAATAATCCTTTAAATGTAACGCTACAGCCAGAAGCTAATTAGCTAAGCCAGCTAGCTACGCTAACCATGTGGAAGCAGGGGGAAACATCTATCCCGGCTATATTCTAAGGTAGAAGGAAATTGACAGCACTAATTAACAGATTGTATTTTGTTTATTTAATATGTTCAGAAACTAAAGTGTACAAACTCCAAGTTGATATTTTCCTCAACCTCATGGTGACGACATGACTCCACAAAGTCAGTGAACCTGAGTCAAGCTCATTAACCCTGTAAAACCAAACCTCAAACAACATTTGGCTGGATTAACAAACGCGATATACTGTCAAGTGTTAATTAGTGAGCTTTAGGGGTGTTGGTGGGCATATTTTGTTACCGTTGGTCCGAGCCAGGATATTAGTCTTTATGCTAGCAAAGCTAACTGTCTGGTAGCTGTAGCTTCATAGCTAGTGTTGCCAACTTTGTCACTATGAAATAAGGGACAAAAGGTGGCCTGTTGCAGCAGTGCGGGTATGGTTTTGTGTGAATATACAGTGTATTGTTTTAAGCAATTTTTTCATAATGATGGCTAATCTCTTAATTAAATATTTGCTATATAATAGCTTATTTACAGCAGGTACCTTTAAAACAGTCCCTTAATTAAACCACTACCTGTTACCTTCACTATTACTCTAAGTCTAACACAAAAACCTTGTGACTCTTGCACTGTAGGTTACAAAACGTTATCCCCTTCATGTACATATGACAAACTAAAGAGAACATAGCTACTTGTGATGTGTTTTATGTCCAGTTCATGCTTTTTCAGGCAGTTCAGAACTTGATGAACACATTTGCAGTTTCATCACTATCTTCATAAAAGTCAAGTAACGTGCAAAGCACTCCATCAGACACAGAAAAATATCTCACACACTGGAAACATTTTTCTGTTTCCCTTGTTTGAGGCGTCAGTGGCAACAGAGTAACACAGGCTCACCTTTAGTCGGGGACTGATCATTCACGATATCCCGCACAGTCTTTGTTCATAAAACATTCATTTTGCTCATCTCGTTCTTACCAAATGCATCTTCTTCACAACATTGTAGTCATGAAACAACGTGCCGTTTAGCTTAACAAGACACTCGGTGCGGTTGAGTCCATGTTTGACAGGTGATACAGTACGAGGCTTCACTTGCCGCTATTTTCTCAATTTCCACATTAGCTGCATTTAAAGTTACTTAACGTATACTGAGGCGCGTGTGGGGAGGCCGTAATTGGATGATGACAGGTGTCGGTGACCAATGTCACGTGTTGTGATCAGCACTGCTGCTGTTGCTGTTGTATCAGTCAGTGGTTAGATCAGTGTAGTAGTAAAAAAACGGGACAAGAGAGGTCACATATGGGACAAATCAGTTAGGCCTAATATAAGGGACATCCCGGCTAATACGGGACAGTTGGCAACGCTATTCATAGCTAACGGACAGATACGAGAGTGTTAAAGATCTTCTCATGTAACTCTCTGCAAAAGTGAATAAGGATCACTTATAACATAACATCTTCAAAGTCAAAGCACTAACTAATCAAGGTGAAGATGCTGGCAGAGAGCTGCTTGATATGAGAGCAGACTCTTGTCTTTGCTTTGGCCTGACATCTCTCTGGCTGTTTAAGTTGTCACTTTCACCTCCAATTTGCATTTTCCCACAAGCATATACCCCATCTTTCCATTAACATTCCAGTGACTGTGGCATCACTCTGTGTTGTAAATTGTGACTGACAAGCCACAATTGAGGCCTTACCAGGTGGACGAGAAATCCTGGCATCAGCAGGATTTGGTAGCAACTCTCTCCTTTTTGCTTTTCTGCCTCCTCTCAGACGTAACGCTTGTGAGGAATTACTACTTAACAACTCCTGATAGAGCTGTAATGGCATTCTGATTGGTCCAATAGCCAATGACTTAGCATTTCTGTGTGTGTTTCTACGTGTCGTCTCACCTGTTGAGTGTTTGCGCACCCTGTCCGAGCCCTTGAGCAGGGAGCCCTTCAGATCTCCCAGTGACCGCGATGACCTCATCTCGCTCTGTTTGTCCCTGCTGTTCACCTGTAGGTACTGCAATGAGACAACATAGAAAGTAGGAAGTGTAGAAAAAGAGAACAGGATCAGAAAAGACAGCGTTACATCATTGTCCAGTTACATAATCTTCTCAGTGGGGGAAGTTTGTTTCCTCTAAGTTAGAGAACAGCAGCATTGATGCAGTCGGTGCAGTTTAAAAGGTAACATGGTTTCCCAACACAGTTGTTATGGTTAACACATTGATGAATCTCTGTATGACGGTATGGCTTCCTGTATATTGTGTTGAAATGCTGCTGTGTAAATAATGCAGATTGCATTAAAATCAGAAGACACGGAAGAAGATTTTTTCTTTTTAAGTCTCTCCAATGACCAACTTCATGTCTTCAAGGAGTGCACGGTGTTAGGAAACTCACATGGTTGTTCTTGGGTGTCTTGAGCAGTATCCTGAGCAGCCCGTTGATCCCTGAGCTGCAGCCCAACGTCAGCACGGCTTGATCCAGGTCCTCCTGGGTCTTCAGGGGCAGGAGCAACTGAAAGGACAAGAAATTAATTAATTCCCCATTGTTCCATAATAATGCCACGGTAAAGCATCAATATATGCAAGACGCACTGTAGATGTTGTTTTTTTCAGTTCTTGAGATACTGACAGCCGAATACATGGTTTAATGCACCTTAGAAAATACACAAATGCTGCATCCACTAATTGTTCTTGTACCTCTTTCTCCATGAAGAACATATCCATCTGCTGGCCGAAGGCCTCTGTCACTTTCTGCAGCAGCTCCTTAATCTTAAGCGGCCTCTGGAACGGGATGATTCTGGGAAGCAGAGGACGGCAGCGGGGTCAGAGGTCGGAGATAGACGCTAGTGTTGTGTCTAGCTTTATAAGAGCCGACTCTGAAAACCCAGCCTGAGAGTGATGATTTTGGCTGATTAGCAGCTGACTGGCAGCCACACCTGCTTATAGTTCACAAGTTTATTACAGTGTTTTTAACATTCAAATGGAGTTATAGATGCATTCCCTTTGTAGATCTACTGGCTTTCTTACATATATGTGGACTGGATGACCATGAAAGAAAGACAATGTATGACAACTAGAGAAAAAATTGGACAGGTCAGCTGGGTCAAGGAGAGGAGTGAGCTGATGCTAAAGGGGCATTAATCAATGCAATGAAAACATACAGTGGCAGAGAAACCCCCCCCGGTGTATACCGGTATGGATGTCTTATCTACTGTACGCCTACGTGTATCTCTGTCTGTCTGAGTCTGAGCTTATCAGCGACTGTTTGTAATGACTGTGTATATGGATGCGTGTGTGTTGGTAAAACTCGACATGCATGAGTGTGCTTCCCAATCAGTGTGTGCATCGGCCACTGTTTCAACACCACTGGGCCTCTCCACTAAGCCAGCACAAAGGCAGATGGGAAACTTCCTGAGAGGAAAGGGGGAAAAAATCTGGAGCGGCAGCAAAAGCAGCAGGATGTGTGTCTTTCCCTCCTCTTTTAAAGAGTCACAGAGAGAGAGATACAGCGATGCAGAGATATTTACAGACAGTGAGAGAGAAAATAAAGGAGACAGCCTGACAAAATAAAAGGAAAGAAAGAGGGAGATTCTCTTCTGCATTTCTTCTCCTCTCTCTTCTATCTATCTGACCTCACTCTCTGCTTTTGAACACTCCGCAGCCCACTATCTCTTTATAGTATCCTGATAAAAGGACTTTCATCCAATCATTTCCTCATCAGAGGCCAAAGCTCTGCCTATCTTAATGACTGCTCATTGGTTCCCTCATTTGTGGAGAGGATTCTGGGAACAGGGAGTCTTGCAGATCAGAGGCGAGCAGCAACACAACTAAACACTCTCCATCTCTGTTTATACTCGGCGATGATGTGTCTGATAAAGAACTGGAGGAGTGTGTGTGTGTGGTGGTGGTGGTAATGGTGGTGGTGGTAATGGTGGGGGGTTGGGGGGGGTTACGAGGATGCTGCTCCAAAAGATATGGCTTTCCTTCCTCTGTGCAAGCATGTGGACACACAGATTTGCAGAGTAAAAAGAATGCTTTCACACATGCCAGCAGACTCTCTCTTTCTCTTTCCCTTTCTCTCATGGACACCATAATGATCACATACACACAGAACAAGAAAAAAAAAAATAAAGGTCTGGCTCTGTTCCTTCACTCTCTGGCAGGTGACCCTGAGGCAGAGTCAGGGGTAAGAGAGAGAGACACAGCTCCTATTTCCTGCCCCAAACGTTCAGCACTTGCCAATGAAAAGAGAGACCGTCCAATTAGATTCTATTGTGGGCAGACAACACTGTTATCCTGACTCAGGGACTCCTAATACCTTAAGTGCTGTGGACGCTGCTCTGATATAACATGTAATTCACACAAGTGCTTCAACATGGTTTATGATTTTGATAAAAAGCCAACAAGATATTGTCGCTGTGGTCTCAAGAATGAAAGGAAGTGTAGTTCAGTTTCCTTTTACTAGGTTTTTATGGGATTTGTATTGTACTGCTTGTGTTTTTTTTGTATGTGTTTTCTTACTGAGCTGAGTTACTGAGGCCCACCTATAGACAGAAGTGCTAACTAGCTTAGACTATACATGCTATATTATGATACTATTGCGATACTATGTCTTGTGACTACGACTATAAACATTAAACCTGCATTAACAGATTATTTGACCATGTGCGGGAAGTGGAAACAAGTTTTAAACACAACCCTGACATATTATCACATTTTAAGTTGATATGGCTAACTTGCTAGCAAGAAAACTGCACCATTAATGGATACAAAGCAACACTGGCATTTATTTGGAGTCCTGTTTCTGTCCTACCAGATGAATGGAAGTTCAATATTCACTTTCCTTCTAGCTCTGTTTTTGTTCTCCACCGTTTTGTGAGAAAAATATCTGCCTCTTTAGCTGCCAAATGCTCTACTAGGTTCACCGGCTAATCGCTAACTTTGTTTGTTGGCCATTTGTTGCTGGGGAGGAGCTAAACAGCTTGCAAGTGTGTAGAAACAGTAAAGTTACAGGCCAGTAAAAAAACCATTAGCTAGTAGCTGATAGCTTGGGGGGAAACACATGCACATAATAGGCATTATTACTATTCCATTTTGATTAAAGCAGCTTTAAATAAAGAAATATGTCAGTCACACTAATGCTACATTGTGATATTACCTTACCGATTGAGATAAGATTTCAAAAACTGGCCCTAAATCAAAATGAAAGCAGTCAGAGCTCGGACTAGCATAACTAAAAACATGACAAGAAAAGACAGGGGAGAAAGACAGAGTGTGAATTCAAAGAGTAAATGAAAAAAAATACAGGAAAAAAAGAATTGCTTTTGAGATCAGTGAGTCCAGAGTGAGCTGTTCTACGAGAGCAGTGCGGTGTGTGTGGAGCTCGTGAGAAAGAGAAGATGACTACGAGACGGACAAACAGAGGGAGGCAGAAAGGCAGAGAGACAGGAACATGAAAACTCATCTCTTCCTCAGCAGAAGCCAATTAGGGTTGTGAAAAAGCGGAGAGGCCCAACGTGAGGCAGTATTCTGCTGGAGGAGCGTGCCGTTTCTCTTCTCTTTCTCACTCCTGTGAGCCTGTGGCTTTCTAATCAAAGCCTCGCTGAACCAATGCCTGTTCCCCTGGTCTATATTCTGATTATTCTAGTGGGTTCTGGTCAGTCTCCCTCTGATGTTTTTTAGGCTGTAACAGCAAACTCTTTGTCATTCCCCCCACCCCCAAGGAGTTATTTTGAGTTCAGACTCCCTGCTGGTTGTTAAACAAGGGTTTCATGGGGACAAAGTATGTCTGTGAACTTGGACCTCTCCCAGGATGCAATGCTTAAGGCCAGACAAGGACCTGAGAGACTCACACAGCATCCATACATGGAGCGATGGAGCTGCAATCCCAAATAAAGCCTCTCCTGATCAAAAGATCTGCTATTTATTGGGTGTCTTAGCTTTCAAAGTGTTCCGCTGTGGTAAACAAACTACAAGGCACCTTGGTGGAAAAACTCCGGACACAGTTAGTGTCATGCTTTGCCTCTTGAGTAACTCTGTGGCTGGTGGTGTGAGGGAGGACAGATGGCTGCAGGGTGAAGGATGAGGAAGACAGCGGGAAAGCACAAGAAAACACAGAAGATGAAGTATTAATTTGGGGTGTGCCTGGGAGACTGGACACTGAACTGAAACACTTGGCACACTCTTGTTTTTTTCGCTCACTCCCACTCTCTGGCCCTCTCTCTCATTTTTCCCCTTTCTCAAACGGCCCGTCCGAGTCTGTGGTTAAAAGTCAAAGTAAGAATGTTCCCTCTCTTTATGCTACTCTGGCATGTAACTCTGATTTCCCATAGACACAGAATCCCAGGCATGGCAAGGCATGACAAAAAAGATCCGAACTGAAGAGTTAAGGCTTGGACAGAGGAGCAGAAAAAACAACACGGAGGATCCGACATACCGTTTTTCTCTCTCATGCTCCAGCTTGACTCTTAAATCCTGTTGAAAGGAAAAACAACAACAGAGGGGAGTTAGGGAAGTGGAAAGTTAAAATGATTCATGGTTGTATGTGGGATCTGGGGTGCTGAATAAACGATAGCTACAAGCTGGACAAGGAATTTAAGTGACAAAGAGCATTGTAGTGATACACGTTTTGGTCCAGCAATACAAAGACAACATTATCCTTCAACCTGCTTCCGAAGATGGTACGACACAATCTAAGGTCTCTATATATAAAAGGGTTTTCTCAAGGGAGCAGGAATGCGGAGGAGCCTGCAAGTCTGCATGAGGTCATGGTGATAAACGAACACTGACATCATATCAGTGCGGGCGACTGGTTCAAAAGTAGGGGTTTACTTGAACTCCCAGATGACAGCCGCACTCTGAGCGGAAACTCTTCCTACTCCTCACTGTTTGTTTATGTCTGATCATAAACACTGGTGCTTCAAGAGGATTTGCCAATTATCATTCCACAGAGGGAACAAACGCACAAGGAAACGACTTCAGAACAAGACACAAGGTGATTGAGAGAAATTAAATCCTTGAGGCAAAAAGGTTTTCAGTGTACAAAAACCGTAAAGGAGAATGATTAGCTGCCCGAAATGTGTCAATTTATCATTTCCAATGATTTTTAAACTGATCCACTGGGGGCATAAATAAGGCCAGACACAAACCATACTCTATTGGTGATGGCTTTGCGAATGTAGGTGTCATTTTTCTAAATGGTACATTTTGAGAACAGATTTTCCATTATTCCAAAAGACCAGTCAGGGCACAAGCTGGACCAAACGACCACTCTAATTGGGTGCTACCACACACAATAAACTGCAAATCAGCTTTCCTGAGTCAAGTTTAGACTCCCCATGCCAATAAATGGTAGTGAATGCAGGACACTGTCACATTATCCTCTGTAAAATGTGTTCGAATTAGACTCAAAAAGAGCTCCTTTCAGTCACAGTACAACCTTCACCTGACTTTGGCAGCCTGCAGCTGTCAGTCCAGCAAGAAAATCAAGAAGGAAGTGAGGCGGAGGTTTTGTGTATGAACTCAGAATGACAGTAAAGGTTAAAGGCACCGCTGTGCTTCGGGTGTGCACGGTTAATAAACTGTAATTGAGACAGCTTTAAAGTGATCCTCAAACCAAACATCTACACTCACCCCCTGTAGGCTTGAAATGTTGTAGGCAGTAAAAAGTTTATAGTTTATACTGTCACAAAGAACAGCAGCTGTGATCAGACTGAATTAAAGTCTGTTAGGATGGACTGCAATGGTTTTACAGCAGAAAAAGCTTAAAAAATAAACCTCTCAACTATTCATGCACCATAATCCACTTCTTCTCTCGTCCTTTCGTATACTCAGCATCATTCACTGGTTTATCAAAATAGAGCTAAATAAACCCCTTGCTGCAGAGACCCCACTTATGATTGCAACTGTGATGAGTATTTATTTTTATTTTGTCAAAAATATGACCCTTTTGAACATTCAGAGGAGGTTCGAGACGTTTCTGTGGATGTTTTTCAGCTATGAAAACTAGAATCCAATTTTACTGACATGATTTTGGCTGACTGAAGAAAATACAAACCTTTTACAGCCATCATTCATGCCCACTAGAGGTGGTCAGAGCTCATCAAGAGACAGATTTCGACTGTAGCATCACTTTAAATGAATGACTGGATGCCACCTGTACCTGTTTGTAGAGTAAGGTTCTGTTCTTAGGCTTGTGGCTGTTGTGCTGGGTGTAGCAGCGACCCAGGGCTGCCAGGTCTTTCATAATGGAGTTTAGAGCCTCCTCGTCGTCTGAAGAAAGAAAATAAGCATTAGTTATGTGCAATCGCTCTCACTGCTTTATGGTTAAATACAGGAACAGAGACATCCCGACTGTAAGATGACCTATAGCTGTATAAAGCCACCCGTTTAGAGCATCATGGATGAGTGATGACAGCCCGGTTTGATCATATGTGATTTTGCATTGGGGCTTGTGTTGGCTCTGGCCAGCCAATGAGGCAACACCTGGTGTGTTGCTTCCTAGTGGAAACTAATGGAAGAATCCAGTGGTTTCTCTCTTACATAATCACAACAATAGATTCTCTATGAAAAGATGAGATACCCAGAAAAGAGACATTTTCTCTGTACGAGCCAAATCTTTGTCTTCCCTTTTTTACATCACTATTTAGGTGCAAGTAAGGTGAGGGCTTCTGCTGCTGTAGGGTAGACTACGCTTGTGATCGCTCTCAAACTCCGTACTCTGCATACAAAAGCTGTGAGAGAGCAAAGGTGTTCAATAATGCAGCATGTGTGCCTATGTGTGTCTGTCGGAGGGGGCAATGTGGTCAATATTTCATTTTATATCAATGGAAAAACTTCAGGGACATATTTCTTTAGTTGCAATTTGGTCTCCATTGATCAGATGAAGGTCGACCTTTTCTTTTGTCAAACAGACTGATTCAGAATTAAAGTGGCTGCAGGCTTAAACATGAAGCAAGCTCACTGACTTTGATGGAGAAATCAGAGGCTATAGAAGAGCAAATCAGGCGTGCTTCAAATTCATAGTTCACTCCGTACATGGGACAGGCCTATTCTGTTCATTAAACCCTTATAATTCATTTAGCAAACCTGCAAGAAACAGACGCTCAGCATCTCGCCAGTTCTCCATTTCTCTTCTCCCACTTCACACTTTCTGCCACACACATACACTCACAAACACCGTTACACACACTCTCATGTGTAAAGGGGGCAATCATGCAGATGAGCATGTCAGACATTACCATATCAAGAGACTTTAATAGAACCAATTATCTGAGTGCAGTGATTACAATATAAAGAAGAGGTCGTTGACCTCAGCTCCTGCCTGCCTCTCAGATGAGCCCTGGGTGCATTTATTATAAAAACACACACACACATCTCATTCATTGGTAATCCAGGCCAGGTGTGTGCCACGCAACGCAAACAGCACCTGCAGGAAAGACCACATTCTTTAAACTAAAAGAGATATGTATGTGAGTGAACAACCACTGGGGACGTCATTCACATAAGCAAGTGTGATAGTAGCACAGGGAGCAGATGCAGTCTGAGATGACTTTTGATCTTGTTCCCATCGTACGGGCTCTTGTGGCCAGCTGTTTGCAGACAGAGGGCCAGTCTGTTGGGTTCACCCAGCGGACACTGCACATACAGAAACACGGATTTACACAACCAAATTAGGGATGCACAGATCCCAGTCTTTTCTCTTAATACCCATTCCTATCCCTCAACTCAGGGTGTCTGCCGGTGCAGATTCAGGGGTCTCTGACTGAACTGATGTAACCGATAACTGAAAGACAGAATTTTATAATGACCATAATGTTGTTTATTATTGACCATTGTCCCACAATCGACGACTGTGGGACAATGGTCAATAATAAAACGTTGTGCAACAGCAGCACAAGTAGAGAAGACTCTACATCGCCAGATTAGCCACCATAAGCCACAAGTCATACCAAACCAAGAAAGGCTGTATCAGCAATGGGCGAACTGAACTAGCATTTTATTGCTTATGGATTCAACTATTCACTTTTATGATGAAGACTTTAAGTTATTTCTTCCTTCAAAAGTTACAAAATCTCACTTTAAAATCACGCATTACTCGGAAGTGTCTTCCGGTACAGCCTTTATCAGTATTCTGCTTTTCACTTCAAGCTATTTTTCTTGGAAAAGATACTCCTACCAGCTCTCTTGGTGACTGCAAACATTCACCCTCTGGTCAGGCCACTGAGCTAACATAAACTGATTCTGATCCACATCAGCAGCTAACCACAGAGGTGAATGTCTTGTTTGACACTCCCAAGATAGCAAGCAGGAGCGAAGTGAGGAATGACACAACTCCCCCATCTACGCTGACCGGCACACTACCTCTACCACCAGAACAGTTAAATAAGGCAGAGCGATAAGAAAAGTTACACCCACAAAATCTCTGCCCAAAGTGCAAACAATGAAAACTCAGAGACAGCACCAGGAAGAGGTCTGATATTATTGAAATGAATGATGATGACTTATTAGGACGCTTTATTGCGTCAAAGCTACAAGCCAACGCTAAATGACTGAGAATTAAGTATAATTAGAGACAGTTCAGAGAACACTTTCCTTATCAAATGCAGTGGCATGCTGCGATTGTGCCTCCTTAGCACATTCCTTTCTGTAGCAACACGTTTATAACTACATGTGTAGGTTGTTCGATTGTGATAAGACTGGGGTATCGTGAGACAGGTGAGCCACTTCTGGTGTCTTCCTCCTTTTGGTTTATTTAAGAGATAAAACAGAAGGAACAATGGAGGACAGAATGCAAACAATCTGCATACCTCCACAAACAAAACCACACAATGTTCCTTCATCGCATTGCTGTTGCTCACTGAATCAACCTGAGAGCCCCTCTTGGGACTCACAGAGGAGGACGGCCAGTTTAAATATAAGCTGTCAGGAGCGGTGAATGACTAACTGCCTCAACCAGGCCTGTCCTCTCCAAAAAGGAAGGAACTGAGTCACTGTATCTGTTCTGAATATGGAGCTGGGCTAACCACGTTGTTCCAAATCTGGAAATTAATGGATTTTTGATTGAATCAGCCATGAGACACGAGGGAATAAAGGAATAAATAATAAAAGGATTTGTCCACAGTCACTCTGTGACCACGCTGAAATGAATCAACATGCTGCTATTGTACTGTGTATGCAAGATAAAAAAGGGTGCAGGACTTTTGTTTTTGTTTTGTAGAGATGGGATTTTACTTTAGGGTAGGGCTGAAAATGTTTTTCAATTAATCTTTAGTTTTTCAGTCAACAAAACACCCCCAGATTGTCAAATATTCCCACCACAATTTCCCAGAACCCAGGATTAAATATTTTTTTACTTGTTTTATTTGTCCAGTAATAGTCCAAAACCAAAATATATTCCATTTACAGTAAAAACAAAAGTAAAGCAAAGCAGGCATTTATTTAGCAAAACTATGCATTTTTACTTTCTAAATTAAATGACTAATTGATTATTATATTGTTTTGTGTTGTTCTACTTGAGGGGGGCGAGGGGGGGGGGGGGGTGCCAAAACACAAACCTAGCAATAACCGTATATTAGGACAACTTGACATGTTCAGTCATTTTGCTAAATAAAATCTTATAAATCCAACCCAACACTAACCATCTCTGCCGTTGTTTTTCATTATGGCTGCCTCTCTCTGGTGACAAGTGTTGTCTCAGTCCTGCCTCTACAGGCTCAGAGCTCCAGACTACACTGAGCGCCGGCAGTCAAGGATACAAAACAAACAACAGAGGCCTGCATCTGTGAGTGTGTGTTTCTTCAGTGTGTTCTAGGCCTGTTCTGTGACCTATGGATGGCAGGAAAAGGCAGAGAGTTGGAGGGTCGGTTGGCGAAAGGGGGAAGTGAGAGTGTGAGAATTGCGTGGTGGTGTGCAGAGCTGTGATGCCTATTAATAAAGTTATTACATCACTGAGGCCTGAGTCATGGCGGCTGCCAGGCTGAAGCCAGCCAAGGCTAACCACCAGCACAGTGGAAAGCAACCAGCTCACACATGACTGCCAGGAGCACCCTCGCAAACCAACTACAGGAACCCGAGGAACCTTATGTCAATGTGACCAGGAATGGTGGATAATGTTTTTCTGGAATATGGATAGGCTGGGATACCTGCAGTTCATTTCCTGTGCTTCTTCTTGGGTAAAATGTGACTAGCATAAGAAAAGGGGGAATTCCAGGAAGCCAAGCAGAGCGAGCAGCATTACACAATGGAGGCTGATTTCTGGGCATTGCATCATCACTCTGCATCTTTCGTTTTTTCTCAGGCTAAAGCAGAGAACTGTTAAAGGGGCAGAGGGTAAAATGAATTTGGAACTCAAGTCCAGGATAGTTAACACAGAAGGAGTTAGCTGCTCGAGCAGATAGTCTCACGTTCTCTGAAGCCAGAAGAGCTGAACGACTTTGGAGTTGAAGATGCAGCCCCAAGAGCGTTTAAAGAATAACACTGGCTTTAAGAGGCTAACAAAGTGTGCGTAGGAGCCAGCGAGGCAGCGACTGTGTGTGTGAGGCAAGCTGCCTGAATGAAGACATTGAGGGGATTTCCTGGTGCCGAGAGACGCATCATGGCAAAGGCATCCGGCAGGATTAGCAGCTGGAGCCAAATGTGTATTCACTCTGCAGCGGCAGCACAGGCCGAGCTCTGACGCGCAACACACACACACACACACACACACACTATAATAAGCAAGGCCCACAATACTCTCTCTCCACACCTTGTTTGTCGAAACTGCGATACATCTAATTTAACACCTAATGAGTGTAATGTTTAAACCCTAGAAGTTAATCTTTCACTAAGAATAATGACTCTGATGTAATGCATCCAGTGTTATATTGTGGGTGTGTGACAACAGTTGCGCAATAAATGTTTGTACAAGGTCTATGCCGAAAGTCTATTCAGTGGGGAATGTCTGCAAACATTTCCATTCAGTATCAAAAAGGCTGTGACATTCCTTCTTGTGGCCTCCGTAGGCCTAAGTTATAATTGCATTCCCACTATACTGTAATGGAAATGTAATGAGGGGGCTTTGTGTTGCCATTATTAACACTACTCTAATGTTTGTGCATGGAGCTAGAGCCAGGAGGCAATTAGCTTAGTTTAACAAAAAGACTGGAGGCAAGGGGAAAAAGCTAGCCTGGCTTTCGCCTCAATCTAAAACTACACCTACCAACCACCTCAGCACAGCTACGTTTATCTTCCCATTCTCACAAAATAGACACTTCTAGAGGCTTGGTGATGTAGGGACTAACCTACTACTGTAGTTATGAGATATCAGCTAACATGCTAGCAAAACAGGAACATATTAGCGCTAGTCAGTCTTTAACAATAGTTCCTGAGCTTTTTTCCATCTCCTCTGGGCTGTTTGCTCTTTCTTGGCATTTTGTTCTCAGGATAGTACATTATTTTACTCAGATCTAGCTAGCTTGCTAACTGTCAGTTAAAGCTAGTGTATTTTTGAACTTTGGACAGAGCCAGCTAGCTGTTTGCACCTGCTACCAGTCATTATGCTAAGCTAAACTAAGCCAGCTCCTTAACTCAGAGACATGAGAGTGGTAATGATCCTCTCATAACTCGTAACTTTCGGCAAGAAAGAAAATAACAGTATTTCCCAAAATGTCAGCCAATTTTTGCCAAGCAGATTTTTCATCTGACAGACAGATTGGGTTTACCTTGTGAGTTCCTGTGCTGTCCGGGTCCATTTTGGAGACCGTCATCTGTGTAAACAAAGACAGCGTGTTTTTCGTATCAGAGTGGAAAGAGGTCAGGGATGAAATATGCACTGTAGTTATGATGCATAGTGAAATGTGTTTGGTTTTAAACAATGAGAACAGACCACATATATTGATTCAGTATTTTGAGCTTTGTTCACAGAGATCAGTTAGCAACAAGTTGAGACTACAGCTCCTCCAGGCCTACAGTTCCTGTGCACATGCAAATAATCCACAGGAGAGAGTTTGAAATGTATTGCCTGGAGGAACTCACTGTGTGTGTGTGTGTGTGTGTGTGTGTGTGTGTGTGTGTGTGTGTGTGTGTGTGTGTGTGTGTGTGTGTGTGTGTGTGTGTGTGTGTCGGTGATTCGTTTTGCATAGAGGTAGGAATGCATATGTGCCTTCACAGCCCTCGCAGGCGTGAATATAAATAAATGTGCAACACTGGAATCTTGTGCAAAATCAAGTTTCCATATCTGAATAAAGTACTAAAATCAGGCAAACAATATTTTCACTTGCAACAATGTAAAAACACCAAAACAAGTGTGTACAAAACAGGCCATCTGGAGCCGTTAACAGCCACCTGACACTTTTCCTCTCTCGTGCATGTTATTTTTCTCTGCACTCTTCCTGCCAGAGGATGTGTAAGACTTGTGTATGTTGTGTGTGTTTCCCAGTGCACATTCCTGTATGTATGTATGTAGCTGCAGAGCGACCTGCTTTCGAATACTACTCACCCATGTTTACTGTCATCATCAGGAAGTGGCCCTGTTGAACTCGAGCACAGAGCTCAACTTCTCTCTGCAAGCGAAGAGTTCATCCTGAGAGCGAAAAAACAAAAACAACGCAGTTTCAACATCCAAGAACTGTGGCACTTTCCTTCAGCTCGGTGCACATAATATTTCGGTGATTGCACAAAAACAATGACAAAACAGGACGCAGGTGGCAGCTTCAACACAAAGGTCTATTACCCCAATATCAATGTCACAGCTTCTGTTATTTATTTAATATTTATTTAACCAGGGTGGTCTCTTGAGATTGACATATCCTTTTCTGAAAACTCCTGGCAGACAAATAACATCACAACAGCCAAGCGATGCATTTGATGCTGGTAACTCAAGCCATCTAAATTCTGTGAACGCCCCGATGTCTCTTCATTGCTACTCTGAGAACCACACGCCAGCAGCATTGGAGGAATTCCTCACTGTTTGATGATGTAGGCGCCTCCTGCCCTTGAGATTCCATGGTGCAGCAGCGAGGCAGGCGTGGGTGTTTGCCTAACTGCCTGCCTCAGGTGAAGATCATGAGCACTTCAAAGACAAAGCCAGAGCCTTCTTTATGCATTAAGTTGGCGAGCGCAGAGCAGAAAAAGCGGTTGTCACATCCCATAACGAGGTGAAACAGAAGAGTCTTTTACCTCTGACAGCTATTTTCTTTTGTTCGACCGATGATAGTAAGTATAGAACAGAGGACAAAATGAGCAGTTTGATTAAACCACTTCCTAAAACACGATCTGGCATTGCTCATGCATTTGAATTTGTTTTGTCTTTGAATGCAGGCTTAGCAAAAGGGGAACAGGAACTAGAGAAACAGCTGCAGTGCAGCATTCTGTATGTGATATTAAAATATGTGTGGTGGTTATGAGCTGGTGCGTTCCTCCACACAGCATCAATCACACAGCCATGTAAGGTGACCAAAGGGAAGCAGCAGGTTTTAGAAAGCCAACAAAAGGGATCTATATTCTTCTGAAAAGCAACTGTGGCTACAAGTGACAATTATGAGATCATGGCAAAAAGCTAAGATGACAGTAGCAAACGCACGGAAATTTCAAATGGAATTACTTATGGTCAGTTGTACAGCAATATCTACCGCTCACTTTAGCTAATATTAGCCAAGCTACTAGTCATATCAGACCATGTAAGGTGGTATCAGCAAAACCATTGCCAGGAGTGCATTTTTTTGTAGAAGGATCGATTTGCTATTTCCTCCTTCATAATCTTGCAAATATTTTCATCAGAGCATAACTCATGAAAGAGGAAGTATGAAAGAACCAACAACGGGACATCAGTGAAATGATAGTGCTTGTAGAACGACTATTCCTGTTCTGTGTGAATGAAGACACGCAGCACACAGACACATGTCACGGCATGTTAAAAAAAAGCATCCTAAAATATTTAGTTGGAATATATTAACACTTTCTATGGTCTTATGTTCATGTCAAGGACAATTCTGACTTTCATTAAAAAGGGGTTAACAGGTTGTTATGGCTGAGTGATCTGAGAGCTAGCTGCTACTGACAGCTTGTTGCGACACAGAGACAACACAGAATCACAGCTACTGTTGTCAGTGGCTAAGGTCTCACGGTGTTTCAGCCCAAATGATAGAGCCAACATTTCGTTTCAAAATGCATCAGTTCTGCTTCAGTTCTCTATCACATGATTAACTGTATAGTATAGTCCCATTCAAAGGCAGCTCAGTTGGAACACAATGGAAGATACATATTCGTATTAGACGGGGATAATACACTGGGATAGCAGTATGCATCCATACAAAGCTTGCAGGAGAAACATACAAAAAGATTTGAAAAAAAATACATATTTGAAAAAAAAATAGAAATACTGTATTGATAAAGGAGTATTAAGATACATAAACATGTACAGCAGATTTAGTTTATGGGAGTCTAACCATCAACAAATTCCAACACAAAATCTAAAAGACAAAAAAGCCTCCAGAGAGACTAATACCAACACTCCCCAGATAATTTCTGTCTTTATTTCTTGAAGCATCATTTACTTTGTGTTTTGCTATCTCCAGTGGCCATGTTGCATGTGTTTTCTTAAAGCCTGCGCCCCTGTGTCCCGAACATTCAGCACAGACAAACGCTCCAGCCTGTCTGCAGAGACACAAACACTTTCTCTTTGTGTCAGCCAGAAAACTTTTCATAAAAGCAATGCAGACGGCCACAAGAGCAATTTACAGCCTGAGGGGCAGAGTCACAGGGTGCCAGCAGAGTTTGAACATGGGAACATGCAGTCTACTGCTGTCAGTGGCACGACTCACAAGGGGTGATGGATTTGGAAAGCTAAAACTGTAAAGTATAAATATGTAGCATGGGCAAAAATGTCTGAAGGGGGACCACTTTCTGAGAACAGGGTGTTCTAAATACATCACAGTATGATGGGCAAACGTACATTAACTCCCCAAAACACGGCAAAAACTACTATATCTTTGATATAAGGTTGCAAAGACTGATGAAGGGGTGTGATATGTCCCAGAAAAGCTCTGTCAGGCTGTGCTGGGATGGCGTGGTTGACCACACATTAAAGAGATGAAGAGCAGCCACATGACAGGTGGTCTAACCAACACCACGTGGCCCAGTCTGTTGAGGCTGCACACACACACACACACACACACACACAAGCCCCTGTCCGGTGCCAGCAAGTCACCAGATGGCCCATCTGTTTCGCCCCTCTGCCCAGCGGGATGCCGGGCTAGTAGTGCCCACAGATCGCCAGCCCAGTTCTCCACACGCTTCTTGGCAGGCGGTGTAATGTGACAGCCCCGCTTGTTGAAGATCAAATGCTAATCGCCACTCGCTCATGTGGCTCTGCAGCCACATGTCCTCCAAGAAAAGACTGTCTGTCTACTAGATCATGAGACAAGCCTACAAATGCTTAGCACATCCAGAAGTGCTTCGAACACTGTGACGCACTTCACCGTCACACGTGGATATCATCGCCACTCGGGCCAGTGTTTCACTGGCAGAGGCCTCTCCTTTGTCACAGTATGAGGACTGTGCAGCTATGACAGGGGAAGTTAATTAAAGAGGACAGCAGAGGAAAGGATTTCAGACAAGGGTTGTAGGGAATTGTCTGAGCCAGACAAAGCAGAACCGTGCTCCTCAAACAACACGCCACAATTTTATTTTTATTGGAATGATTGAACAAGATTCACAGCCAAAACTACGCAGGCACGCACGTACATGAGTGCGCACATATACACTAACCTCTTTCAGCTCTGTTGCATCACTCTCTAACCGAGTAAACACAGTGTTGTTGGCTGTAGGTCTCCGAGGGAAACTCCCCCCCTCATTGAACTAGAGGAGTGGAAGGTCTGCTCTCCGACTGCCTGGTGGCCTGAGGAGTATGACCTCATGTCTGACATCACTCTTGCGGAATCCCAAAGAAATCACCATTTCAGAAGAAAACTTCTAAACTTTACTTTACTGGGTTTCAATTCTCCAGTACAGCTTGTCTGTAACTCTGTAACAGCCATCAAATGCCAAAATAGACAGCCCATAAAGAGAATCACAGATGACAGTACATGGCTCGGTGAGGACAGGGTCAAAGCATATACCAAAGGAAGAAATAGAAAGGGCCAGAGCATGACAGAGGATGACTGATTTTGGCAGTTAGCTTCTTCTCTGATTGGTTTGAAGGAAAACCTGCATATTAATGAGCATCAGAGATGACATGACTTGGTTTCTTAAACTCCAGGATTGGCAGCACTTTTTGGCCCTCAAAGGCGCGGTTAGACATTTTAGGAAACATGCATTTTTCCTTTCTCGCTGACAGTTAACGATGTTTTATTCCATCGTCACGTCTGTATAGTAAATGTGAAGCTATCAATCTTCTCATGTAACTCTCGGCAAGAAACAGACTAAGTGTGTTTAAGAAAATGTCCAGCTTTTTAACTACAAGTCTTATATCCAGAGCTGTTTTACTTTAAAGCACGCTATACTTCAATAGTTGGTTTCCTATCATTTCTGTACAGTATCAAAATGAGCAGACTCTTAACATGTGCTTATGTTGTGTAACTCATCACATTTAAACCAAAGACTATATTCACTGTGTCCCAATCCAGTTTAAATGCAGGTTCATCTGCAATATGAAGTTTGCACTGCACTCTTATAACCATTATGTCATTCGGACACAAAATAAGATTTTCATCTCGTATAGAAATTAATGGAAGCCAACGGACACCTGGACCAGTAGACTAAATATATCCACATTTCTAAAAACATAGGCTTTTAAAAGCTGTATCCAAAACACATAAGAACAACACAAATCTGCACTGTTAAGGTGAAATATAATGCATCACAGGAATGAAATCATGAAGAGAGGTGAGCTAGTCACAATACCCGGTAGGCCGTCTGAATTGCAACACAGGCAGGAAGTGAGTGGTCATTAGTAAGCCATGGACACTTAGGTGACTTACATATTATAAAAAGGTCAGTGGCAAGGGTGTCCTGTCCCCTGAATGCTTGCCAAGTCTGGTCCTTGGCCACATGAGTCAGAAGCATTATGCAGGCTGATTCTGGGAAGTAAGACAATACAGTATGTCCTCCTGCACACTGAGGGTTTTCTATGTGGGGAATCACTTGAGGACTTCTGGGTGGTGTTAGGAGAACATCGCTCCATGTGGGGCCTTGGCACTCATTTATCATAACCTTGGCTCCCCTTGCTTTGTCTCACAGGAGTTATTGCTGAGAAGAGAGTTCAAAGCTTTTCAATGGGACACTCAGCTTAACAGCTTCAAGAAGACTCTTCCTGTCATCTGGCACTAAATCTATGTTTTATTTCAAATAAAGGAATTTCCATTTTGATTTGATGCCATTATTTACAAATTTGGATATCGCATTTCAACTGCACTGAAGTGCCATTTATTCGAGGGCGCTCAATCTTTTTATTCTGTAGAGCACTAGTAAGTTTCATTTAGGGATGTAATAATGGGGTAAAAAGGACACGACAATTTTCCAAAGCTTTGAAATAGCTTGTTTTATCTAACCAACTGGCCAAAACACAAGTATATTATAGGACAGAAAGCAGAGCAAAACAGCATATTCCAACATTCAAAAAGAGGATAAAAAATATTTGGCCTTTTTAGATGAGTTCTAGGTTGGTTTGTCCACTGCATTGGTCCAGAGCAGACTAAAATGGATTCGCATGACATTTTATGCAGACATTCATGATCCCCAGAGGATGAATGCTACTAACGTTTGGTGATCCACATACTTTTCATGTAGCACCATCATCACGTCAAAATGTTTAATTGACTGACACTTTGGTTTACGACCTAATACCTATAAAACTTACAACCCGCTAATCAACCTCAGCTTTTCATTGTGTTTAGTGCTAAGTAGCAAATGTTAGCATGGTAACACACCAAATCAAGATGGGGAACATGGTGAACATTATCTGCTACTTGTGTGCAAAACAGTCCGCATAAAGCGTAGATGATTTCTCTTTCATAAGGACACATTTTTCTCCATTACATTTAGAAGGAGTACAACATTTACAGCCCAATTCTTCATCATACAGACAGAGGCATAGAGCTTACTCAGGTGTGTGTCACTGAATAAATACCTTTTAGGGTGTATCTACAATCACAGAATCCAAGCCAGAGTCAATCAAACATCGATCATGCATAATACAATGTAGTGTATATACAGTGTATCTGCCGTCCAGTCCTTGTGAAACAAAACGAAATGACCTGCTAACTATCAGCATGCAACTATCATCATTGTGTGCATGTTGGCATGCAGACTTCACTAAAACCATTGCTGTGCACTATCAAAAAACTGCTAGCCTTGCTGTAGACTATTAGTCTTAAAAAGGGTTTTGTAGAAAAACACGCAATACACCTCATAGCCAGATATCAAAGAAAGAAATGAAAAATGTCAATATAATTTCCCAGACTCCAAGAAGACACTTTAAAATAGTCTATTTTATTCGACCAACAGGCCAAATTTGAAATATATATATTGTTTATAACAGAGATGAACAGCAGACCAAACCAGCAAATGTTTTGTGCCTTTTTTTCTTGATAAATAACTTGATTATATTATAAACTGATTCATCACTCACAGGTTTAAGCACTGGTTTCATCACCAGTTTTTTTGGAACCAATGAAATTCCAAGGAGACAACAGTAATCATAGGAGAAAGCCATCAGTATAATCAGGGCCTATAGGGGAAATGGATATACTATGTTAAGTCAGTCCACTGGTACCAATCAGACCCCAGTGTAAGAGGATCCTCCTCAGTGGAAGGGATGGCTCTATTAGCTCAGCGATAAGTAGATCTGTCTGCCATTATCATCAACCACACAACACTAGCTAAAAATAGCCAAATGAAGGAGTGATTCTCCTGTTATCCAAAATATATCACCTCCCTGGATCACTCCAACCATATTCTCCCCACCCCGAGAGGAATCTACACACAATCTGTAAAGTAAGCTGTCTTTTCCATTATGCGGTGATATGCTATTACAAGCACATTCATTCATTGTGTTTCTCCACCCAAAGGCAGCCATGCAGAGCCAGCTCATAGACTTAAACCCATTTTGTGAGACAAAATGTCAAACAGCTGTGCTTCAGGAAGTGACAAGAAAGTCTTTCTACTTTGCCACCAAAGGTTTATCCATGAAGAGTGTCTTTTGACACTCGAGAGGCTGAGTGAGAGTGACAATGAAAAATCCAAAAGCAATTTCATGATTACATCTCAGCAACAAACTACAAACCGGGCCTTACTTACTCATTTATATACATATATTTGAATACATCAAATAAAAGGATGACTAACCAGTTACGATATTTCACATATCCATTTACACAATCTTGTCCTCAGTATTAAAATCCAGTCTGGCAGTGTGTTGTCTATCTGGCTGTCCTTGCAAGGCTCAGGATTTGCTGCTGCTGCTGGCATTGTCCTTACGGTCAGACAAGCCGGCAGACAAAGCTCAATCAGGACAACTTCCTCTTGGTTTCTGGAGAGGAGGGGGCTGGACCTTACCGCACTCTCACAGATAAAGAAAGGAGACCCAGATTGACTTCGGAAAGCAGTCAGACCCCTTCTCTTTCCCCACATTTTCGTCTGCTGTAGGCGTAATTCAAAAGTGACAAAAGTTGTATTTTCTTGAAAGTATATCACAGTGGAAAGTCCATCATCCATTGTAATTTCTGTAAAGTTTAATGACAAAGAAACTCTGACGTTTCATATATGTAACCAGGCTCTTAATTCAGTATTATCGTGCAGAAGCACCACTGTGAGCAGTATCTTTGCACTAGCTTCAGCTCTGTCACATTGTTTAGCAAGTGTGAGGTGAATCCTTGCTTAATTCTGAGGTTGAGTAAGATTATTTTCCTCAAGGATGCATCTGTATTTGTCCCAGCGTGTTGTTCTCTCTGTCCTGACTTGTCTCGCGGTCTCTGCAGCTAAGATGCATGATGGTGCAACTTGCTTGCTTCACCGTGGAGATGGTACAATCCAGGTGGCTGGTATTTGGCTGGTGTCAGACAGTTCTTGGCAATCAGGCCAAAGAGCTCAATTTCTTGTATTGTCAGACTAGATAATCTTTTTCCTCTAATGCTCAGAGTCCTTTCTGCCATCTGGCAAGGCCTGAGAAGTCTCTCTTTAGTGGTATACTACAGAGAGACTTCTTTCTAACATCCAATCTACCACAAAGCTCTGATTGATGTGATGAGAGCTGTCTGGCTGTTGTTCCCATCTCTGCAGAGGACTGAAGCCCTCTTACAATGGTTACTTGGTTTTTACATCCAGATCTTTCTTGCCTGGTTCCTGAGTATGGTCAGACTGGTAGCTTTAGGAAGAGTCATGGCGGTACCAAACATAATGGCTCCTGCAATTTTTCAGTGCTATATGAAACTATATATGTTTTTTTTGTAATGCTATCTAAGAGAATTCCTTGGAATTAACAGCTTGGTTTGGCGGTTGGTGACGAAAAATCGAGAACATCAGAGGCCAAAATATCTTGACTTTTAGTCCTTTGATTTGGACAAACTCCTACATTTCCCATAATGCAATCAACAGCATTTTTCCGCTAGACCCTGTAGCAAAAGGGCGAGAGCAGTCTCCCTACCCGGATTCAAACACGGGTCTACGGGGTACCAAATATGCATCTTTGGCAACAACGACAAAGAGCCGGGCTCATTGGTATGGCAGTCCAAGTGCATTCTCAACCATAGTGACGGTACGCCATCACAGACCCTCCTTGGTGGGTAAATTCCTATGTCTTTCAAGCTCCACACCGCTGTTTGTAAAGCGGGCTTTCTGTTGAAAATGTGTGAAAAGTGACGGGCTCTGATTAGTTTCCAAAGCCACTGTTCATTGAACACAACACCTCTGCTGTCTGGCATGGTATGAATGCACAGAAGTATACTATCTAATATGCTGTGTCAGACTAGTTAAAAAGCTATGACACTCTCTCACATCTAATGACAAACATGTTAGGTTTCTAGTGTAACCAGGCAACGTCCAAAAACAGGCCTTCAAGGGAAGATAATGAGCCTGCTTATATGAGTCACAGTGAACTTTCACCTCCAGCCCCACTGGTCAGTGGGCGTCTGGCATGCGGTCAGGCTTCTGTGAAACCAGCATATGATAGCATCCCTCCTCATTGGAGGGAGAATGCGAGGGAGAAGAGGTCGCCTTCGCTCTGATTAAGGTACTCAGCTAATGACTTGCAAAAAGGAGCCAGCGTGAGGTTCGTCCTGAGAGGCGACAGCGGGATGTTAAGGAGAGTTAATAGATGAACACAATTTTCTCGTAAGTGGAATATAGCCTGCGTGAGTGAACTCTGCAGTACATGACATATTTCTCAAGCACTCCTTTTAAGAAGGACAACACAGGCCACAAATGCTTTCTCCAAACCTTTTATCAGAATGAAACGAGGCGCACTGAAACTCTCCTTATGCACATGGCAAACAACATCAACGTTGTGTTCTTGTTTCAGACACTTTTCTTCATTAGTCCCATCAAAGCACAATCAGTAACCCGTCGCTTCTCTCTCTGGCCGGCACTTTTACTGTGGGATCTGTTATCAGCCAAATGGATTGTTTTGCTTGAGGCACACCAACTGTATCTGTGGGCGGTTTCCACTTGACAGGTTGACTCTCACTTTAAGGCCTGAGGGCGCGCCAATGTGCTGATAAACTCATCAGTCAGCTTGATGCTCAGACTCCTGTGAGTGCAGTTCATATTGATTTGATGAACATGATGGCCTCATTAAAATCTAATCTGGCGGATTGTCTCAGAGGTCTGCCATTGCAGGAACAAGCTATGTGGTGAGCTCTGGATGAAGCTCATCAGCATTGTCCTCCTCACTCTTTCACTGTAATGGCCTCAGCATGGACTCCACAGCTACTTTGAAAATGCATGGATAGAAAAGGGGCAGGGACCAGGAAGATTTTGTAAAGGCCTTTCCAGGACAAGAGCTGGGGACTCTAATTTCAAGGAAAACACAGGTTTCACTGACCACTGTGAATCACAGAGGTCTGGAAGACTGACAGCAGAGAGAAAGCAGATACAGACCACGAATGAGTCTACATGCACAAGATGACCATGACTTTCCAGAAATCACTCACACCTCCAGACATGCAATTTATTACAGAGTATTTGGCACTGGTAATAACCACTGATTAAATGCAAACCTTTATTCTAGCAGAGCAAAATGGCAATTTAACTTCTTGCAACAAAAAGTGTGCTGATTATAACCCTGTACCTCCAATGAAATACATTTGGGGTTGTCCAAGAAACAGTTTCCACTTTCAAGATGGCCTATCCGCTGACGCTGCTGTCAGTTAACATGCTGCACATGCTTGTGTTTGATTAGAACAGCAATTTAAACTGCAAAACGCGAAATGGATAATGGCTGCAAGTCTAGTTCAATGTCCTGGCATTTCATGTGTTATACACAGATAACAGTCTAAAAGCAGTGATCTCAGTATCTGGCACCAAACAAACGGAGACATTCTCTCTCTTCCTTGGGTGATCTTACCTTGTTATCTATGTGTCTCCATGTTGTAGTTGTGGCTGCAGGGTTTATGAAGATGAATTAATTGACGAGTGTAAGTTGCCAGGTCAACGTCAAGAAAAGCGGACAAAATCCCAACTGATGCAGAGCAAATCTTCCCAAAAGAGAGGGCTGATATCCCGGAAACTGCGCTCTGCTACTGAAGCGCAGAAATTACAAATGCAATGTTTTACTAGGCAGAAAGATCTTCTCTTCTCCCGGGTGCATAATCCAGAGCTGTGTTTACAGAGGCTATCAAACTGGTTGATAGGTTTCAGAGTAAAGTTTTTCCACCCTGCTCTTCGCTTGTCTCCACACACACATTACAGTGGGGGGCTGAGTTTTCCCCTCAGCTGCGCTTCTGATGTCAGCAATAACGTGAGCTCCAGGAAGTAGTGACGCTCTCCGGTGGTGCGTTTCTAAGACGGCGGCGTCAAACTGGAGGAAGTACCGCCCCCGTGTGGACACCTGGAGTAAGTACAACATCGATTCCATGCAATTACCACTTGTTCCACAAACTTCCAGTCGTTGAAACAAAGACTACATTATATTAAAATATTTAGGATATTCAAACACATATTATATTATAAATATAAAATATAAAGAAAAAATATAAATATAAGAAAAATCATGAAGGAGTATGGATACAATATTAACATTATTAACATGGGGAATAAATAGAAGTAGAATTGAAGCAGAGACTATCATACATTAAATATTAAAACAGATAATATTGCACTATAAGGTCCATTAAAATAACTAACTAAGGTTCAGACACTTTGAGTGAGGAGTTAAAGAGTTTGATGGCGACAGGCAGGAATGACTTTATGTGGTGCTTTGTGGTGCATTTTAGGGGGATGAGTCTTGCAATATATTATAGTAAGACATCTTCAGGACCTGATTAATGTGCTTTCAAGTGACATCAGTGGATGAATCTAATCCCTCTTGAAAGGTACAGTACATAAGCAGAAATAGATTGAACCAATTCCTTTATTCCTGGAAACCAGTTTTAAATAGTATCGAGGATGTTTCACAAATTGAACTTCAGAAATAGGTCTACATGAATATATCAATTCAGAATTGTAATCAGATTTAATGTCTGGTGGGGGACCACTTATATTATAACATAGCATATGTTTACTGAGCTGCTTCCCTTGAGTGAGTGTTTGTGTTGTAATTTGTTTCTCCTAATTTTTTTTCTCTCCTTTTGTGTTTGTGTGTAATAGTGATTGCGCTTCTGTTTGTTTCCCTTGTGGGCTGGGAGGTGGAGGGATAAGGTATAGGATCATAATCAAATCGGAAAGAATAATGGTGTGTAGGAGGACCTTGATTTGTAAAACGGTACATTTGATTATGCAACATAAAAGAATAAAAATATTGAAGTGGACATCAGTGGCGGACTGTCTGAGGGGCAGGGGCGAAAAGGAGAATTTAAAAAAGGGAACCAGTGCAGTGCATGCATCACGTTTTATTCATTGGAAGGGCTAGAGGGAACTTTATCACATTCAACTATAAACCACACAACCAAATAACAGAATATGTTTTTACATACCTAAACGGCCATGCTCCAGCAGAGTCAGCACATGGACCTCAGCAAAGGTAAGTGTCTCACTGCAATGTGCAAAACCTCATTTGGATAATAAGTCTTCTCTGTTAAAGGAGCAAAACTTTAGAGTTGACACTTGACCTTACTGAGTTGAAAACGCAACACAATTTTAATGGCAATAAATATGACATACAGCGCATCTGGTGCTTGTACATAATTGTATGTTGTAGTTTCCATGTAATTGCAATGTCCATGTTTATAAAAAAATAACTTGAAGGTTATAAGATTTAGTGGCATCTAGTGGTGAGGTTGCTGTTAGTCTGTGTAGTATACAATGAGGTTCCAGCAGAACCTCCTAACCTAAAGTCCTTATACACCACTAAAAACATAGTTACATATATTATATTGCATTTCTGTCAGTAGATCCTCCTAAATATTACACACTGAACCTTTAATGGAATGCCCTGTCTTTGTTTTGATATTGGCATTATATGTTGGCTCTATTGGATCTAAATATCTGCATCAGCGTCTGCCATTGAAAACCCATATTGGTCGACCACTACACCTGTTCAACAAGCATAAACATGTAGAAAGCATATATAATATAGTAGATTACCTGCATTAACCTACTGTTGCTGCTCTAAAAACAATATTTAGTCATATTAAAATATTAAATTCTAATCCAGTTCTAAACTTTTTTTTTTTTAAAAAGCACCTTTACTAATGAAAAATAACTAATAGGAGCATTGACCTGCCTCAAACAGTGGTGGCGTCTGTTACGTTAATCTTGATTATTTGAGGATTCATTCGTTTATTGTTGTTGTTGGACAGGAGAGACAGCAGGAGAGCAGAGAGCAGCAGGAAAACATGTTTTTTGAAGCAGAATAAGTAGCAGCATCGAGTCTGTCATCAAGGAAATAATTAGTAAGGTTTTTACGTAGCCTAGCTCTCATTATAATGACTAAAATCAATAAGAATTTGTTTCATCAATAAAAAATCTGTGAGTGGAATTCTGTGGTGGACAGGTTTATTATTTTGCTGTTTTCCCATCACATGACCTAGTAAGAACTGCTGTCATCATATAATAACATGTCAGAATATTGTGATGTCATAGTATATTAGGATATGTTATTGTATTGGGTGATGTCATAGTATATTATAATATGTCATAGTGATGAAATATAGTAATTTAAATTTTGTTAAAACAGCAGTCACGCGTAAACTAGACATCAAGCTGACTGGACACAGCTGTAATTGGAATTATTGAGGCTCCCCTTAACTACACCGTCAATATTTGATCATTACTGAAAAAAAAGATCTAATTTGATTTGTTTGTATGTGATCATTTTGCTAAGTAACTCAGGCCACCCTGGGCTGTTTTATTCATTTGCTTAGGGCATGAACAAAGTGGTCGAGTGGGGTTATAATAATGCTCTTGAGATTAACACAAAAAAAACGGTGGAAATTGTGTTTGACTCACCGTTTCACTCTTTTAAAGTTCCTTTTGTTTTTCATAATGAAAAAAATCAAGCGGGTATTTTCATCCAAATACTTTGAATCTGAATCAAATCTGTCTGCATAAAAAACAACAACAGAAAATTGATTTGTAACATTTGGACACAACTGAGAACCAAGTCACTGTTCTTCTGGCAGTGGGGAGAGCATGTAATGTTCAATCAGCAGTGTTCAAATCAGGCAACGTGAGCTCCAGACTAATGGGCAGTGACAGTGAAACAGACCATAAAATGCAGCAGTGTCTCATAACTCAGGGAATGATTGAAAACATCTTAACATTAGATTGTCCTCTTGTCAGGCTGCTGAATCATTGCAGTGTAAGCTAGAGAAGAGACTACTAATAATTTATGATGGGCACAAACATTTAACCCCGGGCAGTTTTTTTTTTTTCTGGCGTATTAGCCCAGACTATGGGAATAACAATGCTTCGCTGACCTTGGCTCCAGCATTGCTCTCTTCAGATTAGTTCCACACAGCTCTGTTTTATTGTAATCAGAAGTGCCCTTGCTCTGTGTAAGACTGCTTGAGTGCAATGAATATCAATTGGACATTTGCATCCCTCTGTGGATTTGCGGCACTTGTAGATGTCTGTACCGCCGAACTGTGCTGTCGACGAACACCACAGGCAGCTGTTATGAACAATAATAGGCGGTGTGTGTGTGTGTGTGTGTGTGTGTGTGTGTGTTGTGCTTTCTGCAGCATCACTTCACAGAGTGATTCAGAGAGATTTGGGGTCTCTGGAGAAAAGGAGGATGTGTTTGCTTCTTCACGTTGTGTAAACGGGTATTTATGGTAATGGGGAGTATTATTTTGTCATGACATGTGTCAGTTTGTCTGACTGTGTATTTATAACCTGTTATTGACAACAAAGTAACTAAAAACAATTCATAATTTAAACGTCATGCTAACAACACAGCCATTTGTCACATTGATCTGTAGGCTATATAAAAACAGATTCGTTTTTGGAGCACATTGCTGCATACATTTGCAAATTTACCAGGAAAAGGGTCCTTTTTGCACTTCATATTTATTCCATTCATGAATAATGGGAATTCAAGCATGCAGGAGTGAATTATGACACAGCAGGTGTTTGTTAAGTAACAATGCTGGAATTGACACATGAATTAATCTCCTGCAGCAGTTCACACACACGTACTATCTGTTATAGTTAACTCCAGCCAAGTCAGGGATGGAGGAGCACCTGTGCTGTCTGGTTGTGAGTCTACAGTCAAAGATTTTGTTCTGCCATAGTTCTCCCTCCTGTTATGTGTATTGAACATGCCTTTACCCTCCCTGCCGCACTGGAACAAGCTTGTAATCTGTGTGTGGAAGCACTACTAGTGTTTATCCTTGTGGCGGCCATTTTTGATTTTGCTAAAAGGGTTTTCTAGAAAAATCCATTTTCCTTCAGGGTGAACTGTAGCCGCTAGCAGTCAGGCCAAAACCTTAAAATACTGGGGAAGTAATTTCTTTTTACAGATTAAACTTTACAGTAAATAATGGATTTCCTGTGGCAAAGCTGAGATTCCCAGTGGAGAATCCCAAGAGAGGAGCCACTGCTATGGGTCATCCTCCAGAGTCAACTGCCTGCCAGGTGATAACAGCTCAAAAAGCACAAACACAGAGGCAGAAGGTTTTTGCCAACAACTACAGAGCTGCTGTTCGTTAGTTAGAGAAATACAAGACTCATTTGATAAAACCCCACTTGAAAAACACATCTGGTATCAATGATCCAACAGACTTTCCTAGTATCCATCTCCTGTTTCCTGTTCTGAAAATGGTTTCAAGGGTCTGTCGCATGGTGTCCACGTACACTGGGACTGGACTGGGAGACTGGGAGAAGACTAGAAGTCAAGACTTTTTACTGTGATGACATATAGTGATTTGAAACATCGCTTAATGAAAGAGTTTGTTATTAATTTTGAAATATTTTTTTTTGCAGAGAGACTGGATGCAATTAGGTGAGGTTTTGATAACCTTTATTATCACATGCCACTAAGCTAAGGCTGTTGTACATTAGGCTAAATACATCTTTGTAACATAAATGATGGTGATGGTGATTAAGTGTGTTGAGCTACATGTTTCATCACAACTCACATTAATATTTAACTGCGTAAATACTTCATTAATATGTAAACATGCAGAGTTTTAGTGCCTGTATCTCAATGAGGATCTTATGAATATCTACTTTAAACCATCTTGATAGAAAACCAGTTACAACTTCTTCTTTATATGTCCTTTATATTTATTTCCATTCTTACAAAAGGACTATAAATAAGTTGATTTAAGGAGAGCAGGTTAAATAGCAGGTGGTGACTGATATTATTAGGATGCCTAGTTAGAGCTGTGCGCCTCATCAAAGGATCCCGTTCCCTGGAGCTGCAGGATGAGGGGGTTCTTCACCAGAGGAGACTGGATTACTGCAATGGCCCTGAACGCTCTGTCCTCACTATGACACACAATATGCAAACATCTGTAATTAAGCAAGTTTTGCATATGGTAGCAAAATGTCAATATGTTTTTCACCTTCTCAGTTCACGCTTAACATAATCCCTGTGTAGACATTGTGTTAGTGATCTGTGGTTTATTTACCTGGGAGTGAAGCTGATCTGAAGACACTGGCTATAGCGGTTAACATGGAGCTCCTTGGACCTGAGAAGCCCAAAGTCTGGTGTCACTCTGAACGCATGGGAGTCTTCTTCATCGGACTCTACACACACACACATACACACACATACAGTGAAACACACTACTAGTATATTAGGTCAATTATAGGTTGACAAGCTTTGCGAACAAAGGAATATGAATTATAATTGACACAATGGGCATCATTATTTGGTGCAACATCATAGACATAATTTTCTGGGCAATACAATTATTACTGCATAAAAGAAGGAAACTCTCATTATAAAGCTCCAAACTGATTATAATAAGGAGGGAAGAGGCAGACACATTCCTGCTGTTACAGAAAGTAATGATATGAAAATTGATATATATTAACTGGCAGTCCAAAGTAGTGTGTGTGTAAAAACATTAATAATTACAGCTAGTGTAGCCAAGTTAGGTCTAAATCCCAGACCCAACCAAACCCCAGAGCTAATGTAAGACCACAGGAGTGAATGCCAAATGAATATAGAAGACAGATCAGTAGTTGCCTATAATTGCTTTCCAGTATGTGTGGGCTCCATGGCTGTAGAGGTTGACTTCTATTGTCTGCGTCTGACCGATGTAGCAGAACCCAAAGTTGAGGCCGTCACTGGACAGACGCATTGTGGCAAGATCCAGATGTGCACAGAGCGGCACTGTCTGCACAGAGCAGAGCAGACGTGAACTTTGTGAATAACATACAAATTATTATACAGTGTTATTTCATTTTCTCAGAGATGCAGATCTGACCTGCAGGGTGCTGTTGCTGTAGAGAATCAGGAGGTTCTGCTGGAACCTCAGCGTCCTCTGCCCACATGCACTGTGGATCAGTGTCACCCCAGGAGGGACGTCCTCATCTGCCTGGTCTGCATGGTCCAGAAGGGACAGGGAGCAGTGGAAGGCCACCTTCACCTGGTATTCACAGGAAAGAGTTCAACTTACGTGTCGAGAACAACAAGATAACACACCCTTAGATAAAAATCTTTCTGCTACCATATCTACAGTATATATTATCCACAACATGGCCGCCTCTCCTTGTCTCACCTGCATGCTGTGTTGTGGCTTCAGCACCAGAGACTGACTGTCACCAGCAGGCAGGTTGCTGGAGGCACTGGTCCGGGCTCGAGGCTGCGGCTTGAGCACTAAAAATGGAGGCTGACACCCTAGTCTGAAGTGTAGGAGCATTTCTGAGTTGTTTTTCAGCTGAAGAGTCTGTGTGATGTCAAATTCGTGCACTGCCAGCTACGGCGCAAAACAACCAGAAAAACGACTAGTGAGCATGACTGGCCAGAAATACAGCACACCTCGGGATCAATACCTCGGCCGTGCACTTCAGTATGTCAGAGCACTGTTCATTAGTGTTATAGATTTCCCAGACCTACCTCCTTCTCTGATTCTTCCCTCATTAAATCACCGGCTGAGGCACGAAACTCTAGCACCCCTTCATCCTCCTCCATCTGCACCAACAGCCTGCAGCAACAGGGAGCCAAGAGGAAGACATACAACTTAATCAGACCAACTCAAAGCTCCTTCTGCTTAACCTCAGCTAATTTTAATTTAGGAAACATAAATTCAACTGGATGTATTGAGGGCTTTGGGGACATAAATAGTGTGATTGTAATGGCTTACACTGCAGGCCTTACGACTGCTAGTAGATCCACTCTGACAGGCTCCAAATCTAAACCCTGAGCTCTTCCAACTTTACCTGGGACACAGGCAGCCGTCTGTAAACAGAGGGTGCATCAGAGTCCTCTACTGTTTGCCTTTTTTTCCCAGGATTTAAAACTGAAAAAGTGTTTTGAGTGTTGAACATGCTACCTCGGAGTCCAGACTCATGAAGCCCAGAGCCAAGCCCACACATCTGGACTCGCAAACTGACCCGGAAAGAGTGAGGGGAGTAAAAGATACATGGTTTGTACCGCTACTTTTAGCTGGTATCACCTTGAGATAAATGACAGAAAGAAAATGCGAAATTATTCATATGGCTAAAAGCTACAAAGCGTCTAAGTGGTAAAATGCATGCATGTGGATAAAATCCAATCAACATACTATTTGCTGAGGTGTGATGCAGTATGGGTAATCTGAGAGGTTGCCCACATGAGGTCTGATGTGGACAGAGCAGAGTTTTGTCTTTGCAGGAGAGGGATAAAGACAGGTGTCTTCTTCTTCACAGTCAGATATATATTCCTCTCCTTCCCCATCCTGAAATCAATGAGATTATGTCACTTTGAGCCGATGAAAGAAGAAAATGTGAATTTTACGTCGCAGCACTTACTGGCATCGTAGCCACAGGAATTTCCCAGAGGCGACGTCATAAAAATCGTTAAAGTTTATGTTTGTTTATCTGTGCTGTGATGTTAAATGTACTCACAGTCACGCTTTGGAGGGAGGCGCTCGTTCCCTCAGAGCTCGGGCTCTGATTTCTTTCCCAGGCTGTTTGAACGTTCCCATCAGAAATCCTTAATGCTCCACTCAACACCTTATTGCCATCGGCATCTTTAACCGGGAAGGCGTCTCCATACGCCACCACAACATCCACCAGTTTATGGTCATTCGGATCTACGTTGTATGTTTCCCAGTCAATGCGAATATCTGGTAGCATATAAAGATTTAGATAAGATAAATCTTATAACCCCCGGAGGGGAAAGTAGTGTGATTGCCCACACACAGTCATCAATAAGACAGAAGTCAGAGAGGCCACAGCAGACTACATATTAAATTTAAATACATTAGTTGGTCCTTTTCCTATTATGGAACCCCCCCCCAGGACAGGGTGTTATTTATGATTATGCTTACCAAACATGGTGGGGTTGTTGATGCGAAGAAGACGAGACACCGTGTCGCCTCCAGATACATGAGTGCCGAACCTTGTGATGCAAACAGGAATGTCAAACCAAAAGATGTAATGGCATCATCACTAATGATGGTGGATTTAATTGGAGAAATAGACAGAGGAACAGACTGTATGATTGGTCCCTGGCCATCTGGACGAGGGCCCGTCATTTGGAAGTAGAGCGGGCAGCCTTTCACTGTCATCTGCATGGGAATGAGTGCAGGCTCAAGGTCTCCCACCTGCAGCAGGAAAATTAGATTTAATGTATTATTATCAGTCTACAACAACATGAAGAGGATCCGTGTATAAAAGACGATGCTCATTATCTTAATCTTGCAATAGAAAGATATCTACACCCCATTGTATAACGACGTACATTACATACGAGGTGATCTCTGTATTCCCCCCACATGTCAGTGTAGGCAGTGACATCCACGGTCTGGGTCTCAAAAGGTCCCAGCGTCCCAGTGTCTGGTAGTGCAAAGAAAGCTGCACCTTTTCCATGAGCCAGCAGGCTGCTCACAAACTCTGCCAGCAGATACAGAAATACAGAATCTGTAGCGCATGTACTCAATCTGCTTACATTTATTATTTCAATTAGAAAAAGAGTGTACACTAATGAAAAAATTAAAGCATACCCTCATGTGCTTTTTCCTCTATCTTCTGAGCTTGAAGAGAGTGAAGCGGCCTCTTGTCATATCTGAATCTGTGATTAAAATGTGGCCCGTGGCACATCAGCAGTTCAGTAAAGCAGTTCTTTGATCCATTATTCAGGTGTGTGAGCGAGCTCCCTTACCTTTTCTCTGACTGGTTATTTGGCTTTGAGGCACGGCCGGTGAAATACTCCGCCTCTATGGTGAAAGAGGCGGGGACGGCAGTTTGGTTGGATATCAATAACTGCTTAGTAACGGCTCTCTTCAAAATGACATCGTCTCCAAAGTCAAGTAACAGGGGTGAGGAGTTATCATCTGGGGCAGAGCTAAAAGCAAAGAGCAGTGGTTAAGTGTCAATCTGCGAGGTTGAACACTTATGCTATGGAGTTAGTGCAGCTACTAGCTGGTTAGATACTAGAGTATACGCCAAGGTTACTACCGGACACTAGGCAGCGAGTAGGACACGCTGAGTTTCTTAGTTTTGGAAGCCATGATGCTAAGAACAAGAGGAGAGTTCATCTCCTGGACCTCACAGAGAGCGGCCACCTCAGTCAGCTCCAGCTGGATGAAAAGACAAACAATTTAAAAACACAATAATCATTAAAAAATATATTTTCGGTGCGTCTTTTAGTTGCAGACATCACAGTATAGTACAAGTGGTACAACTGTGTTGAATGACAAATCCTGTGACCTTCTGTTGTGTTAATAACTGGTACTCACATCTGTGTGAGAGGTAAATTTAACTGTGATCTCCAAACTGGCATGAGGCCCCAGAGTACCAGATGAGGGGTCAAAACTGGCTGCACACAGTTCAGCCTGTTTACCCTGGAGCTGCTCCTAGAGGGGGAAATGTAAAACTCGATTCACCAAGCATTAACTGTCTTTAAAGACATCCTAATTTAATAAAAATCATTCTGTAATTTGAAAATATGTACCCAAACAACCTTATGTATCACACAGATGATGCACTGCAAACATGCAACATTCATCTTTCTTACAGTAAAATAAGAGGTGATAAAATGTTAAAAGTAGTGATGCAAGCGTACCATCCAGCTGAAGCGTGAAGGCAGCAGAGTCTGGTTGAAAAGAGTGACGGTTGCTTTGGCAGGGACTCCGATGTAGAGCTCAGAAAGAAGCAGCTCGCAGTTGAGCAGACACACCTGGGGAGACTGCACATCTGCTCGCACCGACAGGAGACTGCAACAAACACACAGGTTACTTGTTATCGACAGGACAATGTCACTGAGAAACAACATTACTGTTATCAAGGCTGGTCCCTTTGGACCACTTAACAGCCCGTAAGCTCCAGCTGCTTTAAATACGATGCTTATTTTCCCCTTAAATAAGGTAAATCTGAAAGCGAGGAACAGTGCAGTTTTGTGCATCCTTACCATCCCGTTCCATTCTCCACTGTCAGCTCCAGCTGTGATTCATATCGCTGGCAGAAATGTGGCCTAAATAGCACATCCACACTGCAAGAGGCCAAGGGGGGCAGCACACCTCTGTGTGGCTCCACAAAGATCTATGCAACAGAGATTCATATAGATAGTAGTAAAAAAAATAAAAATAAAAATCCACCTTGCAATAAGCGTGAACCATACCTTTGTGTTACTATAGTCCCCTGCACAGTACCTGTGTGCCTTGGTGGTCCTGCCTCTCCTTCAGCACCCAGGAAGCCTCCAGCTGGGTGACATTAGTGAGGAGCAGCGTGGTCTGTGTCTGCTCCCCAAGCTTTATGAGCCCAAAGTCCACACTGGGGACACTGAGGGTCACTATGGGACCCTATACAAAATCAAATAATGAGCATAAAGTGGTCATAAACTATACTCAAAGAATCTCATAGCAACAAACTATTAATGTGGGATAGTAAAGTACTTTGTTAGTTATTTTTTGATGGTGCTAAGATTTGTTTTTACCTTAAAAGAGACTTCCACGGCCAAAGTGACAGGCTCGTGGCGGTGCTCTATGTGGCAAACCAGACTGGTCACAACCCTCTCCGGCTTCCCTCCAGTCACAATCAGGTCGAAATCAAAACACTCGTTCTCCTCTAGACCCAAACAAAAGAAGGACAAGTCAATCAATAATAAACCGATAAATCAACTGTATCAAATGCTGTTTACAATTTATAATTTTTATAATAATTACGATTACGACGAATTACTATTTATTCCACATTGCCCTGTGTGACACACCTATTCTCCCAGTAGAGGGCTCTACTTCTATGATGTGGATGCTGCTCTTCCTCTCCCATTGAAAAAAGATGCAGGTTTTGCTGTGGTTCCACATCTGATACACCCAAGACATACAAGCACCATGAACAACTGTAATTGCGGCACACAATGATTTGACAGAAAAATAATATCTGTCAATTCTGGCTAAAATGAGGAGAAAGTGTTAACTTAAATAACCTTGAATTGCCTGCGGGTGGTTGTGCACATAAAAATCTCTCCAGGGATTACAACAGCATAGGGCTCTAGAAGGACCTGGTACGGCTCTGTTGACCCCTTGACCTCGATCTCCATGACGATGACATCGCTCACCTTGGAGCGAGGGCGCACAGGCTGAAGGACACTAGATTTCCACACACACAAAGACACAATCCAATACTGGGTTAGACGGGGGAGCCTCTGTTTAGTCTGTACGATGTCAGAGTTCTTTGTATGTGATGTTGATTTCACATGATTATTTACAGTTTAACTTTACCCATTGTCACTGGGCTCTGGTGGCAGCTGGGGGACATCCCTCAGGACTAAGTGACAGACACTGTGGTAATCCTTCAACTTCAGAAAACAAGAAGATTGTTAATAGGACACGAAATAAATATCAGTAGGACATGTTTCTTTCTGGCTCAGACTGTACTATGAAATCTAGCTTTCAAACATGAGACTCAAAATGTTGATTCATTTATTCTGAGTCTTGTGTACCTCTTTTGGACAGAAGGTGAACAGAAACTCTTCTTCCTGGCAGGGGGCCAGAACCCCTGTTACAGGGCTGATGCTGAAAATATCATCTGTGGCCAGGTGGAACTGGATATGGGAGGGCTCTGGGGTTTCACCTGGAAGCAGGGGGTGCAGGTTGGGCTTCATGATCCGCCAGTGGAAAGGCAACTCCAGGTGGCTTCAGCCCCAGAGAGAGAGAGAATGAAAGAGATATGTAATGTGATATTTAATGATACCTGAAGCGAAACTCTTTTTCTACATGTGCTATTGTGAAATGAGCAGCGCTGGGTCAGCGAGAGAACAGCCGCCCTGGGTCTTGTAGTTAATCAGTATTTAGTTTCTTACTCAAGGACACTTATACTATGTGAACGCTACCCACTCTCACTGAATCCCAGTGCTCCAGTTTAAAAGTGGTCTCCCTACTCATTATGCTATCTTGTTGGCCAAAAAAGAGCCCGGGTGACGTTTATACCAGTGGAGAGGCATTACATTCAATACATTTTAAAAACATGATATGTTCCTGCCAATTCATTCTTTGCAGTGATGATGTGTGAGGGTGTGAGGCTTACACATTGTTTCTAATGATGAGTTTTTTATGTTGCACAGAGTGAGGGTTGCACGGGCTGAAACGGACAACATGCTCTGCCGTGAGGTCATGCACCTCTCCTACTACAGGAGGCTCCTTCCTCCCAGATACAGACACAAGCTCAAGCGCGATCAGCTGGCCCTCCCCTGGGAAACACACACATTATAGAGACAGGGGTGGGTCCCCATCCAAATAAGTACATTTTACCTTACGTCGGAGAAATTTCAAAGTATACTTTTTTGATTTAAGAGTTAAGCTCTTAGGAAGTTTTCTGATCACTGAAAAGATTCACCTTCAATGGAAATGTCTTTCACCTGGCAGTTGTCACACACAACAGTGAAAACCTGACAGCTCTTCTCAGCAGTGGTGGGAAAGAAAACCACCTGCACACACACACGCACATATTTGGAAGACACAAAGATTGAATACTGAATTTCCACACACACACAGTCAGCCGTGTGAAAGCAGTGATTAAAAAACTATACTGAGAAGACTTTAAACAATAACCCAGGTTCCCAAGTATATAAAATCGTAGTGAGTAGTGCTAATAACAACTGTGGTTATATGTATATATCAAGCACTGCATCTACATATTTGTGTTCCAACTTAATTAAAATGTACCTCTATAACAGACTCACCTCCACTACAATGGCCTCCCCTGGATGCAACACAAAAAGAGACGGGCTGACAGCAAAGGGTGGCAGCTCAGAGAAGTAAGTTCTAGCAACAGACTGTATAAAAAAAAGAAAAAACGAGTACCTGTCAAAACACAGGAAGGGAACTTTTTTTACAATAAAAAAAGACAAAATATCTTATCTGCTGATAATTTAACAATCACCATGTGTCCAGAGAGTTACATTTACTCCGTTACATGTACTCAAGTAACTTTTTTGAGTAAATTGTACTTGTCAGAGTAGTTTTAATGCATCATACTTTTACTCTTACAAACTCTTTCAAATGGTGATAGCAGCTAATATTAAAGCTACAGATAAAATTTGGCGCACCGTGCAACCAGCCCCGTCTCATCCCAGGGCACCGATACCAACGTTTTGTCAGGCTTTCTCAAAGAGTCGGTATCTGACGCCCTGGGATGAGACCGGCATGGTGCAGCGGGTTTTGGTTGTGAAGTCAAAGGCTACACCGTGCCGACAATGAGCTGACAGAGAGCAGTGTCTGTTGTGTTATTGCAAATATGTTAATAGTACAGTATATCATGCTTAAAAACTCCTCCTGCTTTCTGCCTTAATGTAAATATTCAAGCTAACAGTGTACAGTCGCCAGATGAAGACAGACCAAATTATGCACACACAAAAAAGACAAACTACTCTTATTTTATGTGGATGTGACTAATATAATTTTTCAACCACAGATGATCTTCCCCAGGTAAACATGAAGAAGTGAACACACCTGTATTTAATAGGGGAATAAATTATGAAACATCACAGAGTTATCTCCTAATTTGTTTTGTTTGCCAAATCCTAATTTAATATTGTGGGACAACAAGAAAAGAATTTGTATTCTAAAATCTTTACTTATTGGAGTACTAACAGGCTATAATATTAGTGCAATATTTTGTAATCACACTTGATGGATACACACTGGGAATTTTTTCCTCGTGTAAATGTGGCAGGTTATTTAATTAGGAGATGATGACTGGTCATTTCATTACAAATACACGCGTATGTTCACTTTACCTTTACCTGAGGAAGACATCTGAAATAACTCACATCCACATCAAATAAAAGACTTGGGGGAAATGTCAGTTTTTTTTCTTTTCCTAAGTTACTCATTAAGTTACTCGCTACTCAAGTAAATTTTTTAGTAAATACTTTTGTACTCTTACTTAAGTAGTTATTTTGAGGACCACTTTTACTTCTACTTGAATACTTGGACCTACGATGTGTCTTAGATAATGTGTCGGATAGATTTTTACCCTGAGGTTGGAAGCTGGCCACTGGTTCTTGGGGATGATGCAGAAGGTCCCAGCGCTGAGACCAACATTTTGACACAGGAACTCAACAAACTTTACTCCTCCAATCAGACAACAACCACAGTCCAGAACTCTTGGCACTACACAATAATAAGGGGCAAACATATCAGTAACACATGATCAAATAAAGTACACAGATGAGCATAACAACAACACAAGGTCGGTAGATTGTAATAAGACTCACAGGTGAGTACTGGAGGGGGTCGCCTGGCCGCGATGGGCACCACAAGCAGGTGTTCGGCCTGGGTCTCCACCACTATGAAGTCCTCGTAGTCCCCCAGGGAGTCAGGAGCGAAGCGCACTGTGTACTTACAACTCATCCCTGGGGCAACAACACCCCCCTCGCCGGGGAATCGCCCTGCCAAAACATACCTTAATGTCAATCCCTTCTGACATTGTACCAAAGAATGATCTACACTCACTTGTGTGCATTTTATCTTCTTGTACTTTAATGTTTGATACAGTAGGTGGTGCTAGTGTTCACAGTAAACAACAACACGAGAACGCCCAAAATCTCCACTAACTTCATTCCAGAGATGTATGACTTTATAAAAACTCCCTGACCTTTTTAGAATCACTTGAGCTGGTATAAGGAAGCTGTATAAACCAACAAAGGGAAGAGCTCACCGAGGCCAATAGAGAAGTAAGGAGTGGTAGGAGGGATGACTCGGACATGTCGGCTTGCGGAAGTCAAGTTTTTCAGCTCCAGTGTAGTCTAAAACAAGACGGGGCATGTTAATACACATCATCTCATTGGCAAACATTAGTAGTCTTGGATGTGTCCTTGTCCTGAAGTTATAACTGTTCAGCATAAGAAAGTCACTGAAATCTCACACACCTCATAAACATGTCCCACGCTGTAGTCAGAGAAAACCACCACTGAAGGTTTTGCTAGGAACACTGGGAAAGGATCATCAGTGGCGCTTTTAGGTGAAAAAAAAGCACAAACAACCTGAGTTTTATGTATCAATAAAGACAGTTTCACAGGAAGTGGTGAGCTGGCTAACACGCTAGAATTACTAGCCAGCATTACGTTCTACATGAAAACCACAAAGCAAATGTTGTGCGCTTTAACTGCACTGATGTGAGTGAAGCAGGAATGGGTTCTTGGTAAAATAAACCTTCCTGTTGACCCAATAATGCTCACTGTCATTCACAGTATCTGTACGCAAAGCACAAATAGAATCATGCACATATACACAAACATGAACCTGACATCTCACACCTTCACACATACAGTAAAAATATAAAGGTTAAAAAAAACCTTAGGAATGCATTTGTACAGAGTTAGTACTATCTTATTTTATATATTGCACAAAAAAGGGCTGCCACACAACCTCACACATGTATTAGATTGCTTACAAAACTACAGCCAAAGAGTATACTGTATGCTCAACGCAAGTTAGCCTATCTGTGTTTGTGTCAAAATTCGAAAAAGTTGCATATATTACGTGACCCAGGCCTGATTTGATTAAGAATGTGTCAGTCAGATGGCAGAAACTTTTTGTCCTGAGATTTATTAGCATTTAGGAGGGGGAATATTATACTTACTAGTTATACTTTATATTTAGTTGGTATAATTCGTAAAGCCTTTATACAGTAAATTAGAATACTAATAATACAATAAATAAACTCCTCCCTTACAGGTGTACTACACAGTAAATTACATAATGCCAGGAGTATCAAATTGCAAATCGCTCCTTTGGAACAAACGGTGCAATTCTTTACCTCTACTGTTGGAAATGGTTCTCGTGTTTGCATTTAATATTGCAGAGGGATTGTCTTACATAAGCCTATTGTGTTCGGTCAACTATGTCAATGTCCTGCCTTTTTATATTTGCTGCCCTATGACTCAGCACACGCAAGGTACCTCTGCTCCTCCATCCCTTTCCTCACATGCTCTGTCTTCCCCACTTTGGGCCGGATGAGGGATGTGCCACCCTGCTGCGCATTCGGAGGAAGGAAGCGAGGATTGCGGAGGAAGTTGTGTCGATCTTTCAGCTTCTGAAGTTTTTCCCATCCATCTGCCCGATCCTTTGCGCTTGGCTCATCCTTCCACTTTGGTCTGGGTTTGGTCTGGGTCGGCCTCTGAAGCATATTTTAATTATGTTTTGAATTGAACGTTTACAGTATACTGATGTAATCAAGTATCCCTCCTTCCCAGAAGAACTCTTCCAAGATCAGAACCATCATTTACATCAGCTTCTAAAACTCAGAGGAACTTTTAACAATGTTCTTTTTGTGTCCTGCTTTGTCTGTTGTCTCCTTTTATTTGTTAATTTTTTTCAATTAGTCTTTTGTTTCACTTGATTATCTAGTCTTTTAATTGTTGGCAATTAGGTAAAAACACAGTATAAATACACTCCTTATTAGTGCATAGAGTATCACTCTTGTTAGCTCTGTCTAATCGAAAGGGTGTAGGCTTCTGACTCCTCACCTCCCTGGGAGTTTTCTTGCTCTTTGGGGTATCAGAGCTGGAGTCAAAGGTCTGGCTGAGATCTGACTGGTTCATTTCTGCTACACTCTCTTCTGCTCTGGGAATCTGAGTATACCCATCATCCTGCGGCTCCCTGGACACGTGCATGGTGTGGGCGATGGTCGGTCTTGCAGGATCCAATTTTACTAACAGGAAAGGGATATGTGAAAAACTGAGCCAAAACACACAGGTTATTAATCATTTAAGATGAGCCCTAAAGAGGGTCATGTACTTGCTGTTGGTGTTTCCACTTGGAGTTTTGGTGTAGTTAAGTAGTCCTCGGGGGAAATCAGGTTGTTCAATTTGAGAAGATCTTTGTCTACACACCAGGAAAAGGCTGATTGGACTGAAAATAGACATAAGAAATAACAAATCAAATAGAGAACATTATTACACCCCTGGTATATTAAGATTAAAGACAGTGTACAGTTACAGCTCATCATAATAAATGACATTAAGCAATCATGCTGCGTACTTCAGTAAAATAATACAGCACTTTAAAGCAGTATAAAATGTCATGTTCATTCATGACAATGTTTCCATCCCACCTGTAAGGAGGCCCTGATGATCATAAACATCTCCCATCCTCTCTTTCATTCTCTCATAGGCCTGGCTTTCTGTGGCTGCAGCCCGAGCTCTGGCCTTAATTATATGGCTCTCCAGCATGTCAGCCTCTTTCATACACCGGCTGTATTCAGAATGAGCCTTTGTGATTGAAAACAAAAATTACTTAATAATAATACAGATTTATTTTTTCTGTTGGAATTGAATTGTGAAGCATGCAGCACTGTTTTGTTAACAGTGTTGTAGAATTACCTGTTGAAGCTCTTCAACATATCTGTCATGGTAGCTGCTCCGTCCACTCTTCGTCTTGATAAGGTTGGACAAAGTGTCTTTCCCAAGGATGTCTTTTGTGTAAAGGGCCTTGAAAGTGCTTGCTAACACATGAGAAATGTCCTAATGTTCGAGAAAAGAAAGGTTTTACAATGTGAAGTCATTTTGCTTGATGTTTAGTGGCTATTCTTAGCAGCTATAATACCCAACACGTGTTCATTACCTGAGACTTTCCTGATGCGGGCCTGTGACTGTCCACAGACGGATCAAACCGCCTCGTCTCTGGCTCTTCCTGCATGGTACACAAGCACTGAGCCACTCATGTAGCTCACTAGCTTACAAACTTCAACTTTATTTGCACGTAACGTCAACATTAAAATAGAAATAGACACGAGGCGATTTTAACCGTTGATCTTCCAAATATGCACAAATAATTTAGCTAAAGCTGCGGATAAAAATTCATTTTGTTGAAGTCCATCACTGCTCGCTGCTCTTCCGCCATGTTGTATACATGTGGTTGCCATAGAGACAGACGTCACAGAAAACCCCCTACAATTTCTCTTTTTAATTTAATTTTGTTCCCCAGAACAAACAAACACCGTATCATTACACAGCTTTCTTTGTAGTAGGCATATTGTTGGCATTTTCATTCATCAATGCCAAACTATGACCAACACACACTGAATGCACTAAGTTATCGCGGTGAAGTTAGTTTTAAGTTATATATTCGACCCGGTGACGGCTTCTTACTCAGTACACCCAGTGTGGGCATTTTAAGTGCGGTTAGCTCACCTCCGGTAGATCGCTTTCAACCACCGGTGGTCAGCTTAGGGACTAACAATAAATTACAATTTATTAAACAGTGTTACGGGAAATCATCATTTATTTCAATAGCTTCCATGCGATCCAACGACATCAAACCAATGCCGAACTGTAGAGCTACACTGTGCAAATGAGACACACCTCTTCATATTATGTTTGAGTGCATATCCAAATTTATATTAATATTTATTAATAATTTATGGAAAATAATGTTTTTTTTTTCCAATAGCTTCCATGTCATGTGACCCACGGACTCCAAACCAATGCCGAATTATTGTACTACACTAGGCAAGTCAGACACCTCTTAATAATAGATTTGAGTACTTGTTTTATTTTAATATTTATTAATATTATATGTTTTACTCTTGTACAACTAGTGTCTGCGAAAATCACCTCACACACATTCATAATCTCCTGCTGGTTATACTACAACATTTAGTTAAGGGGAAAAAAAGGTATAATTTTGGGGAATTTTAATATTCAATAACTTCGCTGTTGTAAGCTGTAGGGGAGAACGGGGTACAACCTAACACATTTTGGTTTAGTCTAAATAATTAAAGATCAAAGGGAAAAGTCTGGACTACAAACGAGCTGTTTTCAGGCAGTGTTTTCTGTGGGAGATGGGAACTCCCTTTGGGGTGGACTTTGGGCTTTTTCACTTTGCAAACATATTACATATATAATTCAATAAAGGAGAGGGGAAAAGCCTAAAAGCATAATACCACCTCTTTAAGATGTTACTACTTGTTTTTAAAGCCCTAAATGGCCAGGCTCCAGCAGGGAGTGGCGTGGCAGCAGGTGGACTGGCGAGGAGCGGGCGGATGAGGATGCCCGAGAGGAGAGGGCCGGTGGACGAGCCCAGCCGACTGAACGGAGGACGCGGGTGAGTGAACCTGGGAGGGAAAGCAGAAAGACAGGGTTAGACGCAGGAAATAACCAAGGGCTAGAAAAGTGAGATCTCTTCAGGAGTTAACCGGAGAGAGGTTGGCACCAGGTTGGGAACAACAACGATCAAGCGAAGATGGTGTGGAGAACCGGGGTTGATATACAGGCAGGGATGAGGTTGATTGCTGGCTGTGTGGCAGGCTGGGGATGTGGCTGAGGAGGTGCAGGTGCGAGTCGGTGGCTGGGCTCAGGAGCGGAGGGAGAGAGAGAGGAGGAGAACACGCAGGGGAGGAGACACAGGGGGGCAGGCAGAGTACAGGAGAACAAAACAGTGGGAGAAAGAAAATGAATTTTGAAAAGTGCTATACAAATATAAGTTATTATTATTATTATAAATCATGGTCTATCAGGGATTAATAATGGCTATATGGATTATATCCACACATCAAAATATATATAAATATTGACAGGAGACTGCGTGTGAAACACTGTCAACTTCACTGCAAGACAAATATTTGGGCAAAATCTACCTCTATGTGTTCACAATGTTGTTCTTGAAACCTTAATGCCAATAAAACCCTTTCAAAATTAATTGAAAATAGTTTTTATTTCAGTGTGTGAGTTTTAGTGGCATCTAGTGGTAAGGGTTGCAAATTGCAATCAGTGGCTCACGGTGCATTCACTTGCTCCTGGGATGGTCCCAATTCCTGAGTTATGAAATTGTTCTTCCGGCTTCAGTGTGTGTTCATGTGCTCTTAAAGGTTCAGTGTGTAATATTTAGGATCTACTGACAGAAATGCAATATATTATCCATAACTATGTTTTCAGTGGTGTGTAAAGACCTTACATTATGTTTTTATTACCTTAGAATGAGTATCTAATATCTACATAACCGCAGGCAGCCCCTTCCATGGACGTCGCCACATTGCATCGTCATGTTTCTACAGTAGCTCAAAACGGATAAAATAAAAGCACTACAGAGCGTATTTCATCACTACGTTCTTCTTGTTCTACTTCTGGTAGAATTCAGGCAGTGCAGACACTCATCATGATGTTGAATGCGTACGTTAGAAGAAGAAGAAGAAGAAGAAGAAGAAGAAGAAGAAGAAGTAATAATATACTCCAGGGGTCGGCAAATAAGTTTTGCATCGGAGCAATACTTTCAACCATTAGATGATGGGTGAGAATATAAGATATAATATTGAAATGTATGAACATGTTGTTTGGTTAACTCAGTATGTAAGTTGCAGGACATTCTATACTCAGATAACGGCATGTGCTGCACTGTTTTTGTTTCAGTGTTTGATCCGCATCCATCAAACTATGAACGCTTTTTCATACACCCCAGTATCTCCAGGCAGAGGACATTCAGGGGAATCACGTATTCTGACGGCCCTTTCAGAGGTGTGTCAAGCAGGCTACAGACTCTTTTAAAGTCGTTCATAATTTTTCAAAGTAAAAGTTCAGTTCAACTCCAAATATAGAATTGACCCTTCGCTGAGCCACACCCCCTGTAGATACTGTTGCTAAATCCAACAAACTGTCGGACCTGACGGACTTTTATCACGGTGCTGCCACTGTTTATTACTGCACTCCCTGGAGAAATATTGTCTAATTTTGGGGGAAATCATAATAAATTACATAAATAAATAAATCATACTTCTCCTTTCAACCTCTCTGGGTAGCGACTGTATATTACATGTGCCCCAGGAACAGTGTTTGACCATATCTTGGAAAAATACGGGAAAAGAAAGCTAGAAAACAACTCCTTTTTCATTAGAGTCAATGGAGCACAGCCATGAAAGTGTCGGACCTCAGTTAGAGCGAAACCTATACTGCACTATGATTGGCCAGCTGCGTGTTTGAGGTGTGTTGCAGTAAACAAGGGTCAGTTGCAGTAAACAAGTTTCTTGTGCTTTTTATTTTGTAGGCAAAACCACTAATGAGGAAGTGATTGTGTGAGTAACTGTTGCTGTCATGACTGAGATCTATATCAGCAACGCTATCAAAGTATTTATTTATTTATATTTTATGCTGCTATCAATGTACCATAATCTGGCCGCAGGCCAGATATTATTGTTGGTGGACAGTTTTGGCCAGGATCCATAATCACAGAGACAATGAATGTGTTTCCCTTGTTTGTATAAACTTTATTTAATGTGTGGTTTACAATGGACTGTGGTGCAGAAACAGAGACAGTGTTTTATATACATTTTCCATGTTATCTGTCAGTGGCCAAGTCACAATAACATATGGTTTTACTGAATAATAATAAGTAAATATAATTTCTTAATATGTCTACCTAAAGAAACCTAATTTCTCAGAAGAGACATGTTTTGTGCTGTGTCAGCCACCGTAGCTGTCCTATGCTCTTTGAAAGGGTAGGGGATCAGTGGTAGACTGGACATATGGTTGCAATTCACAACCCTCACCACTAGATGCCACTAAAACTTACACACTGAACCTTTCAGTCAGAAAGTGGAATCAACGTGGAAGCTACTACAAAGATGTTTTGGATTAGCATTATCAGAGCATATTGACAACAGCTCACTCTACATAGATAACAAACTAAGCGTTATAACCAAATTACAAATTACAAGTTTGCAAAAATATGTATATGCATAATACACGTGGGCCTCTATTTGTTCAAATTTCTCTTCTTTTCTTGTTTCTAATATACCAGACAACAATTACTACCACTACTACTAATGTTACTTGTTCTTTAATCTTTGTATGTATTCAACGTAGTGACAAAACACGCTCTATAGAGCAGTTTGTCCATTTGGGCTACTGTAGAAACATGGCGACGCAACATGGCGACATCCATGTAAGAGGACCTGTGGTGTATATAGATAAAAAAATGGCTCATTCAAAGGTAATCAAAACATATCAGTTCATTATGTAAGATCGTTATACACCACCAACAACATAGTTATGGATATTATATTGTATTTCTGACAATAGATCCTCCTAAACATTACACAAAGAACCTTTAAGCCTAGTTAACACTTGCTATTAGTTGGTCAGATAGATCAAAACTGTACTATGTTTTAGGCAAAAAGACGGTTATTAAGGTAAAACACGATTGGATTCAGTGGCTTACACACACAGCTCAATAGGCCTAATCGAGGCAATTTCATAAAATGGACCCCGCGTTAGGCTGTGCCCCGCTCCCCTATCTCCTGTATGCATATTAGCTGTGGTTTTTCTTTGAAACCATCCACAAACTTATTTAATTCCTGTCCATTAGCTACCAAACTTCTGGCATTCCACTGCAGGATGCAAAACATTAATAGACTAACTTTCAACCTCATCATCATCATCATCATCATCATCATCATCATCTTCCATTTGGTTTCCATTATTCTTTCCCCTTCTGTCTCTTGAGAACACATCTATGGAGGGTAGCTGGCTCAATCCCTACAAACCCAAGACTCCTCTCAGCAGCCTTCACCGCACTTCTTACAACATCTGAATTATTCTTAGTCTGCTTCATATGATACATCACTCAATTTTCTGTTATACAAGTATTCCCTCCTCCTTATGTCCCCCACCTCACCACTTGTTGCAACCTTTTTAACAGCCTCGGCATAAGACACCCCTTTGTTAGTCTCCCTATATTGCTTCACCCTCATAGCCTGCATTACTCACATTCACGATTTCCAGCAATGTGTCGTCACACACATGCATGAACCACACTTTACCACGTTCTCCTTACACTCAGAGATCTCATGTTCACCTCCACATTTCCCACATCTTCTACTTCCTCTACAAGCAGCTGCAATATGTC